TTACATAGAAAAAATTCCACAAACGTCGTAAACTTTAAATTTCTGCCTTCCCAGCACACGCTCATTTCCAAATGCGGTTTTCCAACTTTAACTATGGAGGGTGAATATCTAGTTTTTGATCTCGTTTAATTCGACTTTGAATATCTGGTACAAGTTGAGGCAAGTTGACGCATTCTAAAATCGACTGGGCCAACAAATTCATTTGACTGATTTGTATTAATGACTTTCTTTTAAATTAATTTAATATGCTTGATAAGCAATTCGCACAAGTTTTGGGAAATCCCAAACTTGCTAAAGAAAAAAAAAATAACTGGCGCCAATCAATTTCTTTGCCTTCGGGCCAGATCATCTGCTTTGACTAATGATCGACGCGTCTCGATCTTGAGTAAGAAATTTGTTTGTTACACTCAAAGCCAAGCGGATCGTCATGGGAGTTTGGTATTGGTATTGGCCCAGTATTTTATTATTATTTCTTATTTGTTTGGGAATTCCCAAGATCTTTGGTTATCTTTCACAGCGTTGACTTGTTTGTTGCCGTTTCTTTCTTCTTTCCCCGCTTTTTTTTTTTAGTTTTTGCTCTTTCAACGAAATTAGAATTTTGATTCAGCATAAAACGAAACCAACCTAACCGGATCTAGTTTGCCGCAACGTATTTAAACATCTCTTATTTGATTTGATTTTACTCAGTTTTTGGAAAGCAAACTAATGTGTCTTTAATCTTGGGAATACGGGACAAGGGGAGTAGCTGCCGTCGACTACTGGTTCTACGCGTTCGCTCGATTTGGAATGTTTCCTTTTTTTTTTTTTCTTTTTTGTTTTGTGAATTTGTTTAGCTCAAATCAAATAAATCGCTGCGGGTTGACGTCAACGTTCGTTCGATTCGTTATGGTCATTTTGTGGGCGGGTCTAAGCCAAGGCAAATGAATTGCAATCCGTTGGGGCTGGGGGGTTAATGCACCCCTCCAATGTCAAGGGTTCTTTTACTGATAGACTTTTTCGATTGGAATTTTCAAATTTCACATTTCGTCAAGGCCAACTACTTTCTCTCGCAAGGTAAACAACATTTTGGCGCCAGTCTCGAGCCGCTGAACTTTGTTGACAACAACAAATCTCTGTCGGGTGTTTCCCTGATAAGACATTTGCATAAAATTGAAATCAAAATAGCAAATAAATCTTGCAGCTTCTGCCATTAGCCAAAGGCAGTTAATTCAAATTGCCTTAAATAAAATAAAATAAAGTTTTTATGGCATTTCGATCGCAAATCGAAAGCTTTATATGCACAGACATGTATATATAATATATATATATATACGTTTTTATGATGTGCCGAAAAACAAATTTGTGTCTGAATTGGCCTGGGCCATTCTCTATAGAGAACGGGAAGTGACATGCCAAATACCAGATACTCGACTCGAGACTCTAGACTATATATGAAATATTTTGCGCTTTCAAGTTTTCTCATCCACGGCAATTGGCGGGGTCAAGAATTCTCGAGTTCTCGATGTAAGCAATTTCAATTTTTCACACCTAATGCCCCATTGAATTTGCATATTTTTCGTTTTAGCTGTTTACCCAGCCGAGGTGTGAATCAATCCAAAGAGTTTTATATGCCCCCAACGACATTTTAGAACAGAAAAAAAAAAAAACATATTTTGTCTGTTACATTTTTGTTGTATTGTTTTTACGATATTTGTTTATTTAGTACATTTAATTAATGCGATAGACGTCGGCGGTTCTCTCATTAACAACATTCCGACTTGGCGCCAAATCAATTAACTTCCATTTCAATTTGATTATTGGCTTGATTTTTATTTATTTGGTTTTTTTTTTTTTTTTTGGTTTTGCGCAGCTGAGCAACAAACTGGAAAACTTATAGAAAATACAAAACAAAAACATTTCTTGAGTCAAGCCGAGAAGTTGCCCACTAAAAACTAGAACTTAATTTGCATGTTTATTTGTTTATAAAACAAACGAAGAAAAAAAAGAACATAAGCCCACATATTGATTCATCTCTGAATTCTAGTTAAAATCGCATGAAAGTTGCGCCCCAAAATTAACAACATTTCTCGGCAACTCCGACTCAGACCGAGACTGAGACGTAAATTAATTAATAAATAAATAAATGAAAAAAAGCACATGGCGCCAAAAAAAAAATATATATATATATAAGCTGTTAATAATATTAAGCGGAGTTCCCGTTGTTGCGTTGTTTTTTTAGCCACTTTCAAAAAATGAGAGAGAAAAAAATTCAAAGTTCGAAAACAAAAACAAACTGTCATATTTGTTTTTTGAACATAAACTGTTGAAAAATGTGCGTTTGCATAATTAAAAGCGAATTTGTCACGAAATTCTGCGTGGCAGCAGACCAGTTCTCCAGCTTCTCTCTCTCTCTCTCTCTCTCGCTCTCTCTCTCTCTCTCTGTCGCTCTCTCTGTCTAATTGGAATTTGTGAAAATTACGCACAAACTTGGGCAAAGATCAATTGCAATTGGCCTGAACAGGAAAGCACTTGAACCCAGGCCCGATAAGAGTTGTTTCTGATACGAGATCGACTTTAAAACAAGATTTTACGACTTGTTTGCTGTCATAATAACAAGCTACCGCAGCAGCAGCAGCAGCAGCAGCAGACGACAACGACGACGACGTCGTCATCGTCATCAACATGATCATCGTGACGAAGAGCGGCTCCAGATGCTGACTGGGCCCGGTTCCCGGGTCTGATCTCTCTCAGCGCGCAGCGGCTCAGCGGCTCAGACAGATAACCGGCAAAGAAATTGTTATAAAATATCACGACATCGTCAGAATGGATTTAAACCGAGGCGAACGCTTGAGCCGAGCACAACCAAAATACGCTAAACTCGTGAAGTGAATCATATTACGTGAAAACAACAAAAGCAACAAGAACAACATAAACATTATCAACAAGTGACAACAAGTGACAACAAGTGAGAACAAAATGTCAACATTGAGTGTGAGGCTCAGTTTGGGCCTGCTGCTGGCCGTGCTGTGCCAGCTGGCGCCCAGCGCGGGCTATGCCATTGGCCAGGCCAAGTTTGGCAATATCGAAAAGTTTCCCTACCAAGTGATGCTAATCGGCAAACAGCTGTGGCGCAAACGCATCCTCTGCGGCGGCACATTGCTGGACAAGCGCTGGGTACTCACAGCTGGCCACTGCACCATGGGCGTCACGCATTTCGATGTCTACTTGGGCACGCGGAGCGTTGATGCCACGGAGCAGCTGGGCGGCCTGGTGTTGCGCTCCAATAAGTTTATAGTGCACGAACGCTTCAATCCTGAGACGGCAGCGAATGATATAGCGCTGGTCAAGCTGCCGCAGGAGGTGACATTCACGTCGCGTATACGACCGGCGGCGCTGCCCGCAAGCAGGCAGCGTCTGGAGCCGTTTACGGGCAGCAGTGTGGTGGCCAGTGGCTGGGGCGCCATGGTCGAGATGACCAACTCGGATGCGATGCAGTATACCGAACTGAAGGTGATCTCCAATGCCGAATGCGCCGAGGAGTACGATGTGGTCACGGCGGGCGTGCTGTGCGCGAAGGGTCTGAAAGACGAGACCGTCTGCACCGGCGACTCCGGCGGCCCGCTGGTGCTCAAGGGCACGCACACATTGGTGGGCATCACCAGCTTCGGGCCCGCCGATGGCGAGGCTGGCGGCGGCTGTGAACGCACCAGCGTTCCCGGCGGATTTACGCGCGTCACCCACTATCTGGACTGGATCGAGAGCAAGATTGGCAGCCAGGCTCAGGCCCAGGCTCAACAGCATCCACAGCATTCGCAGCATCCACAGCAGCCGCAGCACGTTTATCGGGATGATAATCTCATTTAGATTGTGTGCTTTGTGATCTTAACTTTGACTGAATCGTCTAGCTTTATAATTTATATTTTGTGATATTTTGTAAATACTACCCCCTCGCCCTACCCCTCGCTTAGCTAATTTCCAAATTGTGCATGAATTTGTTGTCTTAGTGAATAACTATTTAAATATCTATTATTTATTCTAATTGTAAGTCCAAAGTTGAAAAAAATCAAAAAAGAAAGCAAACAAAAAAAAAAACGTATGCGAAAAAATAAAAATTGAGCCGAAAGCATTTGAAACAAAAAAAAAACGCTTTGTTGTCTTTCTTTTTCGTTAAAGTCATGCTGACTTTTTGGCAAACGGAATTCCCGCTTGGCTCAAAACTTTTACGTCGATGATACGTTAATTTTCACCAGTTAAATCTTATGGCCATGGCCTTCACATAATGCCCTCTCTCTCTGTCTGTGCCCAACTATTCATCTATTTACTTTACACTTGAGCTCCAGCCACTCTCGAGAACCTCGAGGTCCACTCCAGTTGTGGCCACTTTGTCGGATGACGCAGTTCCGTGATAGAAGGCAGATGATTCCATTCGCTTGGAGTTCGCTTCTGCTATGACTTTCAGTTTTTTTCGACTCTTTATTTTTTTTGTTATTGTTCTGTCATAAATTATGTCAGTTCGATTCTATGCTAAAGCTCAAGCACCTGACTCGTTATTTATTTAAAAGATGACGTACGCTGATTTATTCATTGATATCAATCACAAATCTCTATATATAGGTATTATATACATATATATTTCTATATACTTTCACATAAAACTTTAAACATTTTAAATAAGGGAAAATTGCCGAACATCCTATAAAAGAGTTCACGGAGTTCAAAGTGCAAGAAACTCTTCAAAATTTCAAGAGCTGCATCTTTATAAAATATATATTCAATATTTTCCACATTTATAGTAAATATAAAAAAAAACTGGTTATTTTTACTAATTTGAGCACGTGGCGCTCACAAGTCAAGGTAATTGAACGTGAGGTTCTCTGTCCTTGAGTTTTCTATTAACTCTTACATATAACTAATTAGTTTAACTAAAAACAAAACGTGATTCGAACTGAAGCTAAACCTATTTGCATTTTATAAATTAATGAGCTGTACTAAACAGTTCAATTAAAGTAAATTGCAATTGCTTGGGTTTTTTTTGTTTGCTCACATAAACTTTATTGTCGTGTAGATTTTGAGTGATTTTTCTTTTATTTTTTTGTTGATGTGTTTCTTAATTCTTATAGATTTTTGCGTAAACTAATGTTTACTTAAAGCACTTGACCGGCTAAAATTGTAGCTAAAGCTCTTGGGCCTGGCCTGGGCACAATCGGGCCTTCTTGATTAGTTAAACAAAGTTATTCGACTAAGATTTACTTATATATTTGGTGTTTAGCTTTGATTTGTGCGGATTTTGTGCAGGTTTTAGGTTCTAAAGAGTTGCTATTCAAATAAATTCTTTTGCTTGGAATTGGTTAACAAACTTTAGCAGCTCGCTCCTTTTTTTGGAGCACGCAATCAATGACCTCCACCACCTCCATGAAGATGTCGTCCACATCACGCTCGGCATTTATCTGGAAAATTAAAGCAATTATGAGTGCGAATATATAGTTAAATTTGGACTGCATCCCGATCCCTTTCCCATTTGGCTCAAGTTCGAGTCGAATGTGCAGCCCCGAGTTATATAGTTACCGTCAGGGTTTTCTCAGCATATAGTTCCAGGATGGCGCTAGTGTTGCGCTTGAAGGTTTGCAAGCGGGAACGAATCGTCTCCTCGTTGTCATCGGCGCGCTTCACCTCAGCGGCATTGGCGCGTGCCAGGATGCGCTTCAGCATTGTGTCCTCGGAGCAATCGAAATAGAGAGCCAGGTCGGCGGGCGCAATTTTCTGTTCGAATTCAATGCCCTGGTTCTTCTCGCGCGGATAGCCATCGATGAGAAAGCCCTTGGAGCTGCCCTTGGTCCGGGTCACCGCTGCGTTCAGCAGCGAAAGCACCTCCGCATTGGGCACGAGACCGCCGCTGGTCATGATTTCCTGCAGTTGACGACCCTTGTCCGAGCCAGATGCTACCTGTGTCGGATTAGAGACGCGTAGCTTGAGAAACTCTGCTGTGGATGACACGCAAATCTTACCTCCTCGCGCAACAGATCGCCGCTGCTCAGATGCGTGAAGCCATATTTCTCCACGATCTTGGCGCATTGGGTGCCCTTGCCGCAGCCGGGTCCGCCCAGAATCCAGATGATGGGTATGTCAGACTGTAAGAGAATAGCAGCAAAGACGTGTCGGATTAGTAGGAGCCAAATAGCCGAACGGGCACAACAGCAATTAGCCAAGTTAGTGTTCACAGATTGGATGAAAGCCTTAGTCGAGTTAAATGGAGCAGAGTATCAAGAATTGTTCAACAATTTTTTCATAATTTTTTTTGTAATTTTCAGCCGCCACAGTGCATGCCATATATGGTACATCAATAGATAATCGTGGTATTTAATGCCCAAGGGACTCGCTCATCCCGGGGGCTACTTACAACGGCTTGCGCCCTGCGCAGCTGCTCCGCTTTCAGTTTCTCTTGGGCCTCCTTCTTCATGGCCATTTGGTGACACATAAATAACTACACAAATGGAACGTGAATAGAGGCAGAGAGGCAAGTACGTATCAATTGCATGGGCTGTAGGTTTTGATAGCTTCACAAGTTCATTAATTAATTATTCCAATTTTCAATTGGAATTTAATAAATAAAAAATGGAAAACAAAAATAAAAAAAAGTTAACGCTAACACGTGCAACATTTTTTAAGCATCAATTTAGGAACCGAAAAAAACATGGAGAAGGTATATTTTTATAGACATTTTAAGGCAAATTCTTTTTTTCTTGATTTTGATGAAGGGCTTTAGACAAGCCCAACCAAATATATCTCTATGTTTACCCAACTTAATCCCAGAATTGGAGAAATTAAAATATAATCCCTTGAAATTGTCTTAATTAAACAAACTATGAAAGTTGTAGAGCTTTATAGATCTTATAGATCATTTGTAGATTTTAAAGCTCTATTAAGCCAAAAAGTTCTTTTTCCTGATTAAGATGAAGGATTTTCGAGAAGTCTACCCAAAATATCCCAGCCCAATCCAAGAATTATTCTTCCAAAAAAGAAATACCTAACTATTCAAATACAAACTATGCTAAGAAAAAGCTCAATTCAATTAAACACGAACTTATAGCTATATATTATAGTTATAGAAAGTCAAGTCAAAGTAATTGCTGGGTTAATCTGAAAACCTCATAATCTCGATTGTGTGTACTATCTAATTAACTAAATAGTATAGAGCGTACATACTTAGTATATAGTTAAATTATAGTTATTAGTTTTGCTGGCATAATGCCAAAAACAAAATGTTTGCCGCCAACTTTCAAATACACAAAATTAGTGCAGCCTTCAAAAAGTTCTATATATACAATATATATTTGTATATATAAATCTGTACAATATACTATATATAGCGTAAATTGTAAGGCGCCAATTGACATTGATCTTGAACGCATTTAACTATATATATCTATATACATATAATATTGGGGCAATGTTCTATTTAGATCTGGTATTTATCCAATCTAGATTTCGACTCAATTAACGCCCCATAGATTTTGCCTACCAGTTTATGGCGTAAATCGCAGAAAACTTTTGCTCTGATTTGGCGCACAATAATTATAAACAAATAAAATTTGTTTTATTAGGCCCATGGGAAAGTAGCTTGTGTGGGCGAAGAATTTTTGTATATTATTACCCTCACTCTCTCTCTCTATCTCTCTCTCTCTCTATATATATCTCTCTCTCTATATATATATGTATATATATATTATATATGGCCCCCCTGTTATCGTTTCGACTGTTCCGCATTGTCGCACCTAACGAACAATTCGTTTAGGAATAAAAGAACATATATATATAGTATAGAATGAGAGAGAGGGATAGAGGAAGGGGTAACCACATGAATGAATTTGGGGGCTGTGCAGGTTGTTTTTTCCTCATAAATATTAACACTTATTGTATTTGTAGCGCATAAATTGTGTTGCTTTTAATCTCGCACGAGTTCTTTTTCACAAATTCCCACAATTTTCAAAGCATTTTCTTTTTTTCGTTTTGCGTTTTTGTTTTTGTTAGTTATGTGTGAGAAATTTATGTTTTTCAATGGCATTTACGTAAGTTGTTAAGATTTGTTTTTCGTGCCTTGGTTCAGCGACCTATGAATGACATTTGCAAGGATACGACGAGGTTTTGGCATCGATTCAGTTCCTTAGCCACGTGTTAGGCTTAAATATTTTATAGAACAGTTGTTGAAATTCCCAACAAGTGTGCTTAATTTTTAATAAGCCGCACACACACACACGCACACACACACACAGTTGAAACGCAAACGGAACTATAGGAATTTTTATTATAGCCGACTATTTTGTTGATTTACGTACATATATATTTTTAGTGCAAAAATTCCATGCGTCGCGACATTGTGTCGTCGCCGTCGTTTAAACAATATTCAACTAACCAAAACCCAAACTAACAAACAGAAGAGTGAAAAAAAAACTCCGGCTTGGAGTCGCCATCGCCATAATGATGACTGACTAGTTCGGGTAGCCACAATAAACAGATTCTCGCTAATGAATCAAGCCCCGCCAGAAATTCCTGTGCCGCCAGCTTTAACCTGTCGATAATTTTATGCAAATCTTTGGACTTTGACGTCAAAAATTCGCCTGGCTTGGAATGTGAAATTTTGTTTTTGTTTTTGTTTTTATTGGCCTTTTCAGTTGTTAATTTTTTGACTCAGTTATTTTTATAGCCATGCAGCGGGCAATTGAAGTTTGTCACGAAATGTGTAACGCACGGAAGAAGAAGATTTCTTTAAGTATATAAAAAATCTATAGATTGTTATCAACATAAGGTACATTTTTATTATTTGAGATATCCATGCTGCATAAATATGCGCAATATCTTATCAACTTCAGGCCATTAAATCGTAAAGCTCCGAAATAAAGAAGTGGTCAAATTTGCCTTCTAACAAGAATAAATTTTTTTTATAACTGTCCAAATTTGGCATTTACGAGCTTAAACATGCACATAAACAAAATCTTATCAACATAGGTCTACTACATCGTATAACTTCTATACGAAATGTATCTCCGTCTTTGCAAGGGTATTCAAACTTCGGCGGGCCAAAGTTAACTGTTCTTTCTTGTTTGTTTCAGTTGTTGCTTTTTTTGGCCAGTTATTTTTGCTGTTGTTGTTGTGGGAATTTCACAGGCACACAACACGGGCACACTGGTAGCCCGGCTCGCCTCTACGTATTTACAGCTAACAGCTGATGCCGCGCAAACCCAAACAAACGGCTTGTACGTATGTATGTAAGTATGTAAATTTGTTTGTTTCTAAGTGCTCAGTAGAAATTGCACAAGGTCAAGTGGGTAGCAATGTAGAGCCAAAGCTTTGAGCGGGTCCGAAGGTCAATCGTGCCGAGGATTGCCCTACACCCTAATCTATCTAAGCAACCGTTCGTTCGCGTTTCTGTTGTTTGTGGTAACGCAAACAATTTCAAATCAAAGTGAAAGCCACAAATTGTTTATAGAAAAATAAACTAGTACACACACACACACACACACACACATACTCACCATGATGATGTATAATATAAGGTATATGAGGCGCTGATGCGGGCGTTTCGTTAAATAAATCGCGAAATGCTTTAAGTTTAAGAGTCGCTGCTAAAGCTTGTTGTTGTTGTTTTTGTTGTTAATTTGCACAGAATTTCGGTGTTCTTGATTTTGATTTGTTTTTTTTTTGTTTGCGGCCAATTCTTTTCCGTTATGGCGAATTTCCACCCTTAATGCAGCGTGTGTCGAGAGCGACTGAGTATAAAGCTTTCGCTAACGGTTTCGGAAAGCTAATGCCATGCAGCTTTGGTTGAGCTTTGTCGCTTATCGCTGCCGCGTACTGTGGTGCGTGTGTAGAAAAGTGTGTTAAAAAAAGAAACGAACAATACTTTTCAACTGAGTTTCCAAATTTATATTTTTAAAGCTATCAATTTTGATTAATGTGGCAATGTATCCAACATAATGTCGTGCCTATGGGCCTATGGATATGTGAGATTCGCCCCTCTTGTCCAGTATCTCCAGGTTGGGTATAACTTCTTCGAAGATAGCATAGGCATCGCGGTCCCCATCAATTTGCAGGGTTTTGCTGCTATATTGTTCCAGTATGGCCTGCATATTATGCTGATACATGTGAGCCGTTATGCTGGGACGTGCACCCTGGGCGGAGCGACGCGTTTCAAGCGTCTCCTGGCCCACATCCAGGGCAATTATCAAATCTGGCGAGCCAATGCGCTGCTCCAACAAATTGGCATCTTCTTGATTTTGCGGATATCTGTGTAAATAGATTTGTTTTTTATAGGGTTTCTGAAGGACGTTCGTTTCAGTTACCCGTCAATGACAAAGCCTCTAACGCCGCTTCTGTTGCCCATTATATCCGACTCCACCTGTAGCATAATATCCCCCAACGGCACCACTTGGGCATCATTGATTGTTGCTGCAAATTGATTGCCCTGCTCCGATTCGGCTTCAATCTGCGTAAATTTTCATGTTAAGACTGGAATGTATAGGTCTATATATATATATATATGTATGTATCTTGCCTCGTGCTCTACCATAGCGTTGATATCCACATGCTTGTAGCCATATTTCTGAACTATATTCTGCGCTAGAGTCGTCTTGCCGCTGCTTGGTCCACCCGTCACCCATACAATTGGTACATTCTGAAAATATAGGTAAATGCATATATAAATTATGTATGAACGGCACTTAATTATACAGTTACCATGGTTAATTAGTTAATTTTGGTTAAGTACAGCCAAAAATATATTATAAGTTTTTATATATTTGGAAAAGGTTGAACGAAATATGACATATTTCTGATATATGAGGCTTTAACAGTATACACATTGCACGCCCGTTGTATATTAATTGTGGCGCATTTTATTGACTCGCATATAAATTAGCTAACAATTATATATACTCAATTGATTGAGCTATCTGAGCAATCAGCAGCTGATATAATAAATAAACGCCTGTATTTGTTTTGATTCGCTAACGGATATAATGAGCAGCGGTGCGGTGTGCTCCGCTAGCTGCTGCTGGCGCTGACATTTGAGGATCTCGTTGTGTGTGGGAAATGGCTCGCCGGGTGGTAGAATAACCACGCTGAAAGTGGGCGCCTTTGGCGCACTGCGTCTGAAACCATCGTTGTGCATATGTAAATCGAAGCTGATCTTAAAACTGCGCAATCTTGCATCTTTATCGCTGTCGTAGTCGGCGCTTTGCAGCTGCACTATGTCCAATTTTTCGAAAATTTGCTGAAATTTTGCGTAGCTAGCCTCCGCTTTTAGATTATCAACGAGGCTTTTGCTCGATGTGTTTGCTTTTTTACTGGCCGTCCCCTCTTGCGGCTCTGACTGAGCCCTGCGTTTGCGCGTCTCAAATTTAAAGTTGCTTTGCAGATCACTTTCCATGCGGTTCTCATCTGGGCTAGCCGATGTCTGGCTTATTATCTGTTGCTTCAGCTCCGCCATGCGCGCCTGGGTGGCATTATAAGAGATGGATGCTTTGATGTGAGCCGGTACAGGTTTATTGCCCAAAGCTTCTTCCAACAGAGCCCAAATACAGTCCTCGCTTGTTACCAAGCTAGTTGAAGTTGTCTGTGCCGCTGGGCAGGCAGCTTGATGCTTAACAACTATATAACCAGCGCGAGACAATGCCGAATATACCAAATAATTATTGTACTTGTCGCTAGCTGCCTCGCCAAGCAGCAACACGTACGCCTGCTCCACGGAGACAATCATATCGCAATACTCCAGTTGAAGGCGGTTCTGCGTTAATACAACTAGACGTGACAAGAATCAAAGCAATATTTTCATGATATACGCACTAATTCCAGCAAAAATAAAGCCTCGTAATATTCCAAATAGAATTTGCCTTGTTGGCTGTAGCCAAAGCTCTCAAATTTTCCATCTTTACGCAGCACTTCGACTGCCTGTTGATCCTGGCGCCAAACAGCTATGGCGCGTCCCGCTTGTCGCTCGATGCGCCTAGCGGACAATCGGTGACGCAAATTAGCTGCAATATAATAAACATATTTAAAACTTAATGCAATTAATAAATTATGCGCATGCTTACCATAGGCATTTTTCAGTTCCTCTTGTTCGGCTGCGCTGCCTTCGATGCTGGTTCGTTTGAGTCCGTTATGCGGCGTTTCAGCTTCAGCATGACGTTGCGCAATAAGCTCTGCAGCACTAAATATACTTTTGCAATAAAGTTTATGTTTATATAATTAATAACTTACCTTAAATACTCGGTTTTTGGTTTAATTACAATCACATTTGCTGGCGCGCAGCTCATTTTACAAACCGAAAGCAGCTGTTTTATGCGGCGTTGCCAGACAAATTGCAAAAGAACATGCGCTAGCGGAGCTAGTTCCATGCAACTATATAGTTCACTTATTTTCGCTGCCGTTGCAATAACTACGAATTGAGGTAATTTTCATTGATAATTGTGTTTTAAAAAGAAACTGAACGTTTATTTGTGTTGGCTGATGCACAACTACTCAATTGCGGTTTGTTGACATACAATAAAACTACCAAAAAGCGCGTAAAACTGTCTCAACGAGAGTGTCTCTCCTACATGCACGTTTTTTGATGTTTTCCGTGGTCACCAGGCCTCCCCCTACCAAAGTCTTCAATTTGGTGATAATAATTAAACGCCACCGCCACTTTTATCGCAACATGGACTGCACGGAGTTGCTGCCCCCTGCCTCGGTGCGCGGCATGACTGTGCTGCAGCGCGCAGAGTTTCAAAAACGCGTGCAAATTCCCAGGCTGAGAGTGCCCGAATCGCAGGTGCAGCGTGTGATTCCGTTGGTGAAAAAGCTTCTGCTCAAAATGGAGCATCTGCAGCCGGTGCGTGCCTTAGAAAATGAGCGTGAAATTCTGTTGCATCCATTGCCCGTCAAGAGCTGGCAATCGCTGCCAACAGCGGAGCTGGAGCAGCAGCAAGTGACGTCAGAGAATTTCTGCCATGCGGAGCTCGAGTTGGGCTACGAGAATTGGAGCGCCAATGAAATACTGAAGAGCGTGCTGCCGGCAGACGAGGAGGGACTCTCCTCTTTTTCACGCATTGGCCATATTGTGCATTTGAACCTCCGCGATCATCTGCTGCCTTATAAACAGCTCATTGGCAAGGTTCTGCGCGACAAGCTGCCCAACTGCCGCACCGTGGTCAACAAGGCGGCCTCCATTGACAACACCTACCGCAACTTTCAGCTGGAGCTTATATGCGGTGAGCCCGAGTACCAGGTGGAGACCAAAGAGAACGGCGTACCCTTTGAGTTTGACTTTTCCAAGGTATATTGGAATCCTCGTCTGTCCACCGAGCACGAGCGCATCGTTAAACTGCTGCAGCCAAACGATGTCCTGTACGATGTTTTCGCTGGCGTTGGCCCATTCAGCGTACCTGCAGCCAAGAAGCGCTGCCAGGTGCTGGCCAACGATCTAAATCCCGTCAGCTATCACTGGCTGCAGCACAATGCCAAGCGCAACAAGTGTCTGGTGCACATCAAGATGTACAACAAGGACGGCCGGGAGTTTATACTCAAGGAGCTGCGTGAGGATTTGCTGGAGCGTTGGCGCAACCCAGCAGCCACGCCCTATAGTATCCATATTACCATGAATCTACCGGCAATGGCCGTTGAATTTCTGGATGCATTTCGCGGCTTGTACACAGTTGAAGAGCTGGCCGAGCTGCCAGCGAGCCTCAACTATCCGCAAGTGCATGTTTATTCCTTTGCCAAGGGAGAGAACACCAAGATCCTGGTGCAGCAGCTGGTGGAAAGCAATCTGGGCGCAGTGTTGGGCGAAGAGCTGCAGTGCATCAGTTTTGTGCGCAATGTGGCGCCCAACAAGGATATGTACAGAGTAACCTTCAGGCTAAACCGAACGCTACTGACCACATCAAAGCAGACATTGCGCAAGCGTCCCTGTCCTGCAGAGGAGGAGAAGGAACACGTAGCGACAGCAGCAGCCACAAAAGTGAAATGTGTTTGATCAAGTGAACAATAAAGTTTTTATATACAAAAAAAACGCGTCTCTCCTGTATATTTGCAGCTTCGCCATGGGTCGCAACAAGGCCAATGCTAAGAAGGGATCAGGAGCGGCAGCTGGAGCAGCTGCAGGCAAGGCGGCTGCCAAGCCGGCTCTAAATAAGTCCAAAAAGTCAAAGAACGTTTTCAAGGTGGCCAACAACAAGGGCAAGAAGAAGCCCAAGGAAGTCCAGGGCAAGCTGAAGCAGGTGAAGAAATCCCCAACCCCATCAGGCATTCCAAACCTAAACCGACTTCAATATTTTCAGATTAAGGAGACAGTCAAGGCCAAGCAGGAGAAGGTGGATGCTACGCTCAAGGTGCTCCACAAGGATATGGTCGTTAAGAAGCCCAAGCCGGCAGCCACGCCCATTAAGAACAAAAAAAAGCCGGCGGCCAATGCCACCACCGATACTCTGGGCAAGCTCAAGTTCTGAACAGCGCTCGATTAAATAAATACAATTTGTTAGTTCTGTTAGTTCAAAGATTACATAAATATATGTATCAATATATATAAAGCTGTGTAATTCCTGGCCCGGGCAAAGCCGGGTAATGCCCAACACGCATAGTCTATTATACCAAAAGCAGATCAACATTATTCAATTGCATTAATAACTCCCCCTGCTGCACTGCAAAATTTAAAAAAATGATAATCATACTTTGTAAGTTTGTATGTATATATGTATGTATGTATGTGCGCATGTCTGTATGTATGTATGCATGTATGTACGTATGTTTGTGTGTGTGCCTGAAAGTTTTCCTACAGCAAACGCAGTACAAGTTTACTTCCCACTGCGCTGTTCATTTGAAAATAACGTCTGTTGAACTGCTGCCCTCCTCCTCGATTCTCAAAAATTCAAGTAAGACTGGCAGGCTTCCATGCCTTTCTTACAAGTGTTGTGTGTTTGTGTCGTGTTAAAAAGTGGTGTTAGCTATATATTAAAGTGTGTGTGCTTATAAGTATGTAAGTATGCATGTGTGTGTGTGTGTGTGTGTGCATGCATGTATGTATGTGTGTAATGCATATGCGTGCATGCATATATATACATGTCAGTATGTATGCATGCACGTATATATGTATGTACGCATGCACGTATGTATGTACGCATGAACGTATGTATGCACGTATGAGTGAATGTACGCATGCACTCATGCTTGCATGTACGCATGCACGTATGCTTGCATGTACGCATGCACGTATGCTTGCATGCACGTATTCTTGTATGCACGCATGCACGTATTCTTGTATGCACGCATGCACGTATTGTATGCACGCATGTACGTATTCTTGTATGCACGCATGTACGTATATGCGTACACGAATGCATGATTGATCAACTAACTTCATATTTCTGCTTTTTTTTTCAGTGATGCGCATATATCCTACTATTGGATGCAATTTTTTGGGTAAGTACATATGTTCACATATATTGATGTACAAATAGAAATATACATATGGACATGGGCCATTTTAGTTAGAGGATTAGTGAGCCTCCAGGCATGACGACAGCGCCAGACGGCACAGTGGGCGTGGGCGAGGGCAGGGTCGTAGCTGTTCCGTTGGTAGCCTGCCAGCCAAACAGTTCACGGATTATGGTATCCAGCTGTGTGGTGTCTATCCCCTCCGCCTGAAGCTGGGCGAGCACCGCCTGTGTGGCGGGCAGGGCCACCCAACGATCGTAGACGACCTTCAGGGCGCCCAGACGCTGATAGAACTGCGCGAAAATGCCCATCAGTTGCACCTTGGCCTGGATATGGGCGCTAATGGCGTAGCGCGGAAAGTACATCTCCAGCTCGTTAAGGAATCCCTGCCAGCCGTAGACGGTGCCCGACAAGTAGGGATAGCGATTGACCAGCGTCATGCACACCTCGAGCTCCTCCATCTCGAATTTGCCACTCGAGGCCAACAGCTGCTGGTTGACCCATTGCCGGAAGAGCACAACCTCCGGCTGGGCCAGCAGGCGCCAGTGTGCCATGAAGCCCGCATTACTGTTCAGAATGCGTACAAACGCCTGGAACTGGGCATCGTTGAGCAGATAGCGCACAAACAATTGATTCATGGGCTTGAACTGTATTAGGTTAAAGATATCCATTAGATCCTGGGCCAGGTTCGGTGGCGGTCCCACGGGTCCAACTGCTCCATTGCCAGGCGCATCCAAAGCTGGTCGGATTGCAGCCTCGCACAGGCCGCAGCCTCCCAGGCAGAGCAGCAAGAACCAGGCGTATGTAGCTGCCATTACGGATTTCGGACGAGTGTGCCTTTGGCCGCAGAAGCATCTGCTTTTTATACGAAGCCTAAATTGTTTACCCAGCTGTGATAAGTCCAGAGTTTTTGTCGCAGCAGCCTCTGTTGACACAAGCGAAGACGTCGGCGTCCGTGTTGCCGATAAGAAAGTCACCCGATTCGATCTGTTTATAGTTGGATATAATATATATTATCTTGCGTTTCACCGGAACTAACTGATGGCCGCTGGGTAATTGTTTTTGTGTGCTTTATTTCTCAAGTAAAAAGTAAATGAGCCGAAAAAATCCAGAAAGACCGACAATTAACCGCAAACAAACACAAAATATGGCATTAGGCCTAGACCACAACACATAACAAAGGGTTGCTTAAGTATATCAAATGATTCATATATAGCCAACCGATTCCCAGCTGGCAGATAATATACGAGTTCATAATAATATGACTTCATCTCTAATAGCTCAGTCGAAATAATAGAATAGACATATCTTCATATTGGAAGAAATAGAAAAAGACCAATATGAACAACAATTAATTGAATAGGCAGGGATTATTTGGATAGAATTATTGGACAATCTATTATGGGATTATATATTCCTTCAAGAAACTTCCTATTAGAATAGAACCAACAGACTTTAATTAATTGCAATTAATTAAAAAGTAGATTAAGAATAAGACTGAGAACAGATCGATTAAGGTGTTTCTTCCTCTTCCTTCCTTTAATGGATCGGTTCCGAACCTTTTCAATCGGACAAAATACGAAACAACAACTTGGTTGCTTTTGCCATGAACGTCATATATAACGTATATATATGTCTGCCATATCACTAAGATCGATCAGCTATACCATTCGAAAGAGCGTATACGTATATGGGGTTATTCATAAGAAGTTCGTTATGGATCCGAACTTGTGGGGCTTAAGCTTAAAATACATACGAGCGTACAAGTCGAAGGATTGATAAGAGCTAACTTAACCAATAAACGCATGAAATGAACGGGGGGAAGAAGGAGGAGGGCCACCTTTGTCCGTGCTAGGCGCCTCCATTATTGCCCCTGCGTCGCAGCCAGCTGGGCACATAGCCGCGCAGCGCCTCGCCCAGCTGGCGATAGATCATGAGCGCCAGTATGGGTAGGACGAGGCGTGCGTCCTTGAACAGATAGACATAGCAGGCGACCAGGAAGAGCACCAGATCCGTGGCGTAGCTCAGTGCGGAGCGCACCTTCTCATGCGCCTGCTCTTCAGAGCGGGACTGCACCAGCGCCAAGCTGGCCGCCTTCTCCAGCAGCTCGCGATCCGCAGCGGACAGCAACAACGCCGCCTGCGAGCCGTGCTCTAGGGTCGGCGGCCTGCTCAACGAGGCATCGCGGGAACGCGTGCTGGAGGGCACACGCCGCTTAATGACACGCTTGACTTTCACCAGGCGCGTGCGTCCACGTGCATCCGGACGTGCCTCGACTATTTCGCTAAAGACGCTCTCGTTGCGCTCCTCGGCTTCTTTTTTATTCTTGGACTTCGGCGGCGGCACCACCAGCACAGTGGGGTATTCAGGCTCTCGGTCATCGTCCTCCTCCGGCTGATCCCGCGGTGTTTCAGGCGCTTTGTGCATGGCATGACTGCTGGCCGCATCCCGCACATGCACGAGCTGCTCGCGCTCCGAAATGGACAGACGACGCTCGCGATTGGCGCCGGGTGGCGCCAGCAGCAGTTGCTGCTGCTCCTGGTCATCGTTGCGTGCCCGACGCTGTTGATGCTCCGCTGCGGCGCCCTCGTCGTCGTCGTCGTCGTCGTCCTTATCGCCCGCCCGGGCAGCAGCGCGTTTCAGCTCATCCCGGTCGAGGTAGAGCGGCTTGTGGTATTTGTGGGTGCTGCTCACCTGGCGCACCAGATCGCTATAGTGATCGACGGCTGCGTGCGCCTCCTCCTGCATGAGTCGCTCCTCCTCCTGGCGGCGCAGCTCCTCCTCCTCCTTGACCTTGCGCTTCGTCTCCAGCTCCACCGCAATGGCAGCCGCATTGGTCTTCTCCAGCGGATTCGAGATCTCCTCATTGGCCTCGGTGTTCTTTTCGGTGGCGGAGCGTTTATCCCGGCTGAAGAATGACTTGATGCCCTTGGCCAGATCCAGTTTCAGATTGCTCGCACTTGGAGCGGCGACGGGGGCGGTGGCGACGGGGGGTGCAATGGTGATGACTGCACCATTTCCGGACTCCTGTTGCGGATCTGGGCTGCTGGGCTGACTGGTGGACTGCTCCACATGCTCGTTGGACGAGCGCTTCAGTATGGGCTTGGGCACAAAGTCCGGACTGGGCAGCGGCATTGGCCGGTTGAGCACCACAGCCGCTTGTTCCGGAGTCGGAGCACGATACGGCGTAAAGGTGCCGGCACCCATGTTGCGCGGATGATAGGTCTCAAGGTCGCGCGGACTGGGCGAGCGTGTGCGTGCCATGAGCTCCATTTTGAACTTCTCAATGGAGTCCTGGTCGGAGGTGGCCGTGCTCTCGGTGTAGTCCGAGCCAAGATGGTAGCCCTGCTGCTGCTGCTCATCATCCATGTCCATATCCATTTGCTCGCTATCCTCGGCTGTGCTTTCTGTGCGCTCCTCCTCCTCCTCTAGATCCTCCTCCCGACTGTCGCCGTCCCTCGCCTGTAGGTTGAGCAGTCGCTCCGTATTAGCGCGTGTCAAGTTCTTCAGATCAACAATGTTGATGTTCTCCCGGGAGTCCCACTTGCGAACCATGGGTACCATGTCCGCCGACTGGCGTCGCAGCTCGCTCCGGCGCTCGAAAGAGGCACGTTCCGCCTCCGTCATGGAGCCCAGACGCTTTCGGAACGTGGCACTGACGGGCTGCGCCGCCTGCTCCTTCTCCTGTGCCGCAGTCTTCACCTTGCTTTTGGCCGCCTGCTCCAGTTCCACGGCCTCGTAAAAACGGGCCATGGCACGCTCGTAGAGTAGCTCCGTGGAGCTGACCGAGCGGCGCAGCGGAAAGGTCGTATGCAAGTTGGTAAACTCCAGAAAGGCCAGATCCGGCGCGGATATGGAGATCGGTGGCGGCTGTATGGCGTCCTCCAGCTCCAGCTCAAAGGAATCTTGCTCTGGACAAAGAGTATATTAATTGGATATTTTTGGGATTGGCTTCTTTACTTACTGTCTTTATCCTTGACCTTGCTGTTCTTGTCGAAGACCACCAGCATGAACTCGTTGCTCGTGTGGACTTCGTCGTGTCTGTCCGCTGGCTTCTGTGGACGCATCTTGGCCACCGGTGGCGTCGGCTCCGAAGTAGGCGTGGCCGGTTCAAGCGGCTCCGACGGAGGCGGAGGCGGCGGGGCACTGATCTCGATCTTGGGCAGCTTTTCGCCCATATTGGCTGTTGTGGCAATGGCAATGGCCAGGGCGGGCACATGCTTGGCCGGACTCAGGGCGTGCCCGGAGTAGCGTCTCACATTCTGATTGACGCCCAGCTGGACGGGCTCGGCGCTGCGCTGCAGCGCGGGCGTCGACTTGATGGGCTCTGGCGGCGTCGGGCTCTTGCGTAGCGGCGCAGGCAAACGGTGAGCCACGTCCTGCAACGACTCCAGAGGTGCCACTGGTGGCTGCGGCAGCGGCTGTGGCTTCTGCGGCGACTTATCCTTTGGGTTAGCGACGGGCTTGGGATTGAAAAGCTTGCGAGGAGCAGCAGCTGTCGGGGATTTGGGTGGCTTGGCTGGCTTCTCCTGCCTATCCGCCAAAGCCGTGGTGGTTATCAGCGTCAGATTGAGCTTGGGATTGGAGCTGGCCTGCGCCTGGACTGCTGTTGAGTCGGCGCTGCTCAGCGATGGGCTTTTACGCACATTCATTTTCAGCGCCTGGTCAGAGGTGCCGTAGGACATCTCGTGACGTAGCTGCTCGCTGTCCACCAGCTGCGGCGTCGGCTTGCGTGCGCCGCGCGGCGACTGCTTGGGCGAAGCGGACATGCTGGTCGCCGCATCCGCATGCGGACGTGGTGGTGAGAGCGTCTTGCGACGCGGTGGCACCGGCTTTGACTTGTCCTTATCCGCATCCTTCCCGCCGTTGCCATTCCGCTCGTCGCCAGCGATTCTGGTCGCCGACTTGGGCTTGGTAATGCCACGCTTGGGATCCGGTATAAAGAGCAGCTCCGACTCCGGGGAGGGCTCACTCAACCCGTAGGGATTCTCGGCCTTGACGCGGAACTTGTACTCGGAGCCTTCGATCAGGTCGTGCAGCGTGGTGCTCAGGGCGCGCGTAGTGGCCGCCTTCAGCCAGACGTTCCAGCCAATGCGAAAGTACTCCACAATGTAGTTGCCAATCTTGCAGCCGCCATCGTCTAGGGGCGCCGTCCAGGAGAGCGTCGCCGACTTGCCGAAGGACATGTTGAGACGTGGCGCGCCGGGTGCATTGGGTCGGGCGGTGACCGTGACCAGAAACGAGGTGATATCCTCGCCCAGCTTGTTCCAGGCACGCACCATATACTCGCCCCGATCCGAGCGCTGCACATTGTCAATCTTCAGCAGCGAATTCTTCTCCGTGTTGGTCACCTCGAAACGATTGCCGGGCACGATGACTTCGCCTTCGTGCAACCAGGTGATGGCCGGTGGCGGCTGCCCGGCCACGCCCACCTTCAAACGGACCACCTCCTCCGCCTCGACGATGAGGCCATCCTCGTAGGTGCGCGGCAGACGAATCTTGGGCGGCGCCTGCACCTGTAGCCGGCTCTTGGTCACCACGTGCCCGGCACGGTTCGTGGCCGAGCACTTGATCTCGCCCTCGTCGGTTAGCGCCACCTGGTGTATGATTAGCACACTAACGTCCTGCTCGTTGACGATCTTTGTGCGGCGGCTGCTGAAGATCTCGTAGCCATCCTTGAACCAGTTGATCTCCGGCGGAGGCTCACCCAAAACGCGCACACGAAACTCAATGCGCTCGTCCTCGACGGCGTCCATGTCCACCAGCTCCTCAATGAAGCGTGGCACACTAATCGCATTCCTTTGCAGGGTCACGGTCAGCGGATCGGACAGCTCGCTGGCGTCCGAGCGTCCGACAATGTTCTCGGCAAAACAGCGAAACTCGTAACGCCAGCCCGGCTCCAGACCGCTTATCTGAATCTCGCAGCCCGAGATGGGCGTGGGCGTGGCACGCACCCAATGCGGCGAGCCGACGCGTCGCTGCTCGACCGTATAGCCGATAATGGGCGAGCCACCGTCCAGCATCGGGCGATCCCAACGTAGGTTGACCACATCGGGCTGCTGCTCGGAGAGCGCCAGAGGTGTCAGTATGGGCCGACCCGGCGGAGAGGGCCGTTCTGAAAAACCGAAGACCACAGAGCACAGGTAAATAATGCATAAAATATTCAACAACAAAAATAAGAACATGCACTTACGCGCTTGCGCAGTATTTTAAAAGAAAACAAAAACTATTTCAAAAACATTACTTTGACGTCTTCAGATTTTAGGCCAAAGATTCAGAAAAACAAGAAGCAAGTAAGAGACCACTAGTCCAGCGTGCACGACTCGGTGGTACCCTGTCAACACTCTTGAGCTGCCGTAAATATATTTATTGCTAGAAAAACAAAGCTCTAAGCTATGCTTGAAAGTCCTGCGTTTTAAAATCGAAACCTATCGATTGCATAAAAACATCACGACCTATCGATGATTAAAATAAGCGCACGTTATGCTCACTATCGAAAGAGCTGCTTTAAATTATACAGTTATTTAAGATTTTGAGCTAGATCGCTTGGGCTATGCGCAGATAGCTCCCTCCTCTTGTGCGTAACATACATTTGTCAACGATCATTATACCCTTTTTCAGCCGTATTCATTGGGAGCAGGGTATAAAAACAGAAAAACGGCCCGACGGACGCCGTCGCGTCAATGGACGGCCGCGGCAACCACTTGAATATGCGAGTGGCTAAAAATAGCCAAATTTCTAGCGCTCCCACCAACTATGTGGACTATGTGTGCATGCTCTCACAGCCAATTAGAGAACTTTTCAGTGTGGAAACTCGGGAATATATTTTAGATTCTAGTTGAATTTTTTTATGGAATTGGGCCGGGCATTCTGTATAACTTGCCTGCAGATTTCCAATGCACATTCTTTTTGGGCCGTCCAGTCTGTGCAGTTTGCAGTTTACCGGGTTGGTTGCCCATTACGAATACTAAATATTTAACCTATTTGCAATTCTTTCAGCATATATAGAAGTATCTATATATAGGCAAGCCGCCTTTAACTTCACACACTCTCACGGTACGCGTACGCGTCGTTTTATTTCGTTTTCAATACTTTCGAATACGTTTTCCAATTATAAGTAACTAATTTAACAGTGCAATTTTCGTAATTTGCAATTTTGATTCGCAATTTTAGCCATTTTTACGGACGCGTTAAATAATCCGTTCGTCAGTATAGCCAGGCATTCCCACACACAAATAAGCTTTGGGCGCTAAGAAATGTCAACGGCAACTAGCGCACAGAGTTGCCAGTAGTGGAAAAATATTGCAACAGCTGCCTGCTGATCGAGTCAGTTACTTAATATTACTAGTTCGATAAGCAATCGATAAGGCAATTCTCAAATTTGTTTTTTGGCAAGAGCTCAACTAGTCATTGATGTGAATTACTTACATTTATTGTTAAAATGCAATAAAAATAGGCCTTGGCAAATGTTTAAATTAACGATAGCCATATCGATAGTAAACTAAATATCGTCTACGATTACATCGATGTGCTTAGTACATCTCTAACTGTTTATTTCTTACATCCCCAATTTACAGCTAGCGCAACGCAGGTGTTTCGCCAAAAAAGACAGCAGTTAATTGCTTGTTTATGTTAAACAAATAATACTAAACGATTATCCGCGCAACACTTCTAACACAAAAAAACAAGAATCTAAAATTTGTTTGTGTTTTCTGTGATTGTTATTCGCTTGTAAACTGTGTCTATGCGCGCGTGTGTGAGTGTGTGTGTGTTTGCATGTGTAATGATTTGGAGGCTGTGAAGCTGTCGCGGCGGCAATTGAATTAGAAACAAAGACACAGCCGCCGTTGCTGTCGCCAGTGCAGTTGTATTGACGATTGCGGCAGGTGCGAGTGCAGGTGCAGCAGCAGCGGCGTCGCCTCATAAGCACACGCACGCAGGCACACACACACACACACGCACACACTGGAAAAACGGCAACAACAACAACAATGGCTGGCACGGCAACCGCAACACCAATGGAAATTGACGAATTCATAAATGGAGCGCTCGTCTCTTGGGTAAGTGGATGAACATGCTCGACATGCACATAAGAGGGTAACTGAATAACAACGTGATTGCCATACAAATATTCAAGTGTTCAATTTACATGCATGCGCCCCCACATAACACCCATACATATGTGCATATACATACATGCATAGCTATACATAAAGCCACATAGATTTCCGCCGCACAGCCCCCAAGGTCATTGTAACTGTGGCTTTGCCTGGGACGGCTATTGCTACCGTCTACGGCACAGCAACAACTTTTTTATGTTGTCATTAGCAGCGGCCCGTCGGCTGCCTTTTGTTTGCCAATTGCGAGAACGGAGAGTTTTGCTCGACCGGCTTTTCATACCCTTTGCAAATTAGTCTATTAAAAAGGGTATATTATCGTATGTTTCTTAAAACTTCAACATTCCCCCAATGCAAATAGTCCGTAGTAAGATTTACCGTTTCTATTAATTCCACTCTATATCTATTCTATTTTCTCTTGACGAACTTCTTTCTTCTCTCCTTCACTTATTATTTGCCTCTCGCTTTTACTCGCTTCTATCTTGAATCTACATCCCTTAAAGTTTTATTCTTATCAAAAAGTAACTACATCCTCTTGGTATAAACGTGTGACAGTAATAAGCACTTAAGTATATTCCAGTCGGGCATCCTCAAATAGAACATTCTTACCTGTTGAGCTTGTGCTTGCCACAAGTTCAGTGTACCTCTTAAAAAGGAAATGTTGCGTTATTCATTAAGTTGCCAATTGGAACTTGAACGCCGTGATCGTTGCTGTTATTATAGTTAGTCATGCAGCTCCATGCGCATCATAATCATGGCTTCATCTTTCGCTTTCAGCTGGAGTCATGCCTGCCACGTGCCGAGCTACTAGCTGGTTATACCTCGCTGCTGGACGGGCTCATAATTCACAGTGTTTGGCTGCAGATCGATCCGGAGCCGCAAAACAATCCCAGCGAGTTGCTCAGCGATCTGAGCGGCAATTCATTGAGCATCGCGCGCGCCAAGAACTTTGAGTGCATTGTCCGCAATCTGAAGTCGTTGTTCGAGGAGGAACTGGGCCAAACTATATTGGTGCTGCCAGATGCATACATGCTGGGCTACTATCCGGAGAGTAAGCATGGCCTGGAACAGATGAAAACGCTGCTTACCTTGTTGCTGGGTGCAGCGGTGCAATGCCCCAATAAGGAGCTGTTCATTGCGCGCATCAAGGAGCTGGATCTGGAGACGCAGCATGGCATTGTGGCGCTCATTAAACAAGTTACGGATAGCCATAGTCTGGTGCTCACCGAAGATTCAATCGACCGTTTATCGGCGGAAAATATGTATGGCCACATAATCCGGCTAACTAAGGAGCGCGATCACATGTACTTGAAGTGGATCGAGACCGTGTGCGTGGAGCCAGAGCTAAGTAACAGCGAAGGCGCTGAGTGCGGCCAAGGTGTCAGTGTACCACGATCGCCCTCCAGCGGCACGGCCACCTCAACACCTTCCTCATCCTCCAATTCGGAGAGCAATCATTTGGCCGTGGAGTGCGCTGATCTTAGATCAAAGAATCGCAAGTTGCGCCAAGAGCTGTAAGTCACTCAATCCAATTACCAAACAGTAAATTCTACAAAATGTTCCCTTCGCAGTGAGGAGAAGTCGGAAAATCTGCTGGAGTTGCGCGAGGAGCTTGATGACAAAAAGCAGCGCTTTGACAAGCTGCGCCAGGAGGTAAGAGGCTTCAATTCCCAAGCAAACAACTAATATCCTTTAATTGTTCTACAGAGTCAGGAGTGGTTTACCGAGGCGAAGCGTGCGGCTGCCTATCGGGATGAGGTGGATATCTTGCGGGAGCGTGCCGAACGTGCCGATCGTCTGGAGATTGAGGTGCAGAAATATCGTGAAAAGCTAGGCGACTCTGACTTTTACAAATCACGAGTTGAAGAGCTGCGCGAGGATAATCGCGTGCTGCTGGAATCCAAGTATTTGCAAAAAGTTACATATATAATCGATTTACTTACATTTTATCCCACTTCGCAGAGAAATGCTAGAGGAGCAGCTGCAGCGTTCACGCAAGCGTTCGGAACATGCCATCACCTTGGAGTCGGAAATCATAAAGTACAAACAGAAACTCAATGACATGGCGCTGGAGCGTGATGTGGATAGATCCAAGCTAGAGGAGCTGCTCGAGGAAAATGCCCAGCTACAGCTGGTGGCAAAAAATCTCAATTCTACACAGGAGGTTGATAAATCCTTCTCCGACAATGAGGACGAGTGCAACTCCGGCGACAACAGCTTATCCGAGCAACTCACAAACAATGCACAAACGCGTGCTCTAAAACTGGAGCTGGAGAACCGACGACTCACTGCCGCCCTGGAGCAGTTGAAGGAAAGCAGCTTCCACGAATCAACCAGCAAAATGCTAGAGCTCGAGAAGGAGAAGAAGAAATTGTCACTGAAAATCGAACAAATGCAAGAGAACATTCAAAGATTGACGCAACAAAATGTAGAATTGGAGAGCGTATTCAAAAACGCACTGGAAGAGAACAAAAAACTGCAGGATGCCGTCGATAATCGCCAGAAGAGCTATGATCGCCAGAGTCTAGAGCGCGACGTAGATCGCCAGAAACTTTCGGATGCCGAACAGCATGTGGAGACGCTAAACAAGGAGAAGCAACGCATTCAAACGCTCAACGAGAGCATCCAGCGGCGAGCCGATGATTTAGAGCGTCTTGCAGAAAGCAAAACCAAGGAGCTTGAACAGTATGCTGAGAAGCAACAACAATACGAACAGACCAAGCAGAAACTCTACGAGATTGAAGCCAAGGTGTGCACCTTCGAGCGCGAAAACGCCAGCCTTCTTAAGGAGGTGGCCAAACTCAAAGAGAGTAGCGAACAAAAGTCTGTGCAGCTAGACCAGAGCATCAATCGGCTGGACACGCAAGCCAAGGAGCTAATGCGGCTCGCGAAAGTTGAGGACGAAGCAGAGCAGGTGCAGCAAAAGCTTGTCGAACTGGAGAAACAGAATCAAGAGCTTAGTTCGCAGCGGAACATAGATCGGGAAATGATAAGCACATTACGAAACGATCTGGTCAATGGTACGCTCGTCACCAAGAAGGTACGTCACAATCTGGAAAAGCTGGGTCTCGACGTTAACGAAGTCGATGGCGAGCCGGCCGAACTAAATGTGGAGCACGTAGTCGAGAAGCTAGTGCGCAATCCGGAGACCTTTAAAACGGTGCGTGAAATAATGCTTAATGTGAATCGGGAACAGCAGCTGGAGGCTGGCGTCAAGTCGGATATGTGTGTGCTCTGTCATCGCCAGGAGATCTTCACTGTTGAAAAGAACATTGAATTGTCAGCTGCTACACACGCACCGACAACGCAGGAGCTGCGTTTCGAACACAAGCTGCGTCTAAGTCCAGCGCGCGACTCGGCGGAAGTGACGCGTCTGCAGGACAGCAATACGCAGCTGCAAACCGAGAATGCTCGTCTTAGTGTGGATGTGGCAGCGTTGGGCTCACAGATCACATCGCTCAATACTCAGCACGTGGCGCTGCAGTTAGCCAACTCGCAGCTGGCCGCCGAAAAGGATACCCTGCTGAAGGAAATTGATGCATTGCAGCAGGAGCATAAGCACGCGCTACAGGATCAGGTTACACTACAGTGTCTGCACGATCAGCTCTCCGCCGAATACGAGTCACTCAACAAGGACAAGGAACAGCTAAAGGCGGCCGTGCGAGATCTGCGCCAAGAGACGCGCGATGCACGCGAGACAATCCAATCGCAGGAGCAACGTATCGAGGAGTTGACAGCACAAACCAACAGCATGAAGACATGCCACGAAGACCTCGCCATACTGCGCACCGAACACTCCAAGCTTACGGACGACTTCCGCAATCTCTTTGCCACTAGCGATCGCTTCAAGAACGAGTACAAGAACATACAGGAACAGTACAAGATGATACGCATGGAGCACAGCAGTCTGAAACTGCAAAATACCGAGCTAACCGGCGAGCTAAATGCTAAACAAGATCAGGTTCGTCTGCTCCAGATCGAATATTCCAAGGTGCAGCAGCGTTGCGAGGTGAGTCTTACAGTACTTTAATACTCTTTCAATTTTGTATATAATTAATTATACATTTTCTCCGCAAAGATGCTTATACAAAATAATGCGGACTTGGACTCAGAGCGCAAGGCTCTGATGGATAATGTGTCACAGCTGCTTTCGCAGTACCAAGAACTTCTGGCCATTTCGTTGGAAGATAAAAAGCACTTCCATGAGGAGGAAAAGAACTATACGGAACGTGTGCACAGTCTAAAGCGTCAAAAAGAAAAGCTCGAAGAGAAGATAATGGAGCACTATAAGAAATCGGAGACCACTGTGCAAAAGAAGTATGTAAAGGAGTATAGCTTATCTAACTGGAACTTAACGTAGAATATTTCACAGAAAACCATTCGCCAGCAGCCTCGTTCGACGCGTCAAGAAGGCCAGCTCCGATTTGATGAATAAAGTGCCTAGTCGGGTAGGGAATCTGTTCACTATTTATAATATTAGAACTAATGCTTGGTATATTGCAGAATCGTCGTTCTTGGGTGGATGATGCGCGCACCAATTCACAGTTTGTCATCGGCTCCGAATCGGGCGGCAATGAGTCGGACAATAGCAACGAGGAACCGCTATCCATAGCCTCTGACACACATTTGCTACAGCGTAATATGCCGCTACGTCAGAGTCTTCAGCGGTAAGCTGAGTCTTAGTTTATCTAAATAATCTCTGTAGAGATACGAGCAATGCTCCATAAGATTAAGTTTTCATTGAAGAATATGCCCTATTTTATCCGGTCCGCTTGAAATTTGACTGAGTAAAGTTCTTCTGTGCTTTAACTTTGCTTTAACAAATATTTGCGAATGTCGCCAAGGAATCTTTAAACTGTTGCTAAGCTTTCCAGCTGAAAAAAACTGGAAAGCATTAATTTGTTAGTCCTACGAAGTATTCAAGCTTTGGCATGCCGAATGCATTTACTTTCCTGGTTAAATTATGTACTTAGTTTGGTTTATGGTTCTCGTTCTTGTTATATTTACATGTATATACACAACAACAACTTTACACGCACACGCACACACACTGTATATTGCATTGTTTATGTACCATATACAGAGATTTACTGGATAGCTCCATACAACGCGGCGGCACTGTGCGAAGTAGTCTGCAGGCACAGAAACGTACGGATTTGAGTAACTCACGTAGAAATAGCGTGCACGGGTATGCGCTTTTAAATGTCTAACATACATTAAATCATTAATACAACAAAAAAAATCATCCCACTCCCCAACTCCTTTGATGCGGCGCTGTCTATATATGTTTGTGTTTTGTGGATATCGCTTTGCCCATAAATTGCATTTGTGCCACGTTCTCTGTGTATTTGTTCTAATGGCATTTTGGTTGCAGCACCCTGGAACCGCCGGATGTAACTGGCAGCAGCTTAACGCTTGGCACTGCGGGCTCTCGGCGCACCGTCTATTTAATCGACGAAAAGCTGCCAGATGGCTCTAGCGCGTCAGCGCAGCAGTCGCAACAGCCGCAGGCTAGTTCAACGCCGACGCCCAGCAACAATGCTGCAGCAGCCGCCGCCGCTGCCACCGGAGCTGAACCACAAACACCACTAAAGAACGACAATCAACCAGCCACGTTTCTTATGTACAATCGCATTAATACAACCATTGGCGGTGCGCCCGCCAACACAACAACTAGCGATCAGAGTCCGCTGCTGCAGGCCAGCGGCAGTGGCGGCAGCGTCGCGGGCAGCGCCAACCAGGACGATAAAGCGATGCGCAAACGCAATGAGGATAAGAGCAATAGCATTTGGTATGAATACGGCTGCGTTTAGATATTTTGGAACACGACAAAACTGCATTTGCTGACGACGAAGTATTATTTCGTTTTAGAAAGTAACGAATTTATGCCTTTAGCTTAACAGAAGAGAAATTTACAAAGTGCTTCTTAAATGCTATAATTTGCCTTAAGCTGCAGACAAACAAGTCTGCAATTTATATACGTAGCATTTACATCAATTTTTGTGTATGTTGTGTTTTACAACTAGATATAGATAGATATACAAATTGTAGTTGTATTTATATGTAACAAAACGAAGACTACGGCAACTGTGCGAATTCATAATTACCTAGCAGCATACATATATATATATATATATATATATATATATATATATATATGTATTTATATATATACATGTTTACTCATATATCCATGTACTTATGTACCGAAATGTATGTCCGTAACGTCCACAAGATTGGGCTGCCCCAAGAGCAGCCACAGGTCAAAAGTTTTATTATAATTAATTATATGCATTTTACATGTAACACTTGAACTCGAATATATTCCTACACGCCACACACATTGTATACTACAGCTTACAGCTAACGAATGCGCCTTCAATTTGTGAATATACATATATTTTTCTAAGACTAAGCAATAACAATGAAAGTAGAAGTAACGTTCTTTAATTTATTGACAAACGCCTAAATACGCAATAAAACCACAAACATAAAGTTAATTAATTATTAAAGCCGTTGTAAAGAGATCTTCCCAAAAAAGAAATGTACATAAAGATAACTTTTTCTGCACAGCATTTTAGTTTGAGCATTGAAAGAAGCGCAACCGTAACAAATTTGGCTAAAGGTGTTCATATCTCTGGTAACTTAAATCGCAGATAAATCATCCAACTTTCAGCCTACTTACTATATCCTTTCCATTAAAGGAAACTGTCAGCCCGAATATGCCAAGCAGGTAATTAATTTGAGAGGATTTATGGAGCAATGAAGTTTAATCTGAACTTAAAACCATAGCCGAGAGCCCCCGGCAGCAAATAGTGAAGATACTGAAAATGCCGAACAAACGACCTTCCCGGAACCCACAATAACCACAGAAGTAGACAATTGGGATCCAAGCGAATATTGTGCACAATTGGGTAAGGCTGGCAACTATAAATTATCCGAATACAGAAGGTAAGTCCATCGTAATTAATTGACCAATAATCTATGTTACGTTTTTGTACATTTTTTTCAGTTTCATTTAATGTTATAAAAATGGACGCGGTGTAAAGACTGGATATATGAGTGAATGTTCGACATCAAAAAGCCATATTTTAATGGAACCACTTGTAATTCAGTGAAGCCAGATAATTGCACCTAAAAAAATTTAATATGATGCTGTTTAAGTAATATGTAGCCAACTTATCAAGAATATCTTGCTTTTTTTTTCTTAATTATTTTACCCAATTTGTTGCTTTTCTAAGTTAATGTTTCGCAGAAAATGCGGTTATCTATGACTGTGTGTACGGGATTATCACATAAATCAAGATCTTCATGAATTTGTGCCAGTATATCATAAGAGGCAGTAGCTCTTGGAGAGAGTCATTTTATTTGATATATGGAATATGCTACTCTAAATTGTTGTTTCTCTGTTTCTTTTAGTTTCCTCTCTTGCCTTCTAAAGAAGCTAGTGGATGGTGAAGAAGACACTTTATTCTTCATCCCTGGACAACGTTTATTTTCATATGATTATTAAATATATAAGATATCAAAATAAAACTTAAGCAAATAGCTCATAAACTAAAAAGCATAATGACGAGTTTCTAGCTGAGATAATATGTTTTTTATCAGCGTAAAAAACGTACATAAAATCCACAATCTTTGCCCAAATTTTGTTAGTTGGAAAAGTGAATTGCACGCGATAGAGGCAAGATGTGGTCAAAGCTGTTTATATTTCTGGTAACAAGAGTCAATTAGGAACTCAATAACATTCAGTTATAATACATTAATAAATACAATTTCAATAAAAGCTGTTGGTGCAATATTTGCACGCCACTTGCGATGTGTGTACGTCCGGAAATGTAGCCTGTCACAGCGAGAACACCTTTTCGATATGCATAACAGGTGAATATGTCATGACAGATTCATGGATGTTATAATACCAAAGCCAATCCGTTCTGGTCACAGGAGTAGCCACCAACGACGTTATAACCTGTCCCACTGGCTACATTTGTACTGGCGATAAGTATATCTGTTATCCAGAAACTGACTATCAACCCATATGTATACCCGTTGTGGACCCAGTCGCATTTTGCTCCACCCAGAGTCAGGCTAATAATTATGTAAACAAGGGCGATCCCACCTGTAAATCGTATGTAACTGGCCAACCCTCCGACTACTCCCTGTATAATGTTATTCATTCGATTTAGGTTCATTTATTGTTATAAAAGTGGAAGCGGTGTAATGACTGGATCTATAGTTGAATGCTCATCATCGAAAAAGCCATATTTTAATGGAACAGCTTGTGATTCCGTGAAGCCAGATAATTGCACCTAAAAAATTTAATATTATGCTGTTTAATTAAAATGTCGCCAACTAATCAAGAATATCTTGTTTTCTTTCTTCATAAATAGCATGAGAGAATTGAGCACAGCTCTAAGTATTTTGCTCCACTTTGTTGGTTATCTAAAATAATATTTCACAAATATAATGATAAAAAATAATATTTCCCAGACTTACGAAAGCCTTTACCTTGGTTTATGACTCTCTCAAGCTTTATCGCAATTGCTATAATATACAGCCAAAAAATTCTTTATGATGTGATCAAAATCAAGGTCGTTTTTCATATCAGTGCACATTAGATTAACATATAAATCAAGAGATCCATCAATTTGTGTCAGTCCATCATAATAAGCGCTTCACTGCACATGCTCTAAAATGTTTCACTTCTCGAAGAACGTAAGTAGCACATATATCTATCCTTAATCTGATATAACGAATATTTTACTCGCCCTTTTAGGTTCTGGTTTTTATAGTTTCCTTGGCCCTGCCATCCAGTTTAATGGGGCAGTGCGATGTCTGCCAAACTGATGTTCCAGTTGCCTGCCACAGTGAAACCTCATTTTCGATCTGCCTAAATGGTGAGGATTTATAAGAGTTTTCATAAGCACAACGATTCACTCAGTTTCAACAATTATTTAGGCATTCCGACAGAGGATTATATAGAATGTCCCACGGATTATCATTGCACCGGGCAAAAATATATATGTTATCCAAAAGCAAGCGGAACTACCAATTGTGTAACTGGGTCAAGCACCACGCAAACTACCACCACAGAAGCCCCATGGGATCCAGACACATTTTGTAAGGAAACTCAAATGGGAGGCTGGTATACAAATAAATTGGATCCCACCTGTGCCACGTAAGCATATGCTACCTTAACAATGTTATCCAGATAATATGTGCAACTTTTCTCTTAGGTACGTGCAATGCGAAAGTGACAGTAATGGGTGGACTGCCCTAGTCCAGGAGTGTGGAACAGGATTTTGGTTTAACGGAGACTACTGCGACAATGAAAAACCAGAAAGTTGTACATAAACATTTTATTACTTGCCTATACTGTCTCACTCATTTGGTTTCTCCTCTCCTCTAATACTTTGAAATAAATATAAATATTCTCTGTTCTGTTCACACTACAAAAGCTTAAACTTAAACTCCTTGTTGAACAACAGAAAGAAGCGTTAAATAATATATAACTAACAATAATATAATAGTTTTATAAAATATTTTATTTAATTTTCTGCCTCGCAGTAGCTTATAGAACTTGTATACAGTTTTGCCAGCCACATTTTGGAACGCTTGCCAAATAACTAACAATAGTTATTTTAATTCAGTTATATAAAATATTTATTTAATTTTCTGCCTCGCTGTAGTTTATAGAACTTGTATACAGATTTGCTAGGAATATTATGTAACATAATAATCATTTTTAACAGTCATCAGGTCGTTCAGTTTCGCAGAGAGTCGTTTTGGAGTTATAATATTCGTTGGTATTGCAATAGTAGAGCCAGCCAAAGTATTCGCCCGATATTTTATAACAGTAGACATATCTGTAGAAACATAAATTATATAAATATTCTTTTAGCTATAAGGCGATAGGAACGCAACTTACTCCTTGCAGGTTAAATCACTCTCGACTCTGAAATAGCCTTTCATGTTGAGACCCGCACAGTATACATCGGGATCAACTGCGGGTACAGCTGTTGTCGTTATTGGTGTTGAAGAATCTGTTGACTGAGTTGTAGAAGATACTGTAGACTGCGAGGTGGAAGAATCAGTGGATGTTGAAGATTCTGTGACCTGCGACGTAGAAGATTCTGTGGACTGCGAGGTGGAAGAATCTGTGGCCTGAGGTGAAGACGAATCTGTGGCCTGAGATGAAGACGAATCTGTGACCTGCGATGTAGACGATTCTGTGGACTGCGATGTTGAAGATTCTGTGACCTGCGACGTAGAAGATTCTGTGGACTGCGAGGTGGAAGAATCAGTGGGTGTAGCTGTTGAGGAATCTGTGGCCTGCGATGTAGATGATACTGTGACCGGTGATGTAGACGATTCTGTAGACTGCGAGGTGGAAGAATCAGTGGGTGTAACTGTAGAAGAATCTGTGGCCTGGGATGTAGAAGATTCTGTGACCTGCGATGTAGACGATTCTGTGGACTGCGATGTTGAAGATTCTGTGACCTGCGACGTAGAAGATTCTGTGGACTGCGACGTGGAAGAATCAGTGGGTGTAGCTGTTGAGGAATCTGTGGCCTGGGATGAAGACGAATCTGTGACCTGCGATGTAGACGATTCTGTGGACTGCGATGTTGAAGATTCTGTGACCTGCGACGTAGAAGATTCTGTGGACTGCGAGGTGGAAGAATCAGTGGGTGTAACTGTTGAAGAATCTGTGGCCTGCGATGTAGAAGATTCTGTGACCTGCGATGTAGACGATTCCGTGACCTGCGACGTAGAAGATTCTGTGGACTCCGAGGTGGAAGAATCAGTGGGTGTAGCTGTTGAGGAATCTGTGGCCTGCGATGTAGATGATACTGTGACCGGTGAGGTAGACGATTCTGTAGACTGCGAGGTGGAAGAATCAGTGGGTGTAACTGTCGAAGAATCTGTGGCCTGGGATGTAGAAGATTCTGTGACCTGCGATGTAGACGATTCTGTGGACTGCGATGTTGAAGATTCTGTGACCTGCGACGTAGAAGATTCTGTGGACTGCGACGTGGAAGAATCAGTGGGTGTAGCTGTTGAGGAATCTGTGGCCTGGGATGAAGACGAATCTGTGACCTGCGATGTAGACGATTCTGTGGACTGCGATGTTGAAGATTCTGTGACCTGCGACGTAGAAGATTCTGTGGACTGCGAGGTGGAAGAATCAGTGGGTGTAGCTGTTGAGGAATCTGTGGCCTGCGATGTAGATGATTCTGTGGACTGCGAGGTGGTAGAATCAGTGGGTGTAGCTGTTGAAGAATCTGTGGCCTGCGATGTAGATGAATCTGTGACCTGCGATGTAGATGATACTGTGACCGGTGATGTAGACGATTCTGTGGACTGCGGGGTGGAAGAATCAGTGGGTGTAACTGTTGAAGAATCTGTGGCCTGCGATGTAGACGAATCTGTGGACTGTGGGGTGGACGATTCAGTGGGTGTAATTGTTGAAGAATCTGTGATCTGTGGGGTGGAAGAATCAGTGGGTGTAATTGTTGAAGAATCTGTGGACTGCGATGTAGACGAATCTGTGGACTGCGATGTAGACGTTTCTGTGGTTTGCGATGTAGCCGATTCTGTGGTCTGTGAAGTTGGCGAATCAGTGGGCCCCACCGTTGTGGTACTTACACAGGATGGCTGGAATAAAAATATGGAAGATTAAAAATTGTCAACTTCTAACATTTTTACGGAACTAACAGAAGAGGTCTCCATCGGTGTACAAAATGTGCCATCAACATTACAGTATAAGCCATCTGGACATGAACGAATGGCATCGGGGTCGACGGCACCCAGACCGTAGCAGATTCCATACTTGAATTCATCCACACAAGCATATATGTCGTCTGTCAGTGAACAATCTGAGCAGGTGGACGAGTCCGTGGTTACACCTGTATTCGATTCGGTGGACTGCGATGAGGACGGCTCACTGGTTGCCACTGTAGTCGTGGATGTTACACAGGATGGCTACAATATTGGAATTTGAAATTAGGAATTGCAAACGTTGATAATTTCTAATGAACTAACAGAAGAGGTCTCCATCGGAGTGCAAAATGTGCCCCCACCATTGCAGTAGTAACCATCTGGACATGACTCAATGGCACTGGGATAGACGGTACCCAGACCGAAGCAGATTCCATACTTGAATTCGTCCACACAGGCGTATATGCCGTCTGTCAGTGAACAATCTGAGCACGTTTGGCAATTTATTATTTCCAGCAATGGAAGTAGAACTATCAACTGCAAATAGGAAATGTTAAGTCATATTTTGTAGCACATTTTTCTTCTTAACTTACTGCCGCAATTTTGTGACACGGAGTCATCCTGAAGTCTTACTTTGATATGTCTGTTCGGTTGGGAGGCTGAAAAAGCTTTGAAGCGTGCTAATTTTCCAAATCGCATTTTAATAATGCGGCAATTATGATTTATACGGAGCCATGGGCATGGATCATAAGATCATAAAGATTGGCATGAGCAAATAAATTATAGTTCTGCTGCTTGTGCCACATATAAATTTGGCATTGATGCCAAAAACATCCAAATGAGAGCAAATTTTTTATATACACCTAATTAAAGATAACACATTTTTGTCTGCTGATCTTATCCGAAAAGATGACATCAAATGTTACGTCTATAGCTGTTCGTCTGCGGCAACTGCGGCGCCTTTGTCCTCCAGCCAGCTGCGTGCCATACGCAGCGAGGGCAACCGGAATCGCCACTCATCGCAGCAATGTGTGTAAACGTCTTCGCCGAGCTGCAGCAGCTCCTTGGCAAAGTCGCGCTCATCTTCCTTCCATGTACGCTCGGCGCCGCCAAACATTTCCATACGCACGAGCGCAGCCATGGTTGGACCCAGATATTTTTTAATGCCATTATACAGTTGCGGCTTGGTCAATTGTGGCGCACAGGAGGATGTGCTATTGTTTTTTAAGGCTTGAATTTGAGCCTCTAGTCTTATTATTGATTGCTTGCAATCGGCATTATCCTTTAAGAGCTGCTCGTAGTTTGCACTCAATTGATCATACCTAAGCTGCAGTTCTTGGGGAATCTCTTCGGCTGAGAGCGAAGTTTGCAGAGAAACGGATTCCGCTTTATTGGGCTCTGTTAATATTTCCATATCAACAACTTTTCCGGACAGTTCCTTGTCCAGCTTACCATCATCTATGTTGACTGTGCTCAAGTCAACAATTATGGATGCTTCAGTCTTATTTAGCTGCTCCGGCGCAACTTTTTTTTTTTTATTTGGTTCCAGGGTCAGAGGCTTTGGGGGCGTTCGTCTTCTCGCTGCGTATTTGCGGCCAAATCGTGCATCCTCGGTGAAACCAAGTGGGCACTCAAAATTATCGGGAGGTATCAAGTGTGACAATGTAGGCATGGACAGCTTGACCATTGTGGCTTCGCCATTCTCATCGAGATGCTCCAGATCCCAGGCCAGATCCTTGCTGACGCGCATCAATGTGGGCGTCTGGTTCGGAATAAGTCGATCCAATTTGTAGTTCATGAAGCATTCGTAGCGAAAGTGGCGGGCGCAAACTGCGCGATTTGATAGCCTCTCCCGTGTGACATTCAAAATGTCGGCGTTACCGCAATTCTTTATCCAGGCTTCCAGGCGAACTGGATCACGAACTGGCAATTTAAAAAAATGCATCTTCGGATTACGCTGTGTTGAGACTTGACAGTCGCGAAATACGCAGCGAGTGCCACCCATGTTAATATATAATCAGTCCACTTATTCCTGAATTAACAACGGCGTAAACAAAAAAAACGCTTTACTAAATTAGTTCCAAAATACACATAAATAAAAGGTCGGGCACACTTTATGTTCATCACAAGTTTGGCACTAAAATACCAAAGAAAAACGAAAAATATACCAAAAGAACGCATAGACTAGGAATACAAATAATTTGAAATATTTATTAAATTATACTTTTCTTATGTATTGCAGATTATACAATGTTTGTGCTAAAGGTTATTAATATGCCAATAGTATTTATGGGCTTATTAAATGACCTCCGATTTTTTTTATATAATACTGAAACCAACAGATCCCAAACATTAAACATATTTTCTAGAACTTTACAAAACCATCGACCTACAACACTGTCAGTTGTCTCCATGCAACAATGCGTTGATAACCGGAAGAGGTAGCCCTGGCGACGAGAAGTCTCTAGAAGTGTCTAGAAGTTTCGAGGCATTTTGTGCACCCTCTATAAAAGCAGCAGTAAGCAGATGCCGGCTTGTCAGTATTGAAACAAAATTCGTGCGGTGAGCATTGTGAAGCGTCTGCTTGAAAGCAAAGCAAAGCGAAAAAAGTGAATTTCATTTTCTGCCCAAAGAAAACTGAAAAGTATATTGTTTTTAAAGTTAATTCTGTGAAACAAAGACATACAAGGTAAGCAACGACAAAATTGCAACATTTCTATTTTTGATAATACGTAGAAAATGCTGCAACAAAGAAAATTGCAATTTCATTCGTGAATTTTAACAAATGTACGTGCGTATGTAAAGGGAGCGCTCTTAACACAAATCCTTGTGGTATCGATTGCAGAAAGTTCTAGAAATTGCCGCCTAACGCACTATGTTTCATTTATAATTTGTGAAATATAAATTAACTGCAAGGTTTAACGTGCTCACGCACACAGCTACAAAATTGAGGAGCGCGCGTTTGAAATGACTCGCCTGCGAATTATGCCGGTTGAAATAAATTTCCGAAATTTCTCGAGCATTGCTTCCAGAAGGTTGCACTTTTTTTAAAAGCCCTCGCAGCTTTTTAAATAGTTGTAGGTATACGATTAAGATTATGGACTTTCATATTTCGCACATTATACGATTGCATTTGCATTTATTTGCCTTTGTCTGGCTCTCACACGTGGGAATTTCGGCACTTTTCGGCGCTTCAAGAAAAGTTTCTAGAAATTTATTGTGAGTGAAAAGGAAAATTACTTCGCATTTAGCAATATATATAGGGTAAATTTCTAGAATACATCAAGCAATTGTATTTGTTGGCAAGGCAACGCTTCTCGATTTTTCCAATTGAATATGTACATTCATGCGCGCATACATACACAAAATTCGTACATGCAAAGGAGCGAGGCCAGTGTGTACATCGCTTTTGTATGCAAGTACTTTCGTGCATGAGTGAGTGAGCAAGCAATAGCATATATGCACGAAATTTCTCTGATTGGAGCTAATGCAAATGGCGGAAAGTTCGATTCAACTTCAAGTTGAATTTTTGGGGACACATTTACACAATCGTGAAGTTGCAAGGAGTGCATGAAGATTTTTTGGCCTGGCTAATTGTGTGTGCAATGTTTACTTAATTTTGATTTGGTTTGGTTATTGTTGCAGATGCCTGAAGAAGCTGAGACTTTCGCATTCCAGGCTGAGATTGCTCAGCTCATGTCGTTGATCATCAACACATTCTACTCGAACAAAGAAATCTTCTTGCGTGAATTGATTTCCAATGCGTCTGATGCGCTCGACAAGATCCGCTATGAATCGCTGACGGATCCCAGCAAGCTTGACTCCGGCAAGGAGCTGTACATCAAGCTAATCCCAAACAAGACCGCTGGTACACTGACCATCATTGATACCGGCATCGGTATGACCAAGTCCGATTTGGTCAACAATTTGGGCACAATTGCCAAGTCGGGCACCAAGGCATTCATGGAGGCATTGCAGGCTGGTGCCGATATTTCCATGATTGGCCAGTTTGGTGTTGGCTTCTATTCGGCCTATTTGGTTGCCGACAAGGTGACCGTCACCTCAAAGAACAACGATGATGAGCAGTACGTCTGGGAGTCATCCGCCGGTGGCTCATTCACTGTCCGTGCCGATAACTCCGAGCCCTTGGGCCGTGGCACCAAGATTGTGCTGTTCATCAAGGAGGATCAGACCGATTACCTGGAGGAGAGCAAGATCAAGGAGATTGTCAACAAGCACTCCCAGTTCATTGGCTACCCCATCAAATTGCTGGTAGAGAAGGAGCGCGAGAAAGAAGTTAGCGATGATGAAGATGATGAGAAGAAGGAGGGTGATGAGAAGAAGGAGATGGACACCGATGAGCCCAAGATCGAGGATGTTGGCGAGGATGAGGATGCCGATAAGAAAGATAAGGATGCCAAGAAGAAAAAGACGATCAAGGAGAAGTACACAGAAGATGAGGAGTTGAACAAGACAAAGCCCATCTGGACACGCAATCCTGATGATATCTCCCAGGAGGAATACGGCGAGTTCTACAAGTCGTTGACCAACGACTGGGAGGACCATTTGGCCGTCAAGCACTTCTCCGTCGAAGGCCAGCTAGAGTTCCGTGCTCTGCTCTTCATCCCACGCCGCACACCCTTCGATCTGTTCGAGAACCAGAAGAAGCGCAACAACATCAAACTGTACGTGCGCCGTGTGTTCATCATGGACAACTGCGAGGATCTCATTCCCGAGTACTTGAACTTCATCAAGGGTGTGGTCGACTCCGAGGATTTGCCGCTTAATATTTCCCGTGAGATGTTGCAGCAGAACAAGGTTTTGAAGGTCATCCGTAAGAATCTAGTCAAGAAGACCATGGAGCTGATTGAGGAGCTCACCGAGGACAAGGAGAACTACAAGAAGTTCTACGACCAGTTCAGCAAGAACCTGAAGCTGGGCGTCCACGAAGACAGCAACAATCGCGCCAAATTGGCAGATTTCTTGCGCTTCCACACCTCGGCCTCTGGTGATGATTTCTGCTCATTGTCCGACTATGTGTCGAGGATGAAGGAGAACCAGAAGCACATCTACTTCATCACTGGCGAGTCCAAGGATCAGGTCGTCAACTCGGCCTTCGTTGAGCGCGTTAAGGCACGCGGCTTCGAAGTGGTCTACATGACCGAACCCATCGATGAGTACGTCATCCAGCACTTGAAGGAATACAAGGGCAAGCAGCTCGTGTCCGTCACCAAGGAGGGTCTGGAACTGCCCGAGGATGAGACCGAGAAGAAGAAGCGTGAGGAAGACAAGGCCAAGTTCGAGAGCCTGTGCAAGCTGATGAAATCGATTCTGGACAACAAAGTTGAGAAGGTTGTCGTCTCCAACCGTTTGGTCGACTCACCCTGCTGCATTGTCACGTCGCAGTTCGGCTGGTCCGCCAACATGGAGCGCATCATGAAGGCCCAGGCCTTGCGTGACACCTCCACCATGGGCTACATGGCCGGCAAGAAACATCTGGAAATCAATCCCGATCATCCAATTGTCGAGACGCTGCGTCAGAAGGCCGATGCCGATAAGAACGACAAGGCAGTAAAGGACCTGGTCATTTTGCTGTTTGAGACATCGCTCTTGTCATCTGGCTTCTCGCTGGACAGTCCCCAGGTGCACGCCAGCCGCATCTATCGCATGATCAAGCTGGGTCTTGGCATTGATGAGGATGAGCCCATGACCACCGAGGATGCCCAAAGCGCTGGCGATGCTCCATCTCTGGTTGAGGACACCGAGGATGCATCCCACATGGAGGAGGTCGATTAAGCAGCCACACAAACCGACCGCCCCTCCCCTCGCACGTACACACACCCCCCACCAAAAAGAAAACCATACCATAACAAAATTACTTAAAAGTTGATCACATTTCATTTCCTTTGTCGGAACCGCTTCTTGTGTTGACTTGACAACATATTATTTAATACTTCAGTTTACATTGTAATTTGTATTTACGTTGTGTCGCGTTATAGGCGACAGAAATACGCTTAACTCAAGAATCAAGAATAATTTGTACTATTAGGATTTACACATTCATTTAGAGCAGTTGTCGTTTATAAGAAATTTCTAATTTAGAATCCAAGTAATTGATGTAACGAAAGAAAGAAATACAAAGACTTCGTATGCGTTAGCTATTTAATGGAATATGTATTAAGATTGGATGATCGGATCGATGATAAAACATTAACTAAAATAAACAAGCAAATGTGTTTAAAAATTAGTCGTTTATTAACTACCAAATACAGATTTTTATGTTATTACGCCTAAGATTCGCATTCCTTACGCAGCAATTGCTCTATGGCTTCCACTGTGGACGCGCCCTTAGTTACGAGTACTATTTTGTTGCGGGAACGGGAACCCTTGTCCAGGGAGACGTCGCTTTTGCGCAGCCCCAGCACTTTGGACAGAAATTTGACCAACTCGGCGTTCGCTTCACCTTCACTGGGCGGTGCAGCAATCTGGACACCAACGCCGTCTAGTCCAATGTCCGTGATGCCATTCTGCTTTGCACCCGGCTTCGCCAGAATCTTGATGACAATGTTGCCGCTCTTGTCCAGTGTGACCGGCGTGTTAGCGGCAGGCGGGGTTGTCGCAGCGGCAGCGGGCGTTGCCTTACCTTTTCCTTTGTTTTTCGACATTATTTGGGCTTTGGCTGCTGTATAAATGCGTCGCATTAGTTTTTTTTTTGGTTTCTAAATAGCCTTACAGGCTTATTTTAACGGAAATATTTATTTATTCATCGGAAAAGCACCCGCATCCAAAGTGATCAGCTGTTTGACTCGTGTCAGGGCCTTACACGTTACGATTTTTCAACCATGTAAACATTTTATAAATTTAGTCTTAAGGTGAATGGAACACAAGCTAATTTTTCTACTAAAGACGTTGTTTCTCGTGTTTTCAATAAATCACTTAGTTTAATTTTAAATATTTAATCAGATGAATACTGTCAAACAGAACATACAATTCGATCGTAACGTGTATGGTGAACAACTGCCAGGGCTGCAGAAATCTTTGAAATAAAATGTAAGCTGCAGCATACATATACCGTTTTGTTCCGAAGGTATATTAAACATTCTGTTTCCGAAACGAAAAGTATATTTATATATTATAATTGATAAAATAAGAACACAATTTTTTGTTGTAGTAAAAAATTATCATATATTATATTCATCATTGTATTTACTTATAAATTTTTTCTTATAGTCGTCCTCGTATCCGAAAATAACATATAAACACTTGCACTATTCAAATCGCTGCGAAAGCTTTTTAAAATGCAATTATCTATAAACTTGTGCATACCTTTTGCACAATCAGCAAATAAGTATTTTGTAAGTGCGCGCAGCGGTTTGCAGGAATGCTTTTACAATATGGGCGCACATAATGTTCGGTTTTAAGCTTAATTATTAATAAAAATTACACAATATGGACTTAAATTTTGCATGTGTATAGAAATACGTATTGCATAAAATTCGGTAAACTAAAAAGCCAAGTTGTCGTGGAGCTCAATATCTCTGCGGACGTTGCACATAATGCCGGGATAGTTTAGTTACGAAGGGTTCTTGAGAGAAGACGTCAAAGCTGTTGTGTCTGTGTGTGTGTGTGTGTGTTAGTATGCTGAGCTTAGGGATATATCATTAAATTTTATGTACGCTCAGGTTTACGCAGCCCGAATCGACTGTATGATCTGGAAAATCGCTGATCCGCAGACGACAAAAATAAACAATGCCAGTAGCCAGGGTCCCACAGGGTATTGTCCTTCTTTCGCTTTCTGGAAATTGCCAAGAGAAATAAACAATAGATTAACATCAGAGATAAACATTAATTAAAGAGATCGTCGAAGCCACAGCTAAGCAATTCCAGAAGCAGCGATAACATTCGACTCAACGCTCACACTCACACATACACACACAGATACGCACATGCACACTTGCAACAACAATAAAATCAATGACGGCGTGGCACTTTTCGGAATTGGTATAGAATCTAGTTGGCTCGTGCAGGTGCCATTATCTCTATTGTTTTGCAGTTGTGGCAGTGGATAACACTGTTACCCCATATTATACATTAAAAACATGCCAATTTTGTACGGATTTTAACACCTACCGAGGATTTGGGTACATTGCCACGCATCGTCACATATTTGCTGGCCTTTTCGTTGGCGACGCGCATCCTCTGTGGTGGAGCCATTTTATGCGTTTATGACGTAGTTGCACTGTGAAATTTGAAGAAAATGCAGTGTTTTAATACAATTGAATTACTTTCCAACATACACACGCGAGCATCACCTGCGTTCGGAGCGAAAATAACAAAATGAATGTGAAAGTACGTAGTAAGACACGTATAAAGAAGCCGAAGGCAACCCACTGACAGTTCGTGCGTCTGTGACAGCTATGCTCAGGGCTGCATGCGCAGCTAGTTATCGGTGTTCGATGACGATAACAAGCTTACGTACAGCTACAGCTGATTGCAAACTGCATTTTCTGGGGCGGCGTTTATTTACATTTTATACGGTAAAAAGTGCTGGATTTTTTGGCGACAACAGCTTAAAAATACATACAAATTGTTGTAGTGCGTGCGCCCAATGCACTAAAGGCATTGCAAACGCGAAATTCACGCCCAGTTAACGACCAGCGCACAGGCCTTGAAGTAGAGTTTGTCAGCAGTGTGCGGGGAGGGAAATCACATCTATAACACATACTAAACTATGACGATTGATGCCACCACTTTGCCGTCAGAGCTGCTCGTAATACCACAACCGCTGATAGGTTTCTGTGGCTTGGATATCGCGAACCAGAGTGTGCACAAATCCATTTGGGATGCGTTCAGCGGCACCCTACAACGGAAGCCAGCGGACAGGGAGAGGGACCGCGCTGCCGTGCAATATAAGCTACTGCCTCCGAACTATGAGTTTCCAGTCGCCAAGCCGAAACGCGCATCCTACGAGTGGTACCATCCAAAGGGAATACTTAAGCGTAATTGGATGTTAAAGCATCTCCATGTCTTGCCATCGGTCGTGGTGCTGTTTCAGGACATCGAATGGAACGACAGCCAGTGGACAGAGAAACAAGTGCAATGCGCGGCAATTGTGCAAGGCCTAAAGAATGCTTTACAAGAACGTAATACAAGGCTGTGCCTGGTGCTCCTCCAGAAGTCAGCACCACTCCCTCCTGGCGAGGATATGCTGGCGGCTGAGCGCGCTGCCAGTCTAACCACCGCTTGTGGCATTACCAGCAAAATGCTGTTCATATTGCCACACACGGAGCATCTGATGGGGTACACGCAGCGCCTGGAGTCAGCGTTTTTGGACATGGCTCAGTCCTACTATGCACTTATGTCCAAACGAATACGTACGCACCGCGATCAGCTCTCGGCGGCGCACACCACACTCAAGATACGCCATCAGTATAAGCTTGGATTTGTCGCAGAGATCAGGCAGGACTTTAGCACGGCACAAAAGTAAGCAACTATTCCAAAAATAAAGCTGGCAATGCAATGACTTTTCCTCTGCTTGCAGACACTATTTTCAGGCCTATGGAAACTTGGATGAGATACTAATCACTGACGCCAATTGTATGGAAATAAAAACTGTGGCCGGCTTTCTCAACTATAAGATGTGTCGATTAATGTTTAAGTTGAAAACACCAAGGGATTCCATCAATCAGTTTATTATACATGTTGAGAAATACAAAAATTGCGTGGGCTTCAAGGATCTAGCCTTTGAGCATCACGCTTGGCTAAGTACGCAGTAAGCTGCACTTTCAAACGGCCTTTAAAGGCATTAAAATTGACATACATAAAATTGCTGCTTGCAGACACTCTGTCTTCGCGGAACTCTTCTGTGAGGCCATCAAGAATGGTTTGCCTGCACTTCAGACCCAGCATCCGGGCATTTACTTCCAAAAGGCCGCTGAGTATGTGATCAAGCGACGCGAGGCTGCCCAACAGGCCAGTGCCACGCTCTTAAGTACGAGCTCAACGAACCCAATGCCAACGCCGAGTCAAACGCAGTCCAGTTTATACACCGAGTTTTTTGGCGTACGTGCAGTGAAGACGGGTGATCCAGTTGCCGAGCAGCTGGCGAATGTGCAGCTGTGCGAGCTGGAATGCAACTATAACCACTCATCGGCTATTATAGCGCTGCTTAGTCAGGCCATGGCGCAGTTTAAGATTTACAAGTGCTTGAGATTTCGCAAAAAACTAGCTATTGACATGGCTGAGGAGTATCTGCGCAGTGGCGATCATGCCAAGGCATTAACGTGAGTAGCTGCTATTTGTTAAATTTTGATTATAATCCAGCTGACTCTTCCTTTAGTCTGTACTCCTTAATGCTGCCCGACTACCGTCAGGAGAAATGGTCGACCATTTTCAGTGACGTGCTGCTAAAGACGCTACGCTGTGCGCTGCTCTCCGCTTCAGTGGCCGATTACATAGCATGCAGTATTGAGGCGCTGTCGCTGCGTCATCATGGCGAGCAAAAGGAGCGCGTGCTGCTGCTGGAGAACTTATGGCAAGTCTTTCAGAGCGTGCCACCTATGCCACAAACTCAATTAACACCCGAGATTCAAGAGCTGTGGAGCAACGCACTGGCCAGCGTAAAATCGCCCATACAAATAGATTTGGATAAGGTTAGCGATGTGCTGGAGCTGTGTGCAACATTCCAACAAGTTCAACTTAATAACAACGATGTGCTGCAGCTGCATTTGATAGTGCGGTAAGTTGGAACAGTTGCCTATGCACATATTTAACATATGCTAATTGTATTTCTTATTTCACGCAGCGTTTTGACTGATGTGCCGCTGCGCATACGCAGCTTCCAGGTGCTGCTCGCCGATGCCAGTAATCCGCAAAACAGCTATAAACTGGAGGCGCTTAAGTATTTATGCTTTCCCAGTCTGCTGCAGCTGCGTGCCCAGCAGCAGCAGCATCTGGAAAAGGAGCACTTGGAACCAAAAACGTATGAAAAGAACAAGCGATTAGAGCCCGGCTGTTACTATCAGCTCCTGTGCAGCACGGAGGCGCAGCAGTTCAATGAGAACACACAACTGCGTATCGTGCGCCTGGAGGCGCTTATGGGCACCGATCAAATTGGCGCATTGCTAACATGCAGCGCCAACTATGCACGCCAGCCATTCCGGCATCACACACGCAGTCGCGATCTGGATGATAATGTGACAATAAATCCCATTTGCTATATTGCGCCCACGTAGGTCAAAACGCTTCGTACCGGAAGCTATAAACGTTTCGCCCAGCGATTGCATGCCTTCATTTAACGCTCCGTTGAACTTTCATTGCAGCTTCCATTTGAGCACTCAAACCAACCTTGGCCATGTGCTGAGCGATGGACCCACAGGCGCCGCAGCGACAACAACAACAACAATGCTGGTCAATGAGTACTATCCAGTGGTGATCACCATTAGCAATCCGTATAATGTCTATCTACAGAATGTGGGCGTGCACATCAGCGTTCCGTTGGAGCTGCGCAATAGCGGTAAGTGAGATATGTATTATTCGTAATATAATTATGTTGATCCAATTTGGTGTTACATATAAGATCTATTTGTGCACGGAGCTGGCGAATATGTCAATTCTAACTGGGTTAAGATTACCATTCTCGTGCCCATAATCTATTCCATCCATTAAAATCCTTCTAATTTTGTTCATTTTGTACTATAGTCGATGGTGTTACTTTCTAGAACTTTCTCCCTTTTTCTGCTTTCGCTTTTAAACTATTTTAATTGGGCTTTAAATAGATGTCATTTGGTTTCTATGTAAACAATCAGTTGATATAAGTATAAAAACTTTGCAATGATATTTAATCTGTTTTACATTAAGAATAACATCGTCGCTTACAATCATTCTGTTACACATGTAAACACCTTCCATAGTTCTGTATTTATTTCTGATATCGTCCACGTTGATTGATCACTTTTTGGTTACATGCCTAAAGCCTTATCGATAAAGGCCCTAACAGTCTTGACACTTGTATAAACACCGGGATAATTGCGTCTGGCGCAGCCCAAGCCCCAAGAGACAATGCCGCATAGTTGATTCTGATAGATGGCCGGGCCGCCGGAGTCGCCTTCGCAGGCATCCTTAACGCCCGGCACCGTGGCACAGAACATGGTATCCGTAATGGCGCCGCGTAACTTGTACTGATTTATGCAGCTTCTCCGTGTGACCAGGGCCACGTCGACGCTGCGAGCATGCTGCGAGACGCGTTTGCTGTTCTCGGTGGTCTTGCCCCAGCCGGAGACCTTGATCAGATCGCCAGCCTGAAAGCTGGAGTTGCACAGCTCAATGGTCGCAATGTTTGTACCTTGCAGCGGCGACTTCAGCTTCAGCACCGCGACATCCGAGTGCAGGGTGCGTGTATTGAACGCTTTGGGCGTGAACACCTTTTCCACGCCGCGTCGCACACCTGTCGCATCCGTTAACATTGTGGCACCGCCCACCACCTGCAGTCGGCTGGCCGGCACACCCTTCACACAATGGGCTGCTGTCACCACATGAGTGGGCGTGACCAGTGTGCCGCCACAAATGAAATTGCCAGAGATCCGTAAATTGACCAAGTAGGGCACACTGCTGATATCCACTGGCGCACCGCCAACAATGCGCGCACCCGCCTCGTTGACGGCCTTGCCAATGGCTATCCGGAGCAGGAGCATAGCCAGCAGCAGCGGCAGCAGCAGCAGCAGCAACCCCGTTCGCATTGGTTTGTCAGCAAAAACAGCCACGCATTGCGTCAAATATTTGCTTTAGCCGCTGCCGGGCGCGTTTCCTAGCAGATCACCTGTCCAAACAGAGTCGAAAGAGTCGCAACCACAAAGCTTTTCCAGATCCGAGTCGGCTCGCGCGTTTGTTTGCACGGCTTTATATGCGCCCCCCTTTTGAGGAAATATAATTGTAACATTGTTTTATTGTGCAAATAATAATTATTTTTAATAAACCATTTTGTTGTTCTATCGTGTGCGGCCCATCGAAACTCGAACAGAGCCATTAAAACACGAGTCAGATAAACGTTAATGACCTTGATGACATTTTATATATATATTTCTAATATATTATTAAGCATAAAAAACTCCGGTTCAAGCCCAATAAAAAAGGTAGATAGTTCGGATTAAGGATCGAACCTGCTTCCTGCCTTGAGGTTCAGTTTGTGAACCTGGTTGATCACGTTCATAATTTGGTTCACAACTCGGTCATTTATTTGCAAAATTTTAATTAATTGTTAATTAATTGTCCGTTCTACTGAAAATATTGTCAATCGTAGGTATTTTCATATAGAATATGCGGACTACATCAGAACTCTTCCCAAAACTGGAGTCTACCAAATATGGTTAGATAAATCCAATGGCTGAGCTACAATTTATTAATTTTGAATAGAATCAGGTTCGATTTGGTTTATTTGACAATCCAAATTGGGATTGAATTGGTGGAAACCGGTTGGGTTAAAATCCAGTTTGGCGCCCCTATTTAAAATGTAGATAATCAGATTTAGATAAAATCACACTGTAAGCGATCAGCCAGAAAAGCTGGCCTCGTAAATTACACAAAGCTAACCAGTCGTTAAATTTAAATGTTATTGTTTTCACTCTTCAATAAGCATTATAATAATTATTGAAATAATAGTAAATAGCATATCATTGTTGATATATATTTCCAATTAAGTTATTAAGTGCACAGTGACACTTGTGAATAAACTAGTAAGCCTCGGCCAGCTAGTATGCTAGCTCAAAACCAAACAACATAGTGCTCAATTTTTAAAGATTTGCCAGGGTTTTCTCTATGAAATGTTTTACACGTGCGCTGGCCACACTGGTGTAAACGCCGGGATAGGCAGCGCGCGCACAGCCGAATCCCCAGGAGACAATGCCGCAAACCTCGCCGCGATAGACCAACGGTCCACCAGAATCACCGGAGCAGGAGTCCTTTATGCCCCGCACTGCAGCGCAGAGCATGGAATCGCTGAGGTGCGCTTGGCCAGCGTAGGCTAGCTGGCACTCCAAGCCGGGCAGCACGCGGACCACAGCTGTACGCACCTGGGCCGCTGGCATCCGACTACTCTCCTGCTGCACGCCCCAACCGCTGATCCGGACATATGTGTTGGCAGCCGGTTGCGAGCGGCATGGCGCAATTGTGGCCACTTGACCAGTTGTCAGCGGCACAGGCGAAGCCAGCTGCAGTATGGCCACGTCCATGTCAAAGTTTCTGGCCGCGTAGTTTGGAGCTATGTGAAAGCGGGTAACACTGCGTACCACGGGCGCCGTTTGGTCTAGACGACTGGCGCCCGCATGAACAGTGTACTCCTGCTCTTTGGCGCCGTAGACGCAATGCGCAGCAGTTAGCACAGAGTTGGTCGTGAGCAGAGAACCGCCGCATATAAAGCCGCCCCCTTGACGGAGATACACCAAATAGGGCACCTGGCTGATACTCGTCTCCTGACCACCAATAATCCGCTGTCCTTCCCCAGCACGGATCATTCCAATCAGGCCACACAACCCTAACCAGATCATGGCGTGTCCAAACTGAGGCTATGGAATTTTTGGAGCAATTTATTGAACGCTTAAACCCATAACAAGCTGTAATTATATGCAACTAACTATTTCAATGGATCTCACCTAGACAATATGATATTATTGTGTGCTCATCACGATTCTCCAATTAGAATTTAAATTGAAATGGAAAGAAATTGAATTGCAGTTGAAAGTGAAGATTGAACGCTGAAATTGAAAGCTATAACATTGAAAGAGAAATGGACGAATTGAAAATAAGAAGAGAAATGCAATTAGAATTGAAATTGAAGGAAATAGAAGTGCAGTTGAAGGTGAAGATTGAACATTAAAATTGAAAACAACAACAGATATGGAAATTTCCTTAAGATTTGAATCGAAAGCAAATTTTAATATGAGCCGATAAAAAGTAGAGTTTACTGAATGGACTAATCCTAGTCAATTAGCAGTGCTGCTCCAAGAAGCTCTTTAGGAACCATGTCATCGCCGAGCTGCTAAGGCGTGTATTGACGCCAGGTAAGCCGGAGCCACAGCCGTAGCCCCAGGATACGATTCCGGCAGAACGACCCGCGTGCAGAAGGGGGCCGCCGGAATCGCCGGCACAGGCATCGGTGGAATTTGCGCCCAGGGCACAGAACATATTGTTCGTCACGGGTAGATACTTGCCCATTTGCTGGACGCAATCACATTGCGGCACCAGACTGACATTGGTCGCCTGCAGGCATTGATTCCAATTATGATCCTCATTGCTGGTCATGCCCCAGCCGATGACCGTCAGATTGGCACCTTCGGGCAGGTCGTTGAAGTCAACGGGAACCGTGCTGGCATTGGCCGATTTGTCGAAGGGTTGACGCAGTATGATAACCGCCAGATCCGCGTCCAGGCTACGTCCTGGCTGGTATTTGGGCGGCACCCAGGCGAACCAAGCCTGGCGCAGATGCGTCTCTGGCGTTGGATCGTCCAGGCACTGTTGCTGGGCGTGCACAAACAAATCATGCACCTGCTGATGACGCCTCTCCAGGCAATGGGCGGCTGTCAGCACACATCTGGGCGAGATGAGTGCGCCGCCGCACCTAAACTGTTTGCCACGTCGTATGTTCACCAGAAACGGATAGTCAGCAATGGATGCCGTCTCGCCGCCAAAGATTTTGCCCAACAGTTCGCTTGGAGCGCCAGCCAGCAATTGGATCAGAGCCGTCAGCCAGATTAAAAGCTTGAGCCACATTTTGCGGAAGCACCAGGAACGAGCTCTTATATAGTCGACGGCCCGCAACATTCTTCAGCTAATTGACTATAGATAAGCGTAATCTTTAACTAGTTTATTTGGGCTACGAATAATACAACTACTTAGGAATACTCTGCCATGACGTCCATAAACCATCTTCTTATCGCCGGCACGCTGGTGTAGACGCCGGGCAAGCGGCCGGCACATTCATAGCCAAAGGACACAATGCCTACTAGCTCGCCGCGGAAGACCATCGGACCGCCGGAGTCGCCGTCACAGGAGTCCCGTCTGTACGGTTTCGCCGCGCAGATCATGCTCCGGCTGATGTGTTGCATGCCACGGTAAGCCGCGCGGCAGGCAGCCTGCGACCACACGGGCATTATGACGCTGTGTACGTGACGTGCCGTTTCCGAGGAGCCGGGATTCACGGCGCCCCAGCCGGATACTTTGACCCGGCTGCCCGGCTGTACCGGCTGGCTAGCCAGTCCAATAGTCTGCACATTCGAACCGACCATGTCCTGATTGAGGTACAATGCGGCCACATCCATGTTCATGGTTTTCATACTAAAGTCGGGTGGAATGGCCACCAGGTCAACCAAACGGTGTATGGCATTTGAAGCACCTTGCTCGGACGTGCCGCCATAGACATGCAATTGGGCCAGGCTCACCCTCTGGACACAGTGGGCGGCCGTAATGACCCAACGTATCGTAATCAAGGAACCACCACAGATTTCATCCGCCGTGACCACCTGTACCAGATACTTTAGATCGCTGATGTTGGCCTCATAGCCACCAACAATGCGAGGCTCTATCAGTTGCTGGGCTCCTTCAGCCAGCAGAAGAGCAATGGCCAAGAGCAGTGCCAAGAGCTGTGTTCGGAGCATGTTCTCAATCAGGAAGAACTAACACTTTTGGGGAATGGTGGCAAGTGCTTTTATACCTTGACTGCGATATAAACAAATCTGAGCTGATATATTTTTGTAGTAGATCAGACGATCAACATTTGCACAATTGTTTTTACCGATATTTGGGCGGGTTTTGCTATTGACTCAAAAAAAAAAAAAAAACTATAATTAACTTTATTTGTTGCTCATCGAGTTGATTACTTAAGAGCATATCCAAGAGAAGAGCCAAACATTTGTGTGAAGCAAAAGCTCAACTCTTATAATTTGTATAGGCTATTATTTTGGAGGGTATTATAATTTTCTTATAGATGGTAACAGTTCCGACAGCCCGTAATATAGCTATTTCCGTCTGTGCGTCCGTCTGTTTCTATGAGATCTAGTCTCTCGTCCTCCTCTTGCAGGCATTACATGTGTCGTAATCAGCCGGGTCGGACCATTATATCATAAAGCTGTCATATATATCCTTATTTTCTCGCAGAAATCGAATATATTTCTGCAATATCTCTGAAAGGATGTCTTAAATATAATATATTAGCTGTGGTAGTATTATATTGGCCACTTGATACACGGATGCGTGTTTGTGTGTGTGAGTATATGTATGTATGTGTGGGTGTGTGTATGTATGTATGCATGTATATATGCATTTATGTACATATGTATGCATGCATGTTTGTTTTCTAATACCAAACGCAGTCCAAGCTTATTTGCCGCTGTGCTGCAAATTTAAATAAAACGAATTTCTACCAAGTGCTCTACTCCTCGATTCTCAAGAATTCAAGTAGGCTCTGCAGCTTTTCCTGCTTAGCTAGAAGTGTTGTGTTTTTTTTTTTTTTTGATTTTTTTGTGTCTTTCTGTATGTATGTATATACATATGTGTGTGTGTGTGCTTGTATGCACATGTGTATGTATGTACATATGTATGTATGTATGTATGTATATGTGTATGTATGTACATATGTATGTATGTATGCATGTATGTATGTATATATGTATGTACATATGTATGTATGTATATACATATGTATGTATGTATGTATGTATGTACACATGTATGTATGTATGTTCGTACATATGTATGTATGTATGTATGTACATATATATGCATGTATGTATGTATGTACATGTGTATGGATGTACATATGTAAATATGTATGTATGTATGTATGCATAATTGCATATGTTTATAAAAAACAAACATGCATACATTTGTGTATAAAAAGGCATATGGGCATACATATATATAAGCAGAGTTTGAGAATTAAAAAATGGGGTCGGTAAGCAATTAGTCAGTCTGTCAGTCAGTCAGGTCAGGTTGTCTTTATAGAGATTATGATTAAATACTGTTTAGCATTCGAATCCCTGCTCAGGCTCCACTCTTATTAGCTTGTTTTTAGAACCTTAATTAATATTAACAAATCTTTATTTAATATATTAATATCAATTGTTAGCAATTGTATTGTTTATCCATCTGCGAATCCTGCCCACTCTAGTGTAGACTCCGGGGTAGCCAGCTCTGGCGCAGCCCATGCCAAAGGACACAATTCCCATCAGTCGATTGTTTTGCACAGCGCCGCCGCCGGAGTCGCCGCTGCAAGAGTCCTTGTTCTTGCCCTGGGCACAGAACATATAGTTGGTAATTGTGGCCGATCCTTGGTAGGCATTTTGACACACCTTCTGCTTAACGACCTTGAGCTGCACAGATCTCAGATTTGTGACCGAATCGCCGCCCTCCTTGGTAACGCCCCAGCCCCCAATGCGCACGCGAGTGCCCGGCCTTGGCATGCGTTGGCCCAAGGCAATCGTGCCAATGTTTGTGCCCGTCATGGTCGCATTCAGCTTCAGCAGCGCCGCATCCATGTTCATGGATTTGGTTGTGAACCTGGGCGCCACGCCGGCGTATGTCACAGTGCGTACCACTCCATCCGTGCCGTTCTGCGTGGAGGTGCCGCCGATCACATAGAAGGACGATGCGGCATGGCCGGAGACGCAGTGGGCGGCAGTCAGCACCCATTGATCTCGGATTAGCGAGCCGCCGCACAGCGCGCTGCCACGATGCACTTGCACCAGATATGGCATGGAGCTAATGGAGGTTGTGGAGCCGCCCACGATGCGTGCCTGAACGCCGCCGACGATGCGAGCGGAGGTTTTATTGCTGCGTTTAGTTGTGCGATTATTTGCTGATCTCTGTCGGTTAGCTCTCCTCTTGGCGCGCTTCGAGCTGCTGTTTACGATGCGCGACCGTGGCCGGGAAGCGTTGGACCTGGTTGCCGATGTCGTGCGCCTCGTGCTGCCGGAAACGATGCGCGGCTGCACTTGGCTCCTGGCGCGGACAGCAGCAGCTGTATTCCGCGACCTTATCCTATTGCCAGCTCGGTTACGGCGTGCTGCCGCAGCCAGTTGATCCAGCAGCAGCACCAGAAAGACCAGGTAGACCCAACGCAAACGCATTTTGAATTTGGAATGTGTGCGCATTAACCTTGGCGCAGCTTTTATGGCCTGGCATTTGGCAAAAAACAACAAAACCCAACCGACCCGTACAACTGTGTAAATAGTATTGCCAAAATAAAATGAAAGAGCTCGGCTTCTGAATGGGTTGAATGGGCCATGTGGGCCTTGTTGGTGACGCGCGGATTCCAATGGCAGAAACAAACAAGAACACAATCAGGGCTAGTTTTCACTTTAATACTCAACGGCCTAACTAATCCTAAGTGCAGACGGAGACGGAGACAGGAGGAGACGGTGCTCAGTGGCAATATCTGCGCATATTGTGTGCTATCCAGTCGTATAGATGCGGCACGCTCGTGTACACGCCCGGGCTGTCCTCGCGTGCGCAGCGATCCGCCCGGCCCCAGGAGACAATGCCCACCAGCTGACCCTCGGCATTGACCGCCGGCCCGCCGGAGTCTGCGTCGCAGGCATCCTTGTGGCCAGCCACCGAGGCGCAGTACATGCTCGCCGTCAGATTTCTGTAGCCCTGATATAGCTGCTGGCATTTGGGGCGCGACAGCACCTTCACCTGGACGCTGTGCAGCTGATTGGGCAGCTGGCGGGAACGCTCGTCGGTCAGACCCCAGCCGGAGATTCGCACATAGCTGCCGGCTCGTGGCGCTTGCCTCGCCAGACGTATAGGCTCAATGTGTGCTCCCTGCAGCGGATTCTGCAGCTGCAGCAGTGCCACATCCTGATCCAACGTGCTCCGATTATAGCCACTCGGCAGCAGTATCCGATTCACATAGCGCGCATTCCGCATATCCCTCAAGTAGGTCACACCACCGCGCACCACATAATCCGCCGGCTGGTGTTCCTGTGCCTGCAGACAGTGGGCGGCGGTGAGCACACAACGTGGACTCACCAAGGAGCCGCCGCACTGAAAGTCACCGCGTCGTCGGATGTTCACCATATGCGGCTGCGTGTTCACCTCAATGCGCTGGCCGCCCACCACCCGCGGCACACGCCCGCCATCCACTCTATCCAGGATGACAGCCGCACAGTTGCCCAGCAGCAGCAGGAGGAGGAGCAGCAGTAAATCCATTTGCATCTTCAGCTTGTCGTGTGTGTGCTTGTAATGAAGGCTATGAATCAACTGTCGCACGCGACGCAACTGAAGCTATTTATATAGGTCGCTTTTGTGGGGAAGGCCGCCAGACCGCGTTACTTACCTTCCCCAACAACTTACAGCAGCACGTAGAACACCTGCGCCCAGCTGTGCCCACCTGTTAACACACAGCATTGAACTTGCCCAGCTACACAATCCACACATTGTCTTTTCAGACTGTTTGTAGACATTACTCTCTGCTATTTACTCTTTGTACCAAAATGTGGACTCTATATAAAATGAGCTCGAGCTGTGGACTCTGGAATATGATATCCAAAACAAAGAATTCCAAGCCGAACGCACTGAAAACTATTAAACGCTGGGAAACTTACTCAATCTTATTGGAAGGCTGACTAATAAAACAAATTCAACGCTTATCTATTACACGATCAGCTCTATTTTCTATTGGAAACGCAATTTGAAGGAGGCTTTCTTAATATGGTCCTTCTATGCGATTTTCATTTTTTCAAGTTTTATTCAAAAAGTCTATTTTTAGTATTACTTTAAGTGGCGCGCGGTTCTCTCTCTTTTGCGAGATCTCTCGTCTTCATTATTCTGTTTCTCATCATCTACCTCCCTCTTCACACTCTCATTCTGCCTTTCTATGTGATTTTCATGAATTCAAGCATTGCCTAAAAACGTTTTGCCTTCCTGCAAGCAGTTTTTCTCACCACAGACGTTTCGTCTGGTCGCCAAAAGCTGCACGCCCAAATCCAAATTGATGTGGGTGAGCTGTCCGGACATGGCAGCAACGCTGCCACCTTCTACATCTTTAGCCTGGTGGAGACGGAGATCAAACTGCAGCAAAGACTCAGCTACACGTTGGATGTGGATCGCAGCGCTGGCGCCGGTGGAGCTGCCACAGCCACCCACAGCATCACGCCCACCAGCACAGATACAACGCCCGAGCACGTGAAGCTGGTCAGCAACAGCCTGGCGGTCATATCGCCGGTTCAGATTGAGTATCTGGACGAGACGCGGCTGCGCAAGTCGCGCGAGGATATCCTGACCGTGCGCTGTGCCGGCGACTTCAAGTTCAGTGCGCGCTTCTATACGCTCAACCGTCGGCCATTGAGCCAGGTCTATCGCGGCGAGAACTTCCTGCTGCGCGCCAATACAGAGGTGCTGGCCGTGGATGAGGTGGAGATACTCGACAGTTTCTTTATATGTGTAAGTGGGCGTCTCTTAGAACCAGTTCAACTGTTATACCCTGCATTTCTCGATAGGATCACAATTTAGTGCAATCGAATTACAGTTTTAAGCGCAAAAAGTACACCAACAAGTACAGAGCAGGCGACCAGCTGGAGAGCGTCATTGTGCTGCGCACAAATGCCACGCTGCAGGACTGGACGACTGCACGGGATCTGGAGCGCTCCAAGTCAGAGGAGAGTGTGCCGAATAAATTTGTCAGTCGGCAGCAAAAGCCACAGGTGGCAACAGGCCAAGTTGGCGATGCGCCGTCTCAGGCAACAAATGCTGCACTGAATCCCTACATGAGCGAGAGCCTGCTGGCCAAGATACCCACAACAATGACCATCATCAATAACAGCCCGGGCATGGGTAGCACACTGCAGCTGTCCAATGCGGGCATCATGAGCAACTCGATCCATTCCGATGACGGCAAGCTGACCCTCACAGGCGCCGAGGATGCCAGCACTGCATTGCCAGCCGCGGGCCAAGATGCGCCCAAGAGCATGCGCGTCATATACAACAAAGCGCTCGAGGCGGTCCAGGCAACGGGTCATTGTCGCGGCTTCATCAAAGGCGTCTATACTCTGGACTCGGCAGCAGGTGCGAACGCAACGCCCCGCTTTGGCGTCTTTTGCATTCGCTGGCGACGAGCTGGTGCCAAGGAAGAAAATGAATCCAAGTTTATTATAAGTGGCCTTGATATAGCGGAGCCGCCGCTCAACATATACTGCACCATCGAGGAGAAGATGTTCGTTAAAATGCCCATGGCATTCAAGGTGGTGCTCAAGAATCCCACAATGCACGTGCTCCATCTGATAGCCACGCTGTCCATCAGCAAATCGGATAACTTTATATGCTCCGGCCATAAGCAGGTGCTTCTGACGATTATTTCACTAATTATGTTAATATGTATTTAATGTCCTGGCTTGGTTTTACTTTAGCTGGATGTCTCGATAATGGCGTATGACGAAAAGGAGCTGGTCTACAATTTGTATCCGCTGCAGGTGGGCTGGCAGGAGCTGCCAGTGCTGACCCTGGAGTACAACACCAAGGCCGATCCGCAAAAGCATGATGGCCAGAATGCGTTGCTCGACGAGCTCGTGCAGCGAGCTCTGCCCAAGCGCGTCTTTGTGCTGGTGAGTGCACTGCCACACGACGAGTTCTTTTTTGAATCCTTGAATGAATCAAATTGTTTTACGTTTTGTTTTGCAGCCACCGTTGAAGCAGCTGACCAAGTAAATGTTATCCCTTAGTTAAAGCGTGTGCATATTTAGTTAATCTAAGTGTTTTAAAGTCCTAATATATCATTGTGGTATGTAAAAAAATTCAGCTAACTATTAACTCTCTCTTTCTCTCTCTCTCTTTATTTGCTAAAGTGAAACAAAAGCAGTTTACAACAAGATTAATAATTATATGGTTAAATAGACAGACGGACAGACACATGCGTAAATAAATATATTGTTATATTTATAGACTTGGGTAATACTTTAGTGTGATTGTGTTGTAGTGTGTGTTTATAAATTAAAAGCGACTCGATATTCGTCTGACAATTGGCCTGGCCCGCCGCTGCGAGTCTCACATCCGAAATAGATATGCATATAATTAGATATATGTATTTAGTATATTAAATAAATATGATTAATCTGTTCTCTTGCCGCCGCCCGATGGAAACTTGAAGACGCCGCCACCTTTTCTTTGGTTGCGATTTTCGCTCTGCGAAAGGGAGAAATAATATTAGATTGCCATCTCGGCGCTTGGTTGGAATCAACTCACCAGCAAACGATTGCCAAAGAGCATTTTGGCTTTATCCTCCTCCTGAGGCGTGGCACGCTCACCGGCCGACAGCACCGGCTGACGTCGATGGATTTGCAGCTTCTGTTTGATGGCCTGCGAGACAATGACACGCCTGCTCACCGATTTCATGGCCAGCAGCAGATCCAGCCAGGTCCAGGTGACATTGTGATATTCCAGCGTGGGTATGACCAGTGAGTAGTCTGTTATGTCCTCCAGATTCTTCTCCTTGTTACCCTTGTAGCTAACACGCACCGGCACCTCGGGTATTTTAATATAGATGAACAGTTTGTTTTTCTCGGCGCGCTCCTTCATCTTTTCCACGTCATCCTTCTCGATTTTCACATAGAACTCGGAATCCTTGGCGCTCTTCTTGCTCTTGGCCACGCGCTTCGACGATGATCCCGATTTCGATTGTAAATTCGTTGTGGACGCTGAACTGGTAGATGCATTGTCATCCAGCTCATCGCTGACCTCAGTTTCGGATGCATCGCGATCCGGAAAGCAAAACTTCAACATAGTGCTATAGAACTTCTTGGTAATTGCTATGGTTATAGGTGCCACGTTAATCTCGAAGTGATCTTTAACTGAAATGCCGCCTACGGGCGGCTTCTCGCGGCAAAAGATGCGCAGCACACGCTTGTGCGTGTCCACGGGCATATCCTTCTGTATTTCCGTGGCCAGCAGCACATCGCGATAGATTTCGCGTGGCAGCAGATTCTCCATGCGTATGTTGCCCAGCTCTAGCAGATGCTCCACGGAATCATCACTCTTGGACTTTTTGGTATAGAGAAACGCGCTCAGCACCAAATCCGCAATGCCAATCTGGCCATCCGTCTCTGTGAGTCGCCACTGGGCGCGCTTGAAGCAGATCTCATTGGCGCGCACCATTGTCACCGACTTGTCGGAACGCACATTAGAGATCTTGCTGAGCTGCGATAGCTGGGTTTCCTTATAGCACAACAGCATCATGTCCAGCTCCTCGCTGTATGTGTTCAGCTCCTCCTTGCTCTCGCGTATCTGCTGCTGCACACGCTCAAAGTCGACGCGCAGCTCGAGCGTGTCGCCTTCTTCGATTCGTTCCTTGCTGATCAGATGTATATCCTTTTCCAGCGAGCGTATCTTCATCAGCAGGCTGCGTATGACCGTCTGCTTCTGTTGGATGGGCCGCTTCTGATCCTCCGTGGAGTGCAGCTGCAGCTGAAAGCGCATGCGGGCTAATTTTTCGGCCGCCTGCTTGCGCTGTGGCTCCACGTACAGCAGCAGATTGTTGACAATGTCCAGGATCATGGCGTACTGTAGCGAATTGGTGCACACATCAAGATCGTGATGCATCAGCGTGAAGGCATCCACAGGATCATCCTGCTTCTCCCAAGGCGACAATGTTTCCTCGGATGGTGGCGGCGGAACCTCGGTGATGCTATTCGGATCAATGGCATCGCCATAGCTTACGTAAAAGAACTCGCATTTACATTTGGACACGATGCGTTGCAGCTGCACCGGCTGTGCTTGGCCAGAGTTGTCGCTGAGGAAGGCGCCCACAGTTTCGGAAACAACGCCGCCCACACTACGTCCGCTGCCCACCAGATGCGATATATCCTCGGGCAGGTGATTATTGATCACCGTCTCATCTTTGTCCTGTATATTGTCTACCGTCAGCCACATGATCTCTTTCTCCAGCAGCGAATCGTTGTCGCCGGCACTGACTGTCGCATAGTACTGCATGCACTCCAATAAACCCTTCCAGGTTGTCTTCGAGATGAGCGAACGATCCCGCCAGACGGGCCGATGCTCGCGTTGCAATATCTCCGCCTTGGCGGCACTGATAATTACATAGCCGGACGTTTCACAGCCCTTGAGGAGCACCTGAGAGTTGACCAGACTGATGGACCAGTTCTCATGTATAATATCCTGCACGGAGCAAGCCTGCAGTCCCTGCAGCTGCAATTCCCTGGACTGTGTGCTGTGATCGTCGCTGTACACATTGAACTTATGATCCGCTTCCGCGATGAGCTGCTGCAGCATGGCGGTGGCATGGATCTGGCCCGGCGCCTTCTTCAGCGCGGCATTCGTATTGGCAACTACAAAAAAAATAAGATTATGATTTCGTAGATTTCGGTGAGAATAACTGGGGAGCACTTACTTGGCAGCACCTCGCTGCTGGTGCTGGACAGAGTTATAGTGCTATCGCTACGCTTGTGTTTTAGCATGGCCGAGTTGGCCGCCTCCTTACGGTAGCTCTTGACAGCCTCTGTGGATAGATTGTTCTTCAGCTTTTGCGACTTCATAAAGGAGTCGAACAGAGCGAACGCCACATCACGATTGCTTTTGGTCCAGGCACCCTTTAGATCGTATACGACCAGCTTGTGCGTGGGCGTTGTGCACTTGGTTTTAGCATCTTCTTCTGCATTGCTGGCCGTTGTGGGCATCAATGCCTCCCGTCCATACGAGACCTTGGCCACGCTCAGAAAATAAAAGCGCACAATTTTGAAAGCATCGGCAGCGCTGGCCAAATTCTCAGAGCTGCTGTCCAGTTTTTCGGTTACTATGCTCTTCAGCCAGATCTCGGCGTCGTTCAGCTCACAGTTCATGTAAACCGTGGACCAATCCGCACGCGGCCTGTGTATGAGACCATCGTCAATTGGATTCAGCGTCAGACAATATTCGGAGCTGAAGGAAACGCGACGTCCATTCAGCTGGAATCCCTTGTGCAGGGCATGTGACATCCAGTAGAGCACCTGAAACTTGTGCAGGCACATCTGTAGATTGGCCTTCTTGTAGTGTCGACTCAGTTGCTTCTTTCGTGGCCGCACATTGTTGAACACCGGACCACGACGTGTAGGCCGCGTCACGCCCGACAGGATGAGCTTGAGGCTCTCGAACCAGCGCAATGTGCTGCCATACAGCACCAGGCTGGGTATATCTAATTCCACCTCCTCGGCCACCTTGGGCTTCGTCTCGAACGATGCCCAGACGTTGAGATTCAGCGAGCGAAAAGCGCGAAAGGAATCATGTACCTGGTTGCTTGAGTATTCAGGCAACTTGTCGGGTGCACAGGGCATGACAGCATGATGGTCATTGGGATTGGCCAGACAAACCCAATTAAGCTTAAAAGTCAGCTTCAGATTCGGAAAGTGCAGCAGTCGACAATCATCATATCGAGAGGCAGTTCGTACTGTCACCTAGCAAGTTTTTGGGGAAACACAATGTTAATGAGTTGCTAAACCCAAGCTATACACTCACGTTGAGCTCGCCCTTGAACATGATCTTGGCATTTGTCCAGACAATGCCGCAATTGTTCCACGTCAGCTCCATTTCCTCGGTGGTGTTGTACGGATCCAGCGAGGCGTGCAGCAGCACAGTAAACTGCTTGGCAATCAGAGTCAAGCGTCCATGCAGCAACAGACGCATCTTATCCCAAAATGGTAGCGGTGGACTTGGATCCTTCGAGGGCGCTGAGATTTTCTCAAAGCTCAAATTGCACTGGGCCATCACGGGCTCCCAGCAGGGGCCAAAGGCATAACTGCAGCTCTCCAGTTCGCAGTCAAAGTCGTGATAGAACTTAATCGTCGGCATGCTGCGTTGCACGACGTCCGTTTCAAAGGGTTCCCCAACTTCCACGAAGACATCGCGCTTGGCACGCTTCGAAGGCATTTGCTCGGCACCGCAAAGATTGCCGTAGAGTCGCATGCTCTTCACGTAGAACATGGGCTGCGGAAAGTCTCTGCGTACGATAAATATTGCGATATATTAATAAATATGTTAATATTCAATAATGCAACTTTTAAATTACCGCAACATAAACTTCCACTCGGAGCAGCTGATGTTGACACCGCGACACCAAAGCGTTGTAAACTGTAGTCCCTCCTCCGGCCAGGGACTCTCCGAGTCGATTTCGCGCATGGTGCGCGTCACATTGTCATAGCCGTGGATGGAGGTGTCGGCCATGGCGAGAATTTCCACATCGGTCATAATCCAGGCGAGCAGGCGCGTGCGCACTGGCCCGCTTTCACGTATCTTCTTCGAGCGTTGTATATAAATCTCGGAGTTCTTCTTGACCAAATTCGCATAAAGACTTTCAATAGTGCCCGCGGGCACCAGCAGCCTCTCTGAGCACATTTCGGCAATCTTCTTGTCGAACAGCGCCTTGCGTTTCAGACTCTCCAGATATTCATCTACCAGCAGCACATAGTTATCGCGCAGTTTAACCTCGAAGGGATCGTCACTGATCTCGAGCAGGAACTCCTTAATCTTGATTACCCAATCACTGGGCAAGGGTGAATTGACTGTGAAGGGTTTCTTCTTGTAGTTGTGCACTAGCTTCAGCCACTTGTAGTGTGTGACGCACTCGTTATTGATGGCATCATAGAAATCATGATCGTAGGGGAAAATTGCCTTGAAGGAGCCGATGGTGGTCACCCACACCTTGTTAGTGGGCAGCACAAAGCCTGGAAAGTTGAGACGTTCATGGCTGAGCGTCTCGAGATACGACAGCGACTGCATGTCCAGTTCCTTGACCGTAAAGATGTGCTGATCGTCGATCCTGACAAAGACATTCTCCGCATAGATTATATTGCGCTCCTTGCGACTGAAGAAGAGATTCTCTACGAAGACCTGTATGGTATGGCGTTCCGATAGCTTCAGTTCAAATATCGTGCTACGCTCCGCGGACAACTCAATGACAATCGAAGGCTTGGGCTTTTGGGCCTCTAACTTGGTGGATGCAGGCATTGCCACTTCCGCCTTCAGGTCCTGCATATCACGCACTAGCGTTAGCAGATGCATGTGCAAATTGGAGTTCCACATGGCCTCCGTATTGCCGGGTATATAAATAGATAGCTTGCCGGGAGTGCCTTCTAACGCTGGCTGATGCTCCAGTCGTATCATCTTGCAGTTGGCAAACACATCCGAAAAGTCCGTAAGACACAGCGACGAGGCTGTCATCGACCGCATGATAGCCATTTGGAACTCCTCCAGTTTTAGCGTGGCCAAATTGTGAGCACGTGTCAGATTAATTTCAGAGAAGCTCAGCAGCATATACACATTGTGATGGTTCACAAAATATGCCGTGATATCCTTAACCTTAACAGAAACACGCAGTGCTGTGCCCTGCTGCTCTCCCGAGGCACTGCTGAGTTGAGATTGCGACTGCTTAGCACGTCTTGTGCCAAGTCCACCGTACTGCTTAACGCACAACATGGACTTGACGATAAACTCCGCCAGCTGCATGCTGTACTCAGTGCGGAACGTGTGTATGGATATGTCCAACTTGGTTGTGTTTGCATAGGAGCAAAGTTTGACCAGACTGACGCCCAGGAAAAATGGTGAGCCCGGTGAATGCGTCTTTTTCAGATTGTTTGTGTCGTTGTTGGAGTTGCCCAGATTAGACCAGAGCGTCTCCACCATCAATTCCATGCTCCATTGCCGCTGATTGAGCAGTAAATTGAGGAACTTATTGCGATACAGAGAACTCCGCTTCTCCTCAATTTGCTCCAGTAGAAAGCGTGTGTGACTGACGCTCATGGCGATGTGCTCATCATCCAGTTTCATGAGCAACGAAACGTTCCAAAGCTCGGCACAGCCTTTGACCACAATGCGCTGCATGATCCACTCCAGAATGCCGCCATAGCGACGTTGCTTGGCCGGCGAGACTGAGGGCGTCAACGCATCCAAACACAAATGATCCGGCAGCGAGTTTTGCCTATGGCCCAGCTGGAGTAGTTGATGGTTGCTTGTTGCACGCTGGCGTGCAAGAAAATTATTGTTTACAAAATCATAGATCTCGCTGTGATTGTAGATAATCTGGAATGTCTTGAGCTTCACATACAGATTGAATATGTCCTTCTCCAGCTGTGAATGGGAAAGAGTAAATAGCATCTAATCATTATCGTTTTGTGCATTGTTAACTAACCACCGAATCAATGGTAAACTGTTCCACGAAGAGCAGCTTCTCGTATTTGGTATCAATGTCCAGATGCTGAAAAACCAGCTTGGCCAACATGGAGGGCAGCAGCGTCTTTTCATCCACAATCTTTGAGTTGAATTTACCCGTTATCTATGTAATAAAGATTATCAATATCATTTGTAATCGTTTTCAGATAAAAATGCCTACGGTAAACAGCTGCAACTTGGCACTAAAATCATTTTGCGAGTTCTCCTTGACTGCGGAAAATGTTGCTGCCTTAACGCTGAAGTTAAAGTTCTTTGGTATAATGGGCGCCAGTTTCTCATAGTTGTCATTATCATAGCCGCTGGCATTGGGTGTAAAGGCCTGCTGTAAGGTCTTCGTCGGCTGGCCGGGGTTGGTGCGTTGCTTGGCCTCGGTAAGGAACTCGTACAGACCGCCATGTATGACTGACTTGCAATTGTTTATGACCAGGCTGAGCGACTACAGAAAAAAAACATTAGTATACTCATATATGTATATATGTTCAGTCAGTCAAGGCTTACATCCATGGAGAGCGGCCCGTGTGCAAAGAGTGAAGCATCGAGCGCCACATCAAAACTGACTTCGCCCAGGCAAGGACGTATTTTGTTCAGATTCTCCAAGGACTGTCGCCGTGCATTGCAATGCCGCAACATTTTCGCCTGCGCCTCAACAAGCGCTGCATTGACTAGGAGGACTCGTGCATTTTGCACGATACTGCCATCCAGATGCAGCTCCTTGGCGGTGGCATGTATAAACCAGCCCGGATCGAAGTCGTTGTTCATCAGCACCACGGATATGTTATTGACATGCACGGCCATAAACTGTGCAAAGGTTATAATGCTTGCCGGCACTTTGGTTTGCCGGAAATCGGGTACACTTCTGGCCTCGGCTTTCTGCTTGCGCGGCTCATAATAGAAACCATCGCTGACGTCATCCTGCCGATTGCTGTGTATATCCTTATTGATGCGTATGTCGCGTACATAAATGGACACCAGCTTTGTTACCTCCGTGGTAAAGAAACGACTGCGTAAGCACACTTCTTCGATTTGCTAAGAGCATAAAAAAGTGGTTAAACATTATGGGGGCGCTCAAACACGGGTCAATTGACTCGCACTTACGACTGAGAAACCGCTTTTGCTGATGTGGACATTCTTGAGCGACAAATAGGGCAAAGAAATGCGACCGATGCGCACTTTGACCCGAAAACGCTTAATCAGATACCAGCTGATGCCCGTGGGCAAAATCCTAATTAGATGATAAAGTACAGCGTTTACTTTACGCAGCTTAAAATTCCATTGGGGCCGGTACGGCTGCACTTACCAGTAAATGAAGAGGAATATTAGTGAGGTAACTATTAGCAACTGTAACATGTTCACAATTTAAATATCATTGCACGCCCATAATATTTGATCAGCTAATTTAAACGGAATTAATAGAATCTATAAAATTTTGAAAAAAAAAATAATGTGTATGTTTCTTTTCGTTCTTCTGTTTTTAGCGTCTGTTGCTTGGGCTGGTTTAGGCCCAACAAACAGCTGTTTATGTTTATGTCACTTTCTGTGTGGCCAGCTTATGCATTTTGCGGCATTTTTCGGCACAATGTGAAAATATCGATAACAACTTATCGCATTAAATTGTCTCTGGCATGTCACTAACAAAAGTCTTGCAGAAACTTTCCGGCTTGTTTGCAAAATATTAATTACAGAGTTTTTACAAATAGTTAAGGAGTTCACTATGTCGTTTCATTTAAGCACCAAGGAACGCTTGTTACTGCTAATCGATGACATCGAAATGATTTCTAAAGAACTTATAGAGCAAGCGCACCAGAAAATCTCCAGCACCGAACTTGCGGATTTGCTGGACTTGTTAGTTTCAAAAGATGAAGAGTTTCGAAAAATGTTGGAATTGGCGGAGGAGCAGGCTAAAGTGGAAGAAGCAATGGATAAACTGCGCGCCAATGTGGAGATTCATGTAAGCACTATTCATGCCAGGGGCTACGATTGACTTCTAATATTATATTTCTGATTAGGATCGGGAGATACAAAAGCTACAGAAATCATTGAAAGACGCCGAGCTCATACTCTCTACAGCAATATTTCAGGCACGCCAGAAATTGGCGAGCATAAATCAGGCCAATAAGCGGCCGGTTTCGTCAGAGGAACTCATCAAGTACGCACACCGCATAAGTTCAGCAAACGCAGTCAGCGCTCCGCTAACTTGGTGCATTGGAGATCTTAGACGACCATATCCCACAGACATTGAAATGCGCAATGGTCTATTGGGCAAATCTGAGCAAAACATTAATGGCGGGCTTGTCACTCATCAAAATACCGCCATTCAGTCGGACGCTCAGCGAAATTTAAGCGGCACAGGCGGTAGCGGGAGTGGCAGCGGAAACGAAGTGCCAAATGCGTTCCAAAACCAATTCAGCTGGAACCTAGGAGAATTACACATGATGGGTGCTTCTGGCAACTCGGTGGCACTGGAGACACGTGCTCATAAAGAATCTTCAGCACAGGATGATGTCGAAGTCATGTCCACCGACAGCTCAAGTTCTAGTTCGAGTGATTCACAATAGTGTCTTAGATGCAGAACAAAAATAGTAATAGTAAAAGTAGCAAATAAGAGAAAAGTTTATTGTACACACACATATATATTTGATTTTTGGATTTGGCCAGGTCTGGTGCTAGATTATATGTATTTTAATTGAAGCGCACAAAAGCTTAGAACTGGAGTTGACCAGATCTAAAAAGCTTCTAAATTTAAGAAAGAGGACGTGAACTCCTTAAAACTATATATTTAATTATTTAAAATGAATTGGGTCAGCATTTATTTAAAATTTATCCTTTCTCGATAACGATAGTCGCTTTTGGCGATAGCCAGTTATCGGCTTTCACACATCGATACCAGAGGGAATGGCAATTACTTTGCTGGCATCGCCAATCACACGGAAATAATTCGACAAATTTTAGTTTTTAATGCAAACGGAAAGGCTATAAATTTCGCCTTTGGATGATATATATAACTCGCTTTAGTGTAAAACAGTCAATTTTGTAATGTTTGAGTGTGTGTGTGTGCGGAAAAGCTAATGCAAAGGCCTTGAAAATTGTTACGAAAATTGACTGACGTACGGAGTGCTGAGATACGTGCTAAAAGAAGAAGAGAAGCCTCGCCAGCGCAATATTAGAAGTGGTGGTCAGGGAACAAGCAGCAGCAGCAGCACACCGCAGCACACCCCGCATTAAAGTTACACACACACGACACTCTTTTTTTCATTTGATTGCTGGAAAATTGCACAGCGTGCGGAGTCACTGCAGCATGATCCATTGCATTGTATTTCGTTTGCGTATGTGAAGCATAAAAAGGCCCCCCAGAAAACTGATACTGAAACCGAAACCGGATTAAAAGTGCAGCTCGAACAGCACCGATTGTAACTAGGGCGCCCCAGCTAAGTGAAAAGCTTGTGGCGTCGTGGCGTCGGAGCGGATACAGAGAGTTTCGAGACAGTTTGACTTAAAATTCAAAAATCATGATGATACAAGAGCCCGTGCAGGTAAATCGATAGCAATCGAATAAAAAAAAAAAAAAAAACAATTTTTTTTTATCAAAATATACATAAATATCTTTCAATCTGCTGTTCTTATCCGTGTAGGCCGCCATATGGCACTGCCTCAACCACTACGATCATAAGGATGCTGTTTTTCTCGCGGAGCGCCTCTGCTCAGAAGGTTAGTAGGACCTTGACTTTATACACACATATAAAATATGTACATATATTTACTTAACTCGTCTTGTCCTTGCAGTGGAAAGCGACGAGACAATATTTTTGTTGGCCACCAGCTATTATCGTTCAAATCGATTGGATCAGGCCTATTGGCTGCTCCTGGAGAAGTCGCGCCGCTCGCCGCAATGCCGCTACTTGCAGGCGAAATGCGCTTACGAGCTGAAGAAATATGCGGAAGCAGAAAGTGCTCTGATTTCCAGCGGTTTTGTGGACAACAAACACTTTGATGAGGTGCAGCGCGAGTTCGGCGAAATCGCCTGCTTTGCCTATCAATTAATGGCACAGATCTGTATGCGAACGGAGCGCCAGAAGTTGGCGGTGAACGCGTTACGTCGCGCCCTCAAACTGAATCCGTTTATGTGGCATGCGTTTGCCGATCTGTGCCTGCTGGGTCAGGAAACGGATACAGCGGCAATATTCCAAATTCAAAGCACTGATGTGTTCAACACTTGCCAGGGCAGCAGCGCCAATGCCAATTCCATGGTGCTGTTCGGCGGCAGCGCTGTTAACGAGCAGCAACAGCAGCTGGAAAACCTGCTGCTTAACAATGTAAGCAATAACTCCAATTATATACTAAGCACCCCAGTGGAGCAGCAGCAGCAACATCAGCAGCAACTGCAGCAGCAGAACAACAACGGCAGCAGCTTGGCCACGCTACAGAATCTGATGACGCCAAACAACAATATCAACAACAACAACAATAACAATCTCAATAGCTCCATTACAATGCTGCGTGGCGGCGTCCAACAACAGAGCACCAACACCAACTCGAGCATGATGCTACTAGAGGACACACCCATGGGTTATGCAGCGCATGATGCGCCCGCACAGCAACAGCAGCAGCTGGCGCAGCATCAACATCAATTGTATGATGCCAACAATGGCACACCATTTCGAAAGCAATTCAAATATCTGTCTGCAATATCGCCGTTAACGCCCAGCTTTGGCATTATGCCGCTGACTAGTCCCTGCGATGGCGGCTCAGCTGTGCTGCAGGCAAATTTAAACCTGTCCGCGTATTCACCATTGCCACAAATGCTGGTCGAGGTCAATCAGGAGCCAAAAATCATTGGGAAAAAATTTAAGACGCATGTGGGCGGACTTATCAATCGTCAGGAGAAAAGTAAACCCGCCGTTTTTACGCAGGCTGGCAACATAACTCCGCGCACGCCAAACAACGTGGTTGGCAATGGACCCCCGAATCCCAATGCGGCAGTGCGTCGCAGCTCGCGGCTGTTCAGCAATTCGGCGTACTCTGTCAAGGAGAACAACAAATCGCCCAATATAACGAACAATAACAAATTTGTACAGCCGCGATCGCCACCACGCAAAACCAAATCGTCACGCATGACCAAAATATGTTTAAACAACGAACTAATTGAGGAGAAGACGCATCACCATCTCGCCGAGAAGCTGAGCGAAAAGCAGTCGCGCAAGGAAAAAGAAAAAGTGGAAACAATCACATCGGGCGCAACAGCCGGTGGCAACAGTCAATCAACAATCAATAATCGCAGCGCCGAAGAAGCCAAAGTCCTGCTAAACAACAGCCTCAACAATGCCCAGACGCTGGCGCATCAGCTGCTGAGCATGAAGAAGCAATCGGCGGACGGTCTAATGCTGCTGCTGCGCGACCTGGCCGAGGGCTATAAGCTATTGTCGGCGTTTCAGTGCAAAGCGGCCATTATGCATCTGGAGGGGACGATACCAAAGCATCATTTAAGCTCCAGTTGGGTGCAGTCGCTGATCGGCATGTGCCGCTACGAGCTGCGCGACTATGAGGCCGCCGTGCTTATATTCAAGAGGATACACGAAACGGAGCCGTGTCGCTTGGATTACATGGAAATCTATTCCACATCGTTGTGGCACTTGCAGAAGGAGGTCGCTTTGTCGGCGCTCGCCCAGGACCTCATCGCTCAGGATAAACGTAGTCCGGTGACGTGGTGTGTGGCCGGCAATTGTTTCTCGCTGCACAAGGAGCACGAAACGGCAATTAAGTTCTTTAAACGTGCTGTTCAAGTAGATCCAGACTTTGTGTACAGCTATACGCTCCTGGGACACGAGCTGGTACTTACCGAGGAGTTCGACAAGGCGATGGACTATTTTCGGGCAGCTGTCGTGCGTGATCCACGGCATTATAATGCCTGGTTCGGCATTGGCACAATTTACTCCAAGCAGGAGAAATACGAGCTGGCCGAGCTGCACTATGTGAAGGCGCTGAAAATCAACACACAGAACTCGGTCATCCTGGTACACATCGGAGCCATGCAGTTCTTCATGCAGAAAAAGGATCTGGCACTGCAAACGCTTAATACGGCAGCTACGATAGATCCGAAAAATCCGTTGGCACGCTTTCATCGAGGCTCCATATATTTCTCGCTGGGCAAATACCAGGAGGCGTTGCGCGAACTGGAGGAACTCAAGGAGATTGTGCCAAAGGAGTCGGTTGTGTTTTATCTGATTGGTAAAATACACAAGACGTTGGGCAACATGGATCTGGCATTGATGCATTTCAGTTGGGCCACCGATCTGGATCCGAAGGGCGCAAATAATCAAATCAAAGATGCCTTCGATTCAATGGCGCATCCCAATTGCTGTCCACCCAATGACAATGCCCTGGATGTGGACTTTGATCCAACATCGGAGCGTTCCGATGACTCAACGCAGGCGCAGCAGGATGTTAGCTACGACAGCGACTACTAGAAAATGTCTCCAAGTCTGAGTGCTTGTATATAATTACATAATTAATACACATATTTGAAAGAGAAAACAAAACCAATTATGAATTATATTGAAGTTTAGATAACGTTTAGCATTAGGTTATTTATAACAAACAAACAAACAAACAAAAACAAAATAAGATGAAGAAGGTTTAAACAATTCTCTGTCTCTGTGCACTCTGAAAGTCTTAGGCAAACAAAAACAAGATTAATATACATTATATACCAATTACCAACTAAATTATACAAAATACAAAATTTAAATGATTGCTTAAGTTTCAAAACAAACTAAAAATTCAAAAAGGATATGTTAATCTTCGAATGCAGCGCATAGTGGCGCCGCCTAGCGGCGATGCTCACCAGACGCTGATCAAAAGGCAAATATCGATATCAGTTAGAGATGTGCAACTCACTGTGCATCATAATGCAACCGTTTTAACCGCTAGGCTGCGCCAAAGCTGTTCCACACGATTACAAAAAAAACACAATAGAATAATATGCAAATTAACCTGATTAAGATTTTGTTGTAAGCTTATATGAAGATGGCTTTTCAATCAATTCAGTCTCTTCATCGCTGTATGAGTTTACGCTTATCAACTCAAGCGACTCCTGTGCCAATTGCTGCAGTTGCTCCAGACTGAGGCGCTGCGTTAGCTCCAAGACTGAGCGCAGCCGCCCTGGCTCTACGCCCAGCATGAATGCTACAACGGGCAGATGAACCTCGTGCAGTCGATATATCCGTGGCGTCGCAATATTAAGTACATCTCGTATGATCTTGGTGCCAAACACTTCGGCAAGCGATTCACTCAGCGATGGCGTCCTGGAGTCCGAAGATTCTGCATTTGGTGGCGATGGGGAATACATTTCACGGCCCGCAATTGGCTCACAGGACATTTCAACTGATTCGTTGGCAGGTGTTCCACAATTTACACGTTGCAATTCGTCTGGAATAATGGTTCCGGTAATATATTTCGGCTCCGTTGGCAACTGATGTATAAAATGTGCAGGATAACGTTCCGGCAACAGAGTCTGAGTCAGGTTCATACACTGATAGGATAATGTTTGAGTGCTGCTGCTGATCGATGTGGCTGCTCCGGTAGCTGTTGGGATGACAGAGGCTTCCCAATTACTGTTCATCCTTTTCAAATAGGACTCGCCTTGCTCCGGGCCGGCACAAGAAGACATGATTAGCGGCTTTGGTTCATCTATTTTTAGGATCTGCGCAGATTGTGATTTGTTATGAGTACGTCTTCGCTGAGTCCCCGATGTGGGTTTGGATTGACCACGTGCTGTGGCGTTTTTTGGTGCCAATGCGGATGGCTTTTGAGACCCTACAGATGGCTGCAGGTGGGATATGAGGGTCTGTGTCTCATAAGGCCCATTTCGTTGCATGGAAACAGCGTCAGGCTCTTTGTAAATACGTCTACGCCTCTTACCCGACGAAGTCAAGCTTCTGGATTTGCAGCTGGGTGCCAACGGATTTGATGGCTGCATCTGGACACTGTGCTGGGAGTCCAAGGCGAGCTGTGACATTTTACCTGGCAGTGGCTCAGACTGTGTTGTTGTAGCAGCTTTCGGCTGTTTTTTCTGACGCCCTCGTTTTTTTTTCGATGGGGATTGGGAACGACGCTTCTTTCTCTCAATATTCCTCCTGCCAGGCGGCAGTCTTTTGCCAGGAGCACGTTTGCTGAAGCTATTTGATGGGGTTACACAGTTGGGGGGCAGCTGAGCCAACTGACTGAATTCGTCATCTGTCGCAGAAAACAGTTGAGGTGAGCCTGCGCCAGCTGTAGTCTCAGTCAGCACCAAGGAGTCTTCCTGGGCAGTTTGCTGCCTTTCACGCAAACGCTGGGAGCGACGCGGCTGCGAGCCAGTCCACTCCTCCGTTTGCAACCCAATCAGGTATTCCAGCTCCGAGCAATATGTGGTAGCTGGACTTACAATAGGCGTTTCATTTTGTGTAGCCATTGAAAACCAGTGAAATTTTAAATTGAAAAGACGCTTCGAAAATGCGGCGAAACTGCCGTTACAGTTAATCGCCCACAGCATGCGTGACATAGCACTCAGCTTTTGTGGAGGCGCGATGCAAGCAGTCTGGCAACGCGGGCAATTTTTGCTTCTTTCTTTCGTTTGTTTTCGCTCTTCATTTGTTGTGTTCAGTAGCAAAATATTTTGGAGGTTTTCCAATTCAATTCTCAAAACAAACTAGAACTGCATAATGCATATCTTAGATCTTCCGGACACTGTGCTAATGGACATATTGGAGCTGCTCACGTACGACGAGGTAGCCAGAAAACGCGAGGTAAAAATCAAATCAAATGTGTCATCCGGAACCGTATCGAGACGCTTCCATAAACTTCTGTTCGTTTCTAGGTATGCGCTCGCTTCAACTACATCTGCCAACAGGTGCTTAACACGGGCTTCAACAAGGTTGTGCAGGAGCATGCCAAGAATTTCAAGCGCATCAAATCCCTGCTGCCACGTCGTGAATCAGAACGGCGGTAACCAAAATAATCTTAAGAACTGATTGCCGATGTTGATAACAAAAGTCTTTATTTTGCAGAAATCATATGCTGGCACGCCACTCGGATATCCTGACATCGATTGAGACACGCATTTCAATGCTGACAATGACCTACTCCAAGTTTATACACCTGAACATGTGCTGCTTTATACCCGGCCGCGTACTTGACGAAATCAACAGCATATTACGGCTCTTGGGCGGCACAACAAAGTCATTGCGTCCGCACGAAGTGTTGCAGGAGCTGCGCGACATCTCCTCCATGGCCATTGAGCATTTCGATGAAAAGATTGCCATCAACTTTAAGACGGCCATCAAGATGAACGAACCCTCCTCCTCGGCCAGCGCACGCGTCGTTGTCTGCGGCGCCCTTGGCGACATCAGCTTCGACGGCGTCAAGGTCAGCCGCTTAAAGAAAGTTCAAGCTCAGCAGCAGCAGCAGCAACAGACGCACTGCCACAATATGCTCTGTATGGGCCAAAAGAGCGACACATTGCCGCAGCAGGCGCTGCTGCTGGGTAACACACTGCCCGCTGGCAAAAGCACTGCTGGCACCGATGTCAGCCAATGTAATTGCAATCGGGATCGTCTAACCAAGCAGCTGCAGCGCCAATGGCAAACACAGAAAGTGCTTACGTCTCGCGTGCGTCTACTTGAGGGATCACGCAAGGCGCAGGAGCGTCGTTTGCAGGAGGCGCTGGGCAGCATCACAGAACTGGCCACCCAAGTGTCCGAGCTGAAGCGTCAGCTCGAGGATGTACTGGCCAAGGGCAAGTCCAGCGCAAACGTAGCAAGTGGGAAGCGCACAACGACAGTGGCCACCGACTGTTTGCCGCCCAGCAAGAAACCAAAGGCTTAGTGCCTCCTCATGTAGGCTGTAGATTGTACTTAGGGTTGGCCGTAGGTTAAGCATCTGTACTTTCGAATATTCACACTCACACATATATTATAATTAATTACATAAGTATTTCCCATATAAAGCAGCTGCCGCTAAGAATATATATATATATATATATACATATATTTAAAATAAATATATATATATATATATATATAAATATATATGGATAAATAAAGTACATTGTGCATCTTGTAATATTTCGAGTTAAGATTTATTGTTGCACTTGTTATTTAAATATTGTATTACAATTTTACAACTATATAAATACATAGAACATCTAAGTTTAAGTTCTTCACATTTATGACCATTTCCAATTGGAAAATGGACTGACTGCCTTATGGTTGCTTTTTATTGCTATTTTGGTTTGTCAAAATTGCGTGTGTGTGTGTGTTCGAGTGTGTTTATCCGTTTGCTATAGCACTGGTAGATGATATCTATATATATATATTTGTATGTGTATATTTAAAATTACATCAAATTGGAACATCTAAAAATTGTAACGCTTTATCAGCTGCAAGTTTTGACAGGCGTTTAGGAAGTAATTGCTTTTAGTTTAGTTTTGCGTACGGCTCTGGGCCCACATCTATTGCTATTGTAATGCTGTCTAAGACTACGACTCCCGTTCACGTTAGATGTCTATATATGTTGCCTATGGTAAGTGTTAATCATATATTATGCATTAGGTGTCTTGTATAAAAAGGTAGTAGAAATTGCCACTCGTTAGCAGTGTGCTTAAATCTTTGTATTAACTGAGGCGAGCTCTTTCGACTTAATCGTAGTCTAACTAATTGCTAAGTTGATTTTTTTTTCAGTATATATATACATATACATATACAATCAATAACACACAGAATATATATATATGTTCTCAAGTAATAACAAAAGAAAATGGAAAACAAAATTCATTGCAAACGCGTTACTTAAACATATTAGTTGCTTTATATATTTATATATATATATACACACAAATCGTTGCATATATATTTATGTCTGTATAAACTAGTCAAATTGCAAGCATTGCCACGCTGAAAAACCTACAAATCTATATATATATATATATATGTATGTATATACTACAATATTTATAAATACATTTATGCATATGTAGCTGTATGTACAAATATTTTTAAACGCTGCCGCTTAAAATGTTTTGGATCGTTTATCGCCTCCTTAATCTTTATTGCGCTGCTGGTTTAGTAGCGACGCCGACGCTGCTACTTTTTCTTGACGGCCGCCTTGTGCTGGATCTTCTCCTGGAGCTGGCGTATCAGCTGCTGTATGTCGTCCACATTATACGCATAGATTAGTTTGCATTGCTTGGCCTGAATATTACCATTGTTGAGATTTTTTAAAGCATGCTGCAGGCAGTAGACGTTGCCCTCCTCGGTGCGCACCATCGATATATACAAATTTGCGCGGCACAGATCGCATTCGCTCTCGATTGATTTGTGAGGCGGCTGCTGCTGCTTTTTCGCCTTTTGGCCCTTCTCCGCCTGCACCTTTTCCGTGGATGTGACGCCAGCGGCCTGGAAAATACAATGTTTTATTAATCTGGACTGATTTGGCGTGCTCCGCTTGGGAACATACTCTGAGCTGCTCGCGTGCCGCCGATTCCTTCTCGCAGACCTCGTTTAGCATGGGCAGCATCTGTTGTAATGTGTCCGAATTGACGCGCTGATCATAGCCCAAGGCGAAGAGCAGCTGCTCCAAAGAGAACATGGCCGGTTCACAGCTCTCATGAATGTCCTGAAATGGTAAGACAGAGTTCAAATGAACACAAAGCAACTAGCAGAAGGTTAAAGACTCACCCTGAAATCATCCTTTGCCAGATCCAGCCACGACATGGTAGCAAAATAAACGCTCTCCGAGACCACATAGCCCGTGGCCAGGCTGGAGGTATAGGCGCGCGGAAAGACAACAATAAACTCGCCCGGCTTCTGCTCGATGCGGCACAGGGAAACGCCGCGATCGGTCAGCATGTGCGGAGGCACCATCACCGTATCACAGGGCAACCAGATTGTCTTGTTCTGACAGTGCGTCGGTATCAGTGAGGTCAACGCCGAACGGAAATTGGCGCTCTGATCGTCGGGTATGCCATACCATAGCTTGGAGGCGCCCGTATGCAGATACTCGATCCAGGACAAGCCGTGCGGATCACGATACCAACAACAGGCGGAAAAGAGCATGCCCACATGGAGCGTAGGCACCGTAACGCCCATTACAGGTCCCAGAGAGCGCAGCACAGAACCCGCATTGTTGGTAAGTACTTTGAGGTTCCAGGGATGTCGCGCATAATTCGAGCCCTTGCCCTTCGGCCCCGGACTGGGAAAGCCGTAGCCCCAGCCGGAGCTATCAATGGACCCGGAATGCACACACACATGACTGTCGCGCACGGCAACATGACGCCAGAATTCCGCCTCCACCTCGTTGACCGTGGGATCGGTGCTCTTGAACCAGAGGGCCATTGTGTTGCGCGCTATGCGATAGAATTGGCTGAGCGCCATGCTGCGACCCTTAACAATACACTCCATTGAAACGCCATCGATCTCCTCCTCGGACTCCTCATCCTCGTCCGTCGACACATCATCCTCCTCGTTCGAAACGCTCTCGGTGCTATTCACAAAACGATCCGCATTGCGACGTGCGCGTGCCTCACGCTTGGCCCAATCGGCTTCGACCTCGTCAAAGAGCTTCTGTCTTTCCGCCGGGGAGAGAGTATCGTAGGGCAACAAATACTTGCAGTAGATGTCATCCAGTTTGGTCACCCGATCCTGTGCTAGTTTCGGTATGCACATCTCTTCGGCCACGCGCGCCCACTTCTTCTTCTCGATGACCTCTTTGAGGCCGCCGAGCTCCTGCACCGTGTGATACAGACGCGGCAGATCCACCTCCATGCCGCCAATCCATGGTGCATGATTCATCACAATGCTCTGCGTGGCCAAATACTTTTTAATGGCACTCAGCTCCTTGGCACTGGGTCCCCAGCGATGCAGCATCTTATGCACGTACTGGTTGTATGCCGTGAAGCGCATCTCGTCCGAGATGCGGCACTCAGGCTTGAAGCTGGCCGGCGGTATGATCTTGCAGATGCCAAATCTGGCTGCAATGGGCGTGATACGTTCGATGAACTCGATGGGATCGGCAAACTCCTTTTCGGTGGGCTTAAATATGGGCGCCTCGACCATTTGCGTGGGATCATCGTGTCGCGGGAATGCCGTATTATTGGCCATCTTAATGGGCGTATCGTCTTTGTACTTCTTGGCCAGGGCGTTGCTCGCAGCCGCTGCTGCAGCAGCTGTTCGCGACTTCCCTGAGCCCGAGAAGAGCGAAGAGTTGGAATTGACGCGCACCAGGCCACCAGCTGCTGTCGCCGCCGTCGCAGCTGCTGCTGCGGCTGCTGAGGTGCTGGCTTTGTGGCTGTTGCCGGCGGTTGCAGAAGCAGCTGAATCATTTGCCGCATTCAGCAGCGTTTTGACCAGTTCATTGTCCGGCAGCGGCTTTGAGGAGTTGCTGTCCATTTGCGCCTTCGTGACGAGCGTCGCCTGCATGACCACCTTCTGGTTTGGCCCATCGGGTCCCTCGCGTCCCAGCTTGACGGCCACGCCTTGGATGCCACCCTCGCCGCCGCCGCTGGCGCCTTGCAGCAGCGGTATATAGAAGGTGGCGCCCTCTGCGTCCGAATCTCCGCCAGCGCTGGCAGCTGTGGCTGCCGCTGCTGCAGCAGCTGCTGTTGCCTGTTGTTGTTGTTGCTGCTGCTGCTGCTTTTTGCGCGCTGCTGCGGCTGCTGCCTTGGGCTTCTCCAGCTTATCCGTGGGACTGAGCGTCAGTTGAACCGCCGTCGCAGCCGCTGCTGCCGCGGCGCGTTTCTTTGTGGGCGAACGCTCGCTGAGCGCCGGCGGCGGCGCCGCTGTTTCGTTGTCCGCGTTGCGACGCCGATTTGTCGCCTTGCCCGCAACAGTTGCAGCTGCCTCCTCATCCTTGCCAAAAGCATACACCGAAGTCTTTTCGGCCGTTTTCCCCGACTGCTGCTTGTTGTCCGCCTGCGCCTGGGCTTTGCCCTTGTCCCTTGTCTGGCTCTGATAGACGGGCGTGCGTTTGACCGGCGTTGTCGGTCCTGTTGCTGGCGTGTTGTTGCTGCTGCTGCTGTTGGTGGGCGGCGGCGTGGAAAGCTTTGATGCAGCTGCAGCTGCAGCGGCATTTGCCTGCTTCTTGCTGGCCGCCTTCTGTTTGCTCGGCGGCGGAGGCGGTGTGGGCGTTGCGCTGGGCGTTGGAGTCGCCGCCGCGGAGCTGCGTTTGCTGCCCGCAGCAGCTGTTGCTGCCGCCGCCTTGACGCTATTGTTGGCCGCATTCTTGAGCTTCTTCTCGCTGGGCTTCTTCTCGCTAGCAGCTGATTCCAGCTGCGTTTTCTGCGTCAGATTCACGGGCGTTACGCACTTGTCAAAGTCCAGCGTTTCCGGCTCCGTTTCCGTCTCCTTGCGATTGCAGGCAGCTGTTGCGGCTGCTGCTGCCGTGCTGACCAGCACCGGGGTGGCCTTCAGCGATGGACCTTTGGCCGACCAGGCGCTCTCGCTTTTGCCGAGCTCGCCGCGCGTGTTCTTGGAGGAGCTGCTAAAGCTGGTGCTCTCCTTGTCGTCGCGCGTGGGACCTGGCGGCGTTTGCGCCTGCTGCGGACGCAGGCTGTCATCATAGTCATCGTCCAGATCATCCTGGATCTCGTCCGGATTCGAGCTACACTCGATGAGCCACTTTTGTATCTGCTCGTGCGTCATGTTCACCTTGGCCTTGCGCCGCTCCTTGCTGGACAGCTGATCGCCAAAGTAGCCCTCGGTGGGCACCACGGGACCCAGCACCGGTTTGTGTATAGAACCGCATTTGCCCAGCGTGCACTTGGTGTTGTCCGGGCCGGAACTCTGCGCCAAACTAACGCTGGCTATGCCAAAGATCTTGCCCGACTCCTCTTTGCTGGGCATGAGCGTTGCCTGCGCCAAGATGCTGCCAATTTCATCCTTAAGCGGATCTGCATTATTGTTGTTATTGTTATTGTTGTTGTTGTTGCTGCTGTTGTTGTTGTTGCTGCTGCTGTTATTGTTATTGTTGCTGCTGCTGCTGGGCTGAGTTACAGGTGTTGCTGTGGGCGTGGTTGGCGACACCTGCTGCTGCTGTTGTTGCTGCGCGGCGGCAGCAGCTGCTGCTGCTGATGTGGATGCCACAGCCGTCGGTGTTGCAGTCAGACTGAGATTTAGACTTTGACTTTGACTAACTGCCACAGGTTTTGGAGCAGCTGCTACGGGCGTCGCCAGGCTGTTGAGCGTGCCACGCGCCGTTGTCGGCGTCGTAAAGCTGTTGTTGCCCAGCACATTGCTGTTGCCCGCGGCGCTGTTGCTGCTGTTGCAACTGTTGTTGATGTTGATGTTGTTGGCGCGCGGCAAGACGCTGCTGCGCTCGTATTTGGGCGTTAAGAAATTGGGATTTATTTTGGGACACTGATAGGCTTCGATCGGCGGCGGATAGGTGGTGGGCGGCGTTTGATATTTCAGCGGAGACGAACCTGTGCCCGCTGCTGTGGCCAGCGTTGAATTCGCCTGCTGCTGCTGCGGTTGCTGCGGCGTCTTGTTGCCCACAGCTGCCGCAGCAGCCGCTGCAGCGACGGCACTAAACGTGGGCGGCCGGACATAGGGCGTGTGATAGTGCGGCGATGCTTGCGGCAAATAGGACGAGGTCTTGGCAAAGCCCACAGCGCCAACGCCAGCGCCAACTCCAACTCCGGCGCCTGGCAGCGCATACGTGGCGGGCACATTGAGTATCTTCGATGTGGGTACCGGCGACTTCTTTTCCATGGCCTTCAATGTGGCTGCGGCGGACGCATAGCTGGGCGGCGATATTGAGTACGGCATGGGCTTGGTGGTCAGCGGCAGCATGGTCAGCTGCGTGCTGCTCGACAGGCTGTTGTTGGGCGTGGCACTAGGCGTGGCACTGAGCGTGGCACTCAGCTGTGGCTTGACAATTGTTGTCGTCGCAGTTGTTGCTGCTGCTGTCGATGCTGCTGCACTAGCTGCTGCTGTTGTTGTTGGAGTAGTTGTTGTTGTTGCAGCAGCTGCTGCTGCTGTTGTTGTTGTTGCTGCTGCATTTTCCGGTTTGCTGCTGCTGGCTTTGGCTGTTGTTGTTGTTGTTTCTGCTGCAGTTGTTGTTGTTGCTGCGGCTGCGGCAGCTGCAGCTGCTGTGGCCGCTGCTGTTGGCACTTTTATGGCCAGCGGCTCATCATCGGAATCGCTAAAACTCTTTTCCAGCTTGCGCTTCGTTTCGTTTAGCTCCTCGTTGATTAAAAAATCCTCCTCCGCATCGGAGTCGTCTTTTTCTTGTTGCTGCTGCTGCTGCGGCTGTTGTTGTTGTTGTTGTTGTTGGTTTTTTTGCTGTTCGGACTTGGCTTTGGCCAAAGCCAGCGCACCCTTTTTTACCAGCATGCCCTCAATCTGCGGCTTGACGTTTCCCGCTGCTGTCGCCGTTGCTGCTCCTGCTCCTGCTCCAGCTCCCCCTCCTTTTGCCTGCTTGGGCGGTCTTCCGCGTCTGGCTGGCGGCGCTGCCGGCTCAGGCGCTGACTGCGACTGCGGCTCGGCAGATGCAGATGCTACTTCACTTGTTGCTGCTGCTGCTGTTGGTTTGTTCGACTTTTTTGAGGCGGAAGCCTCGCTCGTTTTGCCCGTCGCATTTTTCTTCATCTCCTTTTCCATTTTCTCCATTTGCTTGACATTGGGTATGTCCGGAAAGCTGCTCAGCGAGAGATCATCCTCCTCGTCATCGGCCAGCTGCAGCTTGTGCCCAATGATGCCCATGTAGATGGCCGCCGCCTCCTTCGTTTTGCGGGACGGTCGCTGACTACGCTGCGGACTGGGACTGGCCGATCGCTCGTTGGCTTTTTGGGCTTTGGCCTGCGCCTGGCGACGCACTGGACGCGAATTGTTGTTGGCCTGCTTTTTTTGCGACGGCGGCGTTGACTCTGGCTCCGGTTCCGGCTCTTCGTCGTCATCGTCATCTTCGTCGTCGCCCGGCTGCTCGGCTTTCTTTTTCAGCGCTTTGCCGCGCCTTGCTTTGGGCAGTTCCTCTGCTTTGCTGGCCGCGGCAGACGTCGCTGCCTTCTCTTCTTCCCGTTGCTGCTTTTTTGCCGATCCCCCAGCTGATTTGCGTCCACGTGCGCTTGTTGTGGCTGCTGCTGCTGCTCCTGCTCCCGCAGTCCCGCCCTTTTTGCCACCCTTTTTCAGCTTAATGGCCTTGGCCAGCGGCTGCTCATCGTCGGAGCTGAAGTCGAACACATTGAGACCCTTCTGCTGTTCAGCAGCTGCCGCAGCTGTGGCTGTGCCTCCATTTTCGAGCTGCTGCTTGGCCGCGTCTTTGGCATAAATGCTGGAGTTCGTTTTCTCCTTGCTGATCTCGGGCTGTTGTTTCTTGGACTCTGTCGTTGGGGCTGCTTTCTTCTGCTCCTGCAGTTCCTTCTCCTTCTTCTTGTCCTGCTGCTCCTTGTCCTGCGGCTCCTGCTTGGGCGGCACCTTGACGGGCTCAAAAAAAGCACGTTGTCGTGTCATGCGACCGGAAGATTCGGGTGATGGTATAAATATGGGCGATTCACGTTGCCGCACACGCTTCACCGGCCCCTTTTCCTTATCCTTGCCTGCGCTGTGGTCCGTGGCAGCTGGTGAATGAGATGCAGCTGCCTTTCTGCTCGCCGCTTGGCTGCGTCCGCGCTTGGCATTCGAGTGCGTTGTTTCCGACTTGGAAAGCGTGTCGTCGCCGCCGCCATTGCGTGAGCTGGCATCGTGCGCCGAAAAGAATTCGTCATCGTCTTCCTCCTCCTCCTGCCCCTCATCCTCTTTGCCGTGCTCAGCTGCATCAGCTTTATCCCGTTTTTGATGCTCGTGCTCATCATCCTTTTCCCTGTTGTTGGCGCGATTCGAACGACGTTTCAATGTCTCCGGACGCCTTGCTCCACGTCTATTGCCCTCGGCTATCACCTCGGCGCGTTTGCGCACAGCACCCGCCAGCAGCAGAGGCGCCGCCGGCAGCGGCGTCACCGCCTCAATTTTATCACTAGCCGTTTTTTCATTCGCCGCCAACTGCGGCACCTGCTGCTGCACCTCCTGCTGCTGCAGTTGCTCAACGGCAGCTTTCGCTGTTGCTGTTTTGGCAGGTCTGCCGCGCTTCTTCTTGCTGCTGCTGCTGCTGCTACTGTTGTTCTTTTTCTTGCTGTTGTTGTTGTTGCTGGCGTCGCTGCTCGGCGGGAGCTCGTTTGGTTTGGATTTGCCCTGATTCAAATAGTCCAAGTGGGCTGGAAGCGCAGAGGTGCCGCGAAAGCAGAGAAATGTCAAAAAATCTTGCGGCTTAGGACACTTGTTCGGCAATATCTCAATTGGCGGCTGGTGGCTTTCTGTGGATGTGCTTGGTCCAGACGCTGCCGCTGCAGCTGCAGCTGCTGCGACGCTGGCGGCACTGAATGGGCCCGCAGCGCTGGGCGCGCTCTGGCCCTGCGCGAACTTACGCTGTGCTTGCACCTTCGTTCTGCAATAGATTGGGCGTAAAAACGGGGGGACGGGACACAGAGAAGATAAAAGTGTGAGTGAATTTTGATTGGTAGCAGATGCAACTGGATACAAATTACACGCAAAATCAAAAACAACAAAAACGCATTGAATTACCCCAACACATCACAGACACGCACCCACCCACACACACACACACTTGCAAACACACACATGGACACCTGCTCTACCCTATAGCAAATGCGAATCAGCCCTTTGCGTGTTACAACAACAACGCCACGACGCTTGTGCAACAGTGTTGTCCAGTTTGTTTTTATAGCTAAATCTAGCCTTTTTTAAAGAGACAATTACAGCTGTTTTGGCTTATTTTTTATATTGCATCAAATTGGAGACTTTACCAACACTAGTTGACTTGATACATATTAATTAGTTTTAGCTTTTTCGTAACTCTTTAAGTTGACAACACTGTTGCTTATACAATGGAGCGCACCGCACTTCACGTAAAGCGGGAGAGTTGAGAGGGCGCTGTTGCTGTTAGTGTACTTAACAGTTAAAGTCTGCTGCTGCTGCGTCGTCATCTCTTTATACAATTTACATACATATGTAGGTATTTACGATCAAACAGCAAGATAGGGGGAGGCATGGGCTCACCTTTTAGGCATCTCGGGTGATGACTCCACAGCCACAGTCACCGCCGCCGCCACCGACGATGACGTTGGCGGTGTCTCCGTTTCCTTACGGCGACGCTTGTTGTCTTTTGAGACAACCATTTTGTTGCGAATTTTTCGCGCCTCTTTTTCCCCAATATTTCTCTGACACTGAGAAGTGGGAATGCGCTCGTTAATACACAGTTAATAATAAACTCTTTATTTGGTAGCAATCGCAATTTGTTTTTATCCCCCGTTCTCTGCATTTACATAAACGTACGCAATTGCCAATTTTCCACTGACATTACAAACACTGATTTTGTTGGTGGTGCCTGCACAAAGTTGAAATCATATTTTCGCGTCATATTTTAATTACTTCGCCTAGCCGTACGCATTATAATTGTTACACTAAAATATATATTATTGTCTCACTGTTATTGTTATCGTACACATCATTAGTTTACATTTCACTGGCTGCAGACAAATTTTATTTTTTTACGTTAGATTTTTCATTCTGCTTGCACATAATTTTTTTTCCCCACCGCTTTGCTTTGTGTCCGCCATGACATTAGAGATGAACAAAAACGTCCAAATATCGTTAAATATACGCAATATTGGCAATCGTAATGCAGACATGTATGCAGAGAAAACGCTTGTTAAAATATGAATATGGGATCCAGCAAAATGTCATGTACCTTAGCCGGCTTAAAGCTGCGGTAAGACATGGAAATTGTACGAAAAAATTTTTAGGCAATAATATGTCGAATTGGCGTGCTTGTAGTAATTTGCAAAATTGAACATATGTGTTGCATATCGAAATTATCGTCGACAACAATCGATAGAATGCGTGTCAAAATATACTTAAATATCGTATCGGTCTTAAATATCGCTACAATATGAACATCCCTAACATTAATCGTGTAGCTTGTGAGTTGACAAAAAAATTTTTTAGTGGCAAATTTTGCAAATTAAGCAACCTACAACAAGCTGCACACAATGAGCGAAGGAGCAGGCAATTGGTGTCTCATAGAAAGTGATCCGGGTGTATTTACGGAGCTGATACGTGAATTTGGTAGGTTCAAGTGCCGCGCGCGCTTTTTTTTTTGCAAGAGGACGCGGAAGCTAATGCCGGCATGGAATGGCGCTTAGCGTGGTCCTCATCAATTAAACTGTTTATTTGTTTCCAAAGGATGCGATGGTGCTCAGGTGGAAGAAATCTGGAGCCTGGACAGTGAATCATTCAAGGACCTGGAGCCAATACATGGTCTAATATTTTTGTTCAAGTGGGTGCAAGAGGACGAACCTGTTGGCAAGGTTGTGTTGGACCGCGATCATATATTCTTTGCCAAGCAAGTAATTAACAATGCCTGTGCGACACAAGCCATACTTAGTTTGCTGCTGAACCTGAATCATGAGGACATCAAGCTAGGAGAAACTTTAACTAACTTCAAAGAGTTCTGCCAGTGCTTCGATCCCTACAACAAGGGCCTTACGCTGAGCAATGCCTCGCAGATACGCACCGTGCACAATTCGTTTGCGCGACAAACGCTTTTTGAGCTGGATATGAAAAACCAGAACAAGGATGAGGATGTCTATCATTTTGTTGGCTATATGCCCATTGCTGGTCGTCTGTATGAGCTGGATGGGCTGCGCGAGGGACCCATCGATCTGGGCGAGATCAAGCCGGAGCAGAATTGGATCGACGTAGTCAGGCCGATCATTGAAAAGCGCATGCAGCGATACAGTGATGGCGAAATACATTTTAATTTAATGGCCCTGATCTCGGATAGACAGCGCATCTATGAGCAGCAAATTGACAAGCTGCTCAATCCGGCTGCCAATGCCATGGACACGGCGGAGGATCGTCAGACTGAAATAAATAGCCTGCGCTCATACATACAGTATGAAATCGAGAAGAAGAAACGATATAAGGCATTTACATTTATTTTACATATATTTATTTAACGAGCTTCTATATTAATTGCAATCTGTTGCTTTTGCAGGTGGAAAACGTGCGACGCAAACACAATTATTTGCCTTTTATTGTGGAGCTACTCAAAATGCTGGGCGAGACTGGACAATTGCTGCCCATCTATGAGAAGGCCAAGCAGCGGGCGCTAGAACGCGAGCAAAAGATGAGCAAAAAAGATTCCAACTAGATTCACGTTTACCAACACCTTTCGATAACGGCAATTCAAAATTGCGCGCCAGTTGGAATATAGAAAACATATTCTTATTGCTACGTTTAAGTAAAACAAATCTTTTGGCAAGGAGTCGCGTGTGTGTTAGTTAAGTCGCCCATATAAACTGCCTTGTATTGTATTTTACTTCTTTTGTACCCCCCCAAATGCCTCCAAATTGCTGCAAGTTAATATTCGGGAGAAAGAACTCAATTTTGAATCGATAATAAAAAGTTTCCGTACAGTTAAAAAAAGAACAATGCGAGACTCTTGGCGGTTTAGTATATAATATATTTGTTTATGTTATTTTTATATATATTCATGTATGTATATTGAATTTACAATTGCTATGCTTGGTATTTGATTTTTGCGTTTCCGTTTTTAATCTTTTATGTATCTATATTGTTTGTTGTATATAAGTATTGTATATAGGAATAATTGTTTTGTTAATCTTTTATGTTTGCTCTACTGTTACTTCAGTGTTCTGTTCTGTTCTGCTCTGTTGTGCGTGTGTCGCTTCGTGTTGCTAATTTAATTGTAAACTTTTCTTCGCTCAACTTACAAACTATATGCTATAGTTGATGTGTATATGCATATTAGGGAACTTTCTTGGGAGGTCTTTGATTTATTTTTTGAATTTTGGTGTTGCACTTATAAGCTAGCTTAACTCTATATACTATATATCTATATATATATAGTGACATATCCATAGTCGCACCCACCCTTTAACATAACTTAGCACATAAGCATAAGCACAATTATAAACATTTCTAATATTGTAAACAAAGAGCCTGGTGATAACATCGACATTGGTCAAGATCAAACTGTCCCCCTTTGGTAGACATAAACAATTCACCCTAAATATCACGCCACTGTCAATGTTCCCATCAGAGTACTATCCCACGCATAATTGCTGACGCAGCTCAAACTTCACTCAATTTTGACTCAAACTCTCTCAAAGCGAAGTTTGCTAAGCGACCGCAACAGTTAGATAAATTAGTTCATATTCGGGAAGCAAATCTGAATGTACTCAACAAAAGTAGCCGTTAAGTGAAAATAATAAATTGAAATATATTTTTTTATAGTAACCTAACGTGTAAAACTTAATTGGCGCAGTCGGTAGGATACGTCGGGAAAAATTAAAGATCGCTAAAGGATAATTAATTCCCAGATCTAACGCACAATCGCGACCGAAAGTGTTGTCGGAGTGTAATAAAAATTTTCTCGAATACGTATCCGCACAAGAACCTTCGGGTCACTAGTAGCTTAATAATATTGACCCTTTGGGCAATAAAGCTACTACAGTTAATAACGACTGGCTTTGCATATCGTTTGATCCCTGCAATACGTTATTACTGAGTCTTTTTAAGACACACACACAAAAAAAAAAAAAAACATTTACACAATAATCCATCACAAACTTTAACTTAAAATAAAAGTGCAAAATCAAAGAACAATAAAGTTCAAACCTACAAACTCAAAACTATTCAAAAAAAGTGTATTACACCAAGATGACAATGGAATTATCAGAACAACACCTCAACCAGGCCCTTTCACAACTTAGACAGGTGCCAAGCTTTGACGGATCAACGGATCAACTAAACGCCTTCATTAAAAGGATAGATTACATCCTACACCTGTATCCAACCCGAGATGTTAGACAACATAGCATCTTATACGGAGCCATCGAATTGCAAGTCACAGGAGATGCTCAGAGAATATCACAAAGGACAGCAGCCAACACTTGGCAGGAGCTGAGAAACGCATTGATTGAAGAATACAAAGTGCAGACACCATTTGAAGAACTCCTTCGACGCTTATACAACACGAATTACCAAGGAAACGTCCGTAAGTTCATCGAGGAGCTCGAGAATAAATCTTTTGTTATTTTAAATAAGTTAGCACTAGAAAATATACCTAGCAATACAACCCTTTATACAAATGCTATGAATAACACAATCAAAGATGTTATTACAAAAAAATTACCAGATAGGCTTTTCATGATGTTAGCCAGACACGACATTACGTCGACACAAAAACTAAAGCAAGTAGCTCAAAGAGAGGGATTATATGAAAATAGCGTTACTGAAAAACCTAAAAATAATAATGTTCAGGGAAATCCAAATAACAATCGTAGGAACATGGGAAATTATCAGCAAAATGCTAACCCAACCACCATTTCAAGTGGCTATTCCAACACGAATCAGAGTTATCACGCACAAAATAAACAGCATAATAAGTCCGAAGACAATCAGAAAGCTCACCACGAGTTCCAACAGAAATTAAGTCAAGGTAGATACCAAAATCCCTTAAACTACCAAAATCAGTCCCATTCACGCTTGAATGCACCAAACCCTCCGACTAAACGTCAAAGAGATAGTAACAGTGGGCAGATGAAAATGGATACATCCGAAAATTTTCATCAGCAAGCCTCGGAACAAACAGAAGAAATCCATTCATAAAATTGATTATGAATGACGAAGTTCTAAAATGTGTCATCGACACAGGTTCAACCATTAATCTAATGAAAACTAACCGCTTAAATTTTCCAGTTTACAACGAAACATTAAAGGTTCACACCATAAATGGTGTTATTGAATTAAAACAAAGTATACGATTAGGAGCAAGCAAAATTTGTCCGAGCAAACAAAAATTCTATATTCACGACTTCTCAGAGCATTATGATGTTCTGATTGGGAGAGAATACCTTGAGGCATGTCAAGCAAAAATAGACTATGCACAAGGATCCGTAACCTTAGGAGAATTTAACTTTTGTTTTAGATATAATGACGAAGAGGTCGAAGAGGACATGACCGCACAAGAGTGCCTTGATCCACCCTCAACAGAGGACAGACCATTTAACTTCGCTATAAATAATGAATTAATAGAAAACAATGAGTTTAGGCTAGAGCACCTAAACTCAGAAGAAAAAGAAAAAATAAAAAAAGTTTTACATGAATTTCGTGATATCCAGTACCATGAAGGTGACAATTTGACTTTCACTAGTACAATTAAACACAAAATTCTAACAAAACATGAGGACCCAATTTACAAGCGTCCATACAAATATCCTCAAATATACGATGAGGAAGTAAATAAACAAATAAGCGATATGATAAAACAAAATATCATACGTAAATCCAAATCCCCTTACTGCTCACCAGTAATAATCGTTCCAAAGAAAAACGATGCATCTGGAAAGCAAAAATTCCGGTTAGTCATAGATTACCGCAATCTCAATGAACTAACTATTAATGATAAATACCCTATCCCGATCATGGATGAAATATTAGACAAACTTGGAAAATGTCAATATTTCACAACCATTGATCTAGCCAAAGGCTTTCACCAAATCCAAATGGATCCTGGTTCAATACCCAAGACCGCATTTTCGACTAAACATGGCCATTACGAGTACACTCGCATGCCATTTGGTCTTAAGAATGCACCTGCAACGTTCCAACGTTGTATGAACAATCTCTTAGAAGATTTAATTTTTAAGGATTGTCTGGTCTACTTAGACGACATTATTATTTTTTCCACTTCATTGGAGGAACACATTTTGTCGCTACAAAAGGTATTTAAGAAGCTTAGAGAAGCTAACTTAAAACTACAGTTGGATAAATGCGAGTTTATGAGAAAAGAAACTGAATTTCTCGGTCACATCATCACAACTGAGGGTATAAAACCAAATCCCAACAAGATACAAGCAATTGTCAAATTCCCAATTCCAAAAACCCCAAAAGAAATTAAATCATTTCTAGGATTATGTGGTTTCTATAGGAAATTTATACCAAATTTCGCTAATATAGTAAAACCATTAACACTTAAATTAAAAAAGGGAGCAAAAATCAATATAAAAGACAGAGACTACGAACTAGCGTTTGAAAAGCTAAAAGTACTCATAACATCCGACCCAATTTTAATATACCCTAACTTCGAAAAACCATTTTCATTAACTACAGACGCGAGTAATATGGCAATAGGGGCCGTCCTTTCGCAAGAGCATAAGCCTATATGCTATGCAAGTAGAACTCTCAACGAGCATGAGTTAAATTATTCAACGATTGAAAAAGAATTATTAGCAATCGTTTGGGCCACTAAATACTTTAGGTCCTATCTTTTTGGTCGACAATTTCAAATCCTTAGTGATCACAGACCACTCGTCTGGTTAAATAATATGAAAGAACCTAACATGAAATTACAAAGGTGGAAGATCAAGCTAAATGAGTTTGATTTCCAAATTAAATACGTCCCAGGAAAAGAAAATTATGTGGCAGATGCTCTGTCCAGAATTCAATTAAACGAAAACTTCTTAGGCGAAGATACAATTAGCACAAGAGCAACAATACATAGTGCTCAAGAAGACAACAGTAACCATTTACAAATCACAGAAAGACCACTTAATTATTATAATCGACAAATAGAATTTGAAAAAGGAACCGAGAACGAAACAAAAGTTACGAATTACTTTCACAAAACCAACATAAAAATTACGTACAAAGACATGACTAATACGCATGCCAAAGAATTAATAAAAGAATACTTATGCACAAAGAAAAGTGTGCTATACTTCCACAACGAAGCAGATTTTCCAATTTTTCAAGAAGCCTACTTAGAAATAATAAGTCCGAATAATTCAACAAAGGCAATGAAAACTAGTACAAAATTAATAGACCTTCAAACATATGCAGAATTCAAAGAATTAATATTAAAAAAGCACAAAGAATTATTACATCCAGGAATTGAAAAAACTATCAATTGGTTCAAAGAAACCCACTATTTCCCAGATTATCAAAATTTAATTCAAAATCTAATAAATGAATGTGAGATTTGCAACATCGCAAAAACAGAACACAGAGATACAAAATTAACTTTCGAAATAACTCCGGAAATCGCTAATATCCGAGAAAAATATGTAATGGATTTTTACATAGTAGGAGATAAACAATTTTTATCTTGCATTGATATCTATTCAAAATTTGCATCATTAATAGAAATAAAAAGTAGAGACTGGCTAGAAACCAAACGAGCTATATTACAAGTGTTCAACCAAATGGGTAAACCCATCGAAATAAAGGCAGACAAAGACTCAGCTTTTATGTGCACAGCTTTACAATTATGGCTAAAATCAGAAGCAGTAAATATTAATATAACCACTAGTAAAAATGGTATATCCGACGTAGAACGATTTCATAAGACAGTTAACGAAAAACTAAGAATCATTAACAGCGACTCAGACGTCGAAAATAAACTTACAAAATTTGAAACTATACTCTACACGTACAATCATAAAACAAAGCACAAAACGACTAACAGAACACCAGCGGACATATTCATATATGCAGGTACACCAGAGTATGACACTCAAGCTAATAAAGAAAAACTAATAAATAACCTCAACAAAAAACGAACAAATTATGAAATTGACACTAGATACAAACACTCACCGTTAGTTAAATCAAAGACGACAACCCCGTTCAAGAAAACAGAACTAAGACAAATCGACGACAAACATTTTGAGGAAACTAACAGAGGCAGGAAAATAACACATTACAAAACCAAATTCAAAAAGAAAAAGAAGACTAATCAAAGCAAATATAACAATTACAGGTCAACAACAGACAGCGATCAAAACATACAAGCACCAGCTTAAATTAATTATTATAATATTACTATCAATAACTGTAAACCATATAAATGCACAGAGTATTGAAATTAATCCTATCAAAGCCCATAACGGATATCTCATATTTAAAACAGGAACCATAGACATTCCGACAGATTACGAATTCCACTGTTTAACGGTTAATATAACAAAAACCGAAGAAACTTTTAACAATTTAATTGAACAAAGTAAAGAATAATCAATAACCTTATACAAATCGAATACCTAGTAGAGAAATTAAACAGAGAAATAAACGGCTTAAAAATAGCCAAACGTAGCAAAAGAGGTTTAGTTAACATAGTAGGAACAGCATATAAATACTTATTTGGAACATTAAATCAAGAAGACAAAGCAGAAATTGAACAAAAAATAAGCAACTTAGCAGAAAACAGCGTTCAGGTTAACGAATTAAATTACATAATAGAAGCTATAAACAAAGGAATAGAAATCATGAACGAACTAGATCAAGAGAAACAAAAAGGAAAGAAATTAGATATCCTTATATTTAACTTACAACACTTTACAGAATATATAGAAGACATTGAGATGGGAATGCAGCTCACAAGATTAGGAATTTTTAACCCAAAATTACTAAAACATGACTATTTGTTGCATGTTAATTCTGAGAAATTGTTGAATACAAAAACTTCCACTTGGTTTAAATCAGATACAAACGAAATACTGATAATATCCCATATTCCTCGAGAAATAATAAAAAGCCCGGTATTCGAAATAATTCCATACCCGGATGAAAATAATAATATTTTGACAGAAATAGCTCATGAAAAATATTTTACCCAAGATAAAAAAGTTTATAGCAGAGAAACAAAAAAATTAATTAATAATGAATGTTTAACAGGAATTTTAAACCAAATAACATCAGAATGTAGTTATACTAAAATTTTGCAAAATTTTCAAATCAACTACATAGAACCAAATATAATTTTAACTTGGAATTTACCAAAAACTATATTAAACCATAATTGTATAAATAACGAAATAACAATAGAAGGAAACAATATAATAAAAATCTTTAATTGTTCATTGCAAATTAATGAAATTTCAATTTCAAACAATATGTTAGATTATACTCAAAGCATTTACGTAAGCAATGATGTTATAAAATTAGAACCACTTTCGTTTGTACAAACGAAACAAATTATAAATGCACATACAAAATTTAACAATGTATTCCAGATAATTACAATAACCATATTTGTAATCATATTAATAAGTTTAACACTGTATTTGACATATAAGTTCAAAAGCATACCTAAGAAATTAATTATAAAATATAAAAAACCCAAAGTAGAAGAAACACCTACAATAATAGGAGATATACCAATTCTAAAAGAAGAAAATGTTACACTATATCCAAACTTAAACACCTGAGGACAGGCACTTTTCTAATGGTTGGGGGAGTGACATATCCATAGTCGCACCCACCCTTTAACATAACTTAGCACATAAGCATAAGCACAATTATAAACATTTCTAATATTGTAAACAAAGAGCCTGGTGATAACATCGACATTGGTCAAGATCAAACTGTCCCCCTTTGGTAGACATAAACAATTCACCCTAAATATCACGCCACTGTCAATGTTCCCATCAGAGTACTATCCCACGCATAATTGCTGACGCAGCTCAAACTTCACTCAATTTTGACTCAAACTCTCTCAAAGCGAAGTTTGCTAAGCGACCGCAACAGTTAGATAAATTAGTTCATATTCGGGAAGCAAATCTGAATGTACTCAACAAAAGTAGCCGTTAAGTGAAAATAATAAATTGAAATATATTTTTTTATAGTAACCTAACGTGTAAAACTTAATTATATATATATATATATATATATGTTTGTTTAACTTTTGGAAAACTAAAAATGAAAGAATTCGGAAACCGAAGCACGAGCTACAAATTTATAGAATCGAGATAATGCCAAGGTTTGGCATAAAAACTATTCTTGTTAGATTTTCTGCGTTATGTCTAATTGGAATTTCATTCTCATTACCGTTATGATGGTAATTTCTTTAAATTTGTTACACTAATTTTTTTTTTTTACTAATTTCTTGTATTCTCTTTATAATTTAGCACTTAGTTTTCAATAATTTACTTAGCATCATTTCGCTTAACAATTTCCACATTTTGCGTATAATTTTGTTTTTGTTTTTGTTTCTTTTTCGTATTGAAGACACAACAGTTACTGGTCCAGTTCCAGGAAGTATATGTAATATGTATGCGTGTGTATGTGTATATTGTGTGTATTTGTGTTGTAGCTTTGCAACGCCAGCGCAGGCGCTAAGGATAGCTTTTACCGTGGCACATAACTGTATTGCGTCGTCAGTTCGCTGCACGCATCGCTCTGCTGCGTAGCTGCTGTCAGTGCGGCGAAGGCGTGCTGTGGGCGTGGCGTTTGTGTTACCAAAGAATTTGCCGCCTGTGCCGATGGCGGCGTGGTATCGTACTTTGTTAAATCGACACTTGTTGCTATAAAAAGAGAGGGAAATTAAATTTAAATATAATATAGATATCGCAGTTGCCCGTTGTACTGAAAATATTGCAAGACGTAAATATTTTCATATACAAGATGCGGGCTAAATTTGATTGCAACCCAAAATTGGCATTTACCAAATCTGATTGGCTAAATGCAATTTTTGGAACCAACATTTTTTTTTTTTAAATCAAACCTTTTCGAAATAAAGTGATATATTTAAACTGGTGAAAGTGAATTAAGCGTTAAAAAAAAGAATCGATTCAAATTTTGTAACTGGTCACACTTTAAATGCAAATTTGGTATTTAATCAAGTTTGAACTTAAAAATGCCATTTATTGTATTCAAGAGAAACGAACATGGTTTACCAGCCGCATGCAGGCGATTGTAGAGATTCTTGCGCTTCTTCTTCAGGAGTACGTCCAAATTGTAACTGTCCGAACCAGCTCTGAGTAGTAGATTTAAGCGAATTAAGTATTTATGAAATTTAATGAGTTAACTTAAAGCTCACTTGTCGGGTCGTCCGTTGCCGAGCAACTCCTTGAATGCCACATAGATCTTGTTTAGCGTCAGATTGGATAGCCCCTGGCCCAGATATCGTACAAATTTAAGTTGTTCACATTTGGATAAAGCGCTCTCGTGGAAGTCCAAAAAGGGTCGATGATCGGATATCTGATATTCCTAATTGAATCAAAGCAAAATTTGCGAATCAGTTAAGAAATGGGCTCTACATTAAGGGAACGGCAAGAGTTTTGTTCTATGCTCTAGGGATGACGGTGCAATTTTGAGTTCTAGCAATACTATAACAATGAATAATGCCAATGTGTGTATATTAAATATAGCCAATTGTTGGGTAGGGTGTTTCTTTTTTTTTTTGGGAAGGGAGGCTCAAGAACAAAGCTCCGCTGCACGCTACGCAATCGCCTCCATCCTGGTTGAGAGGCTGTGCGCGTTTAGGATGAGCACGTCGATACACATTTGCTCACATTGCAAAACTTGATGAAGTTCTCGATGAGTATGCACTTTTCATAATTGCTCAGACATTGCTGGCTACTACTCTGTATACCGAACTGTTTCAATAGCTCCTGCTTCTTGGGCGGCAGGCGGCTGATGTGCGTACAGACGCCATCTTCGATGCGGTGCGTCTCGTGCACATTGAAATTCTCATAGATGATAAGCTGTTCGAGTGAACGCGGCGGCGGTCCCAGCGGCGGCAGTGACGGTGGCGGCAACAGGGGCAGCGACGCAGGCGCCACACAACCGTAGCGTGTGTCCAGGGGTTGAGCAGAAGCCGCTGCTGTTACGTAGCTGTTAACTATGTTGGCGCTGTTACTGTTGTTGCTGCTGTTGCTGTTAACGCTGCTGCTGCTGCTGCTGTTGTTGTTGTTATTGTTGCTATTGCTGCTGCTGCTGCTATTGCTGGCAAACTCGAGCGTACCGTCATTTGCGGCCGCCATATTCTTGAGGTCTACAAGAGAGAGTTTCATTTTTATAGAGACAGCAAGGGGGAGAGAAAGAGAGCGAGAGAGAGAGATAGAGAAAAAGAGCGCAGCGGCCAATGCATAAGAATTGTGACGCTTGGCTAGCACAAATGCAGGGTTACGCGAGAACAGGCTCAATAAATACTCATTCAAAATAAATAAACCTTTTTTTTGTTGTTTTTTTTTTTGCTATGTATGTATATAGATATATGTATATTTGTTGTTGCAAACAAAATTTCGCTTTATATGTTTTTTATATACATATGTATTTATGTAGAGGCTGTGTATATAGTTAGGATGGGTCTTGAACATACATATAATTTGTTCCTGGCTTACTAAAATATATGTATATGTATATATACTATTACATATTACTTTCAATAGTTGCGCATTGACGCATGATTCTCTATAATGACAGTTTACATGTGTATGTGTGTGAGTGTCTGTGTGTGTGTGTATGTGTGCGTAATTGTAATAATCTCTTTTCAAGGAATAACATTGCATAGTTCAGGGCGTGTTCATCGTCCAACAATTTAGTCGTTTAACATAATACATATTAAAAAAATTTGGCAATAAGCTTGTAAAATTAGACTACAAACGAAATACATACGCTAAGTGCAAAACAGGACAAAGACAACATGATTAACATAAATAAACCAAATGGTGTAAATAGAAGAGCTAAGAGCTAATAATAGTTGTTGGGCTTTTATTAGTTTTGTTTCTTTCGATTTTGATACTTTAGGTAGCTGGAGCGCCACCTACGATTGTCAACAGGTGGCGCCACTGCCGCCATATTTGGCGCCACGCCGACGCCAGTCTCACATATTGGGCGGCAGCGCATGCGGCGGCGGCTGTGCTGCATTTTGGGTTGTCGTTGGCGCCACCTGTTGGCCATACCCGAGGGGTGCTGCCATATGTGCGTGTGGATGCGGATGTGAGTGCGGATGTGGATGAGGATGCGGATGGGGATGGGGATGGGAATGCGGATGTGGTGGCAGACCGTAGTGCGTCTGATGCGGATGTGCGTAGGCAAAGTGATGCGGATGCGGATGTGGATGTTGCTGCATATGTGGATGCGGATGTGGATAGTGATGTGGATGCGGTGGCGCATGATGTGCTGCGTGCTGTGGATGTTGTTGTTGCTGATGATGATGCGGCGTCAGGGGCAGACCACGCGTGGGCGTGGACGACTGTTGTTGTTGTTGCTGCTGTTGCTGCTGCTGCTGCTGCTGCTGCGGATGTTGCTGTTGCTGCGGCTGCAGATGATGCGGCGGCGGTGCATGCGGCTGCAACAAATGCGTATGTTGCGGATGCGGCGTTGCCGCTGCTGGCGTTGTGGGCGTGCCCGGCCTGGGCAGGGGCGTGCCAGTGGGTGTCATTGTGCGTGCTGCTGCTAATAACGGCGCCTGATGCTGCGACTGCGCTGCTTGCTGCGTGTGTAAGTGTGTGCTGCTGTTGCCTGTTGCGTGTGTGTTGTTGCTGTTGTTGTGGTTGTTATTGGGTGCTGTTATTATTGTTGTTGTTGTTGCTGTTGTTGCTGCTGGCGAGGCTGGCGCAGATTCGCATTGCTCTTGTGTTTGTTTGAGCGGTGTGGATGTTGTTGTTGTGTTGTTGGTCTTGTTGCTGTTGTTGTTGTTGTTGGTATTTTCGCCTAGTGATTTAAAGCGAATGCGTGGAAAAAGAACAAGAAGAAGAAGAAGAACACAAAAAAATTGAAGTCAAAAATTAAAATTGTTTTTTTTTTTTTCGAGATTTTTTTTTTTTGCAGTGTTTTTTTCTCCGCTCTTTTTCGAGCGCAAAAATAGGCAGCCAATTTTTAAATATATATATTTTTTTTTTGATTTTGCGTAACGAGAGCGAACAGAAAGTGCATGTGAAAATCAAATATATGTAGATATATATATATATAGAGCAAATGAGAAAAATGCAAAAATAGAAGAAAATCATAAGGCGAAAAAAAAAGTTTGGTTTTTGTGTATATATTTTTAAAATTTAGCACATTTCGCTTGAAGCTATTTTGAGGTTATTTTCACATATTTTTTTTTCTATTGCATTCTACATTTTTGTTGTTTGCCTGTTTGTTGTTTAATTCTTTGTTTTTTTTTCGTTGCTGCATTTGCACTATACTTAATATTCGCATATGGATAAAGAGAGAGGGGGGTTGGGTAGGTGGGTATTCGGATATTTTTGGGGTCTGTGCACTTACCAGCTGTTGTATTGGCCAGGAAGCGCTTGGTCTTATCGAGTATATAAGGCAGATTGTAGCCATCCTTGGTATAGCTGTTGGTAGAGAGCGTGGTATTTATAGGGTATTCATAAGTTAATAGGAGACTCTTTCATTTGGGTTCTACTCACATTTCTGTGCGTTTGGTGCAGAACAGATTCTTAAAGTTGCTATAAATGCAGAAGAGCGTAAACGTTGGCAATCCTTGGCCCAAATAGCGCGCGAATTTGATTTGTTCGGGCTTGTTGAGGCCACACTGGTTTAAGGATAACCACGGCCGATGATCCTTAATATCGTATTCCTTTCAAATAAATAGATAAATAGTGGCATATATATATATATAATACGTATACGGTGCTCTAAAAAGTATGCTACGTATGCTCTATGAACAAAACATCCTGTCTGAAACTTTGTTAATGTCCAAAGTAAAGGCAATTTATTTTATTTAGCTGAACATGGCAACTTCAGCACCTTTTTTTATGCATAAAAGTAAGTTTATATAAAAACCTCCTTACCAGGACTAGCAAGTAAGCCCGGCCAAACCCCCTATGCGGCTATTATAAAGCTGAAACTCATTTCCTGCACATATATACATACATATATATATAATATTACATATGTACCCATACATATATACCATATACTTAGCTACACCCGTAACTAGTCTCTGCCCAACCACCAAAGTAACCCTGAGAAGCACACACATACAGATGCAAATGAAAACTTTGCCCACTACTAATCAAAACTTATAATTCGTGTACAACGAAAAGTTGAAAACGAAAATTTTACAAAAGCCAAAAACTTGCAGACCCCAAAATGCAAACACAATCATAGAAAGGACTCTGCGCCTAAAAGCATGCCGCAAACTCACACTCACAAACTCACACGAGCGTACACACACACACACACGCACGCACACAATGTATATTTTATAGTGTTAAAATATAGAATAAAGCAAAAACGGAAAGAGAAAGGCGGCAAAAGCAAACCCAAATAGAAAAGCAAACAACATTTTCAATGAAGCCATTTTCAACAATGTTGGCGAGACGGGGTGAGGCGCACTAAGAGGAACTTGTGGGGGGCTAAAAGGGTTGTCGCATGCCCATGTGCTTCTGCGTACGTGTGTGTGTGTGTGTATGTTTGTGTCTGTGTTTAAAATAGGCGCAGCAGCTTGACGGACGGCTGTGTCTGTGCCAGTGCACGTGTGTGTGTTATTCGACAGAGAGAGAAAGAGAGAGAGAGAGAGAGAGAAAGAGCAAGCATTGTCGATGGGTCGTCGTGCGCTCGCTCGTCGTCAGCGTTGTCCTCGTCGTCGTCAACGTTAAAACTTATCAACATCCTCATAATCAGCGCGACGCCAACGTTGCCACCCAAAGCATCAGCCTGCTAACTTCTAAGCATACATGGCAACGCTGTCGAAAATGCCAGTGTGTGTGAATGTATGTATGTATGTATGTGTATGCATGTGTGCATACATTTGGGGTTTTGATTATGTTAAAAATCAATAGAGCAAAAAGGAGTGACTACGCCCAGCCACAGCAGCAGAAGAAGCTGGAGCAGGCCAAGTCAAATTTACCAAAATACTTTAAGCTTGACTTTGTGTATGTGTGTGTGTGTGTGTGTGTGTGAGTGCGTTTCAAATTATGAGAGCGCGAGAGCTCGAGTAACCAATTCAACGCCTTTTCAATGATGACAGGCCCCTTCAGAGGCGTTAGCCATGAAGAGGGCAGCGTGACGCTGGCGACTCATTAACAGCAGCATGCGTAGGAGAGAGAGAAAGAGAGTTAACGAACTACAAAGTGGGAGAGTGGGAATGGCAAGAGAGCCGAGCTTGCCTGTCAAGCCAAGTGTTGCTGCCTGATTGTTTTGGATGCTGCGGGTGGCTGGAGTGTACGTTTCGTGTGTTTACATTCCCATGGCCGCTTAACTGTTTCATAGCCAAAAAAAAAAATATAAACAACAAAAATAAAAAACGGGAAGCATGAAAGAAGAATGAAGGCAGCAATGGCAATGTGTTGCGGTATTGTGTTTTTGCTTTTCCTTTTATTGTTTTGCTCTGTTGTTGTTTTTCTTCTTCTTTTTTTTTTGCAACTTATTGGCAGCACGCAGACTTTCTGTTTGTGCGTGCCTGTGCGTGACGTATCCTGCCCTGTTCTCTGAGTGTGTGTATGTGTGTGTGTGTGTGTGCGTGCGTGTTTGTGTGTGGCGGCCTGCGGTTGTTGTCTGTGGTGTATGTTGTGTATGTGTGTATGTGGTGTGATGCGACTTGTTGTTGTTTTTATTGAGACAAGTGTGAATTGTTTTTCTTTCTGTTTCTGTTTTGCTGCTTGTGCGTGCAACAACAGTTGTTCGTGTTGCCGCCGCCTGGCAATGATTTTGTGATTTTTGAGGGTTGCGTGTGCGCCCCAGTCACAAATCGTGTGTGCGTGTGTGTGTGTGTGTTTGTTAGGGAGGCAACAAATTTCACACTTTCACTCTTTGCGTTTAACAGGTTTTTAACAACAATTTAAAAGGCGCACGTGTGAAAAAAAAGGGTGGAAAAGCCTCATTAATTATTACCGAAATGCTCGTTTGGCTTTTCATTTGGGGCGATCCTACTTGGGTCTTTTAAGTTATGGTCGCCTGACCAGCAGCGATAGCTGACCGAAGCGTTAAACCTAACCTCACATTAGGCTGTTCAGCCAATGCTAATGGGCGACAGCAGCAGCGCGACAACAAAAGTTACATACAATAATATTTGATATGTATATTTTACATTTTTGGCAACAATCTGCATATGCCCATACCCTTCTAACCCCTTGTGTGTTCGTTATACAACACTAATTTAATGCGGCCCCAAAGGCGGCTAAAACGACGCATAAACCTAAATATTTTATGTCCATGTGTGTGTGTCTGTGTGTGTGTTGACAGTGTATGTGCATATATAGTCATCATATAAGTTTGGCAAGTACAGTTATACGAATATACGAATATAAGCATGTATTTACATAGTAATTTATGTCTGTATGTTTGCATACGTGTGCGTATATAATTTAAAATTATAATCAATGTACATGTGTTTCTGTGTGAGCGCGTAAATTGTGCAAAGCCGAGACATTGTACCTGCCCCAGCCAAACGCCCAACGTCCTGCGGCCCACGTCCTAACCCGCTCTCAACCGTAATTTAGCTGTCCCTTACACACATACATATACACACAGATTGGCAAACTTATTGCAGATGTGTGTATTGGTGACTGCGGCTGCTACTGCTGCTGCTGCTGCTGCTGCATGCGCATTTAGTAGCCTTCAACGACGCCGCTAGGGTCCCACACACAAAAAACATATATACATATGTTAATACATACGTACATGCATATGAAAGGACATACGAAGGCAGCTCAATGGACAGTCGGACAAACGCCCCAAGTAACTTGATGATTGTATGTATGTACAAGAGAGAATGTGTATGTGTGCGAGAGAAAGAGAAAGAGAGGGGCTCATATACAATTACTCAATAGCGCCCGCTTGAGCATTTTGGGGGTTGCCAGACCCACTTACCCACACATAACTATACACACACACACACACAGAAAACTTTGTAGTTTGAGCAGCAGAAACCGCTGCCTCTGCCGCTGCTCCCGGCAAGTAAAGTTTTGCGAGCAAAGGAGTGAGTGTGTGCTAGAGAGTGAGAGAGAGAGAGAGCGCGCAACAATTTTGAGTCGAAACTGGTGGGGAGAGCAGAGCGACAACATCAAAGCTAGGCATCTTAAAACTAAAATGTTGTAATAGCGGCCGAAGGGCCGAGAAAGCAGCCATGTTGAAATAAGGTTAGGCCCTAGCTACTGCTGTTGTTTTTGTTGTTGTCCCTGTATTATGCCATCAATGCCGTTTCGTATATAGTTTGAGTGTGTGGGTTGTGCGGGTGCTACACCGACCAAATCTAGTTGATTGTGTATGTGTGTGCGTGTGTGTGTGTGTGTGCGTGCGTTCCGATAAAGCTGAGCGTAATGAGCATTTGTCGGTGTGAGAGTTGGGAGGGTTGCCTGGCATAGTGTTGAAAAGGCGCCAAATGTGTTGGGGGCGATTTGTCTCTGTGTGTGTGTGTGTGTGTGTGTGTGTAAATACAAATGTACATATGTTTGTATGTAGGTGTTTGGAATACACAGGCACACATTGGTGCCACACATGATTACAGTTGTATTTGTATGCTGAATTTGTGGTTGTGAGTTTTGTGTTGCTGCGCTGCCCCGCTCAGTTGACGCTGGCGTCTCTGCTGCTGTTATTACAATTTATAATGACATTCGTTGGGCGAGTGTGAGTGTGTGTGTGTGTGTGTGTGTGTGTGCAGATGTATGGGTGTGATATGTGCGGGCGGCATATAATAGAGTGAGAAATGCGCTTGTGTAAAGGATATGAACGGTGTATCCGCGTTATGAATATATATGCTTACATATGTGTCCATATGTAAGTAGCATGTATATATATTTAGATATATACATATATATATATATATAAATATATATGAAGCTTGTGATTATGTTAGCGAAAATCAAATTCTATTCATATTTGTATGTGGCATATGTAATTTGATGATAGAGAGAATGTTGAAAATTAATTGAAACTGGAAAAATGATGATTTGACTTGTTCAATTAAGATTGCCATAAGGCAAGCTGATTACAGAGTATTCCCCAGTTGAGCAATTTTCATGAACTTACCTCACAAAATTTGATGAAGTTTTCGACAACAATCGATTTGTCCGTCAATGTCATTTGACCCGTGAATCGAACGCCCAGCTGCTTGAGCGTGTCCTTCTTCTTTGAGGGCAGCTTGTTCATGTGCTGGAAGATGCCCTCCTCCACCTTGTGCGAGGGATGCACCTCGAAGTTCTCCTTGATCACAAAGCTGCCCAATAGCTTGGGCGCACCGCCAGCTGCCGAGGAGGCGCTGGAGCAACTGGCTCCGCCCAACAGGCCACCAAATTCAGCAGCACTGCCGCAATGCTCCTCGGACGAGGTGTTCGAATTGGAGGCATTCAAATGGGAGCTGGGAAAGGCGAGCAGCTCCAGCGATGACTCATTCGAATTGGAGGCATTTGAGCCATTCGAAGCGCTCGTCAGGTGCTGCAGCTCAAAGATCGTTTGCTTCGAGTCGTGATCGAAGACGGCGTCCAGCGTCGAGGAGCTGGCGTCCAGGCTGTTGGAAGAGCGCGAAACGGAAGACAGCAGCGCGGCGACTTTGCGCGACGCCGACCGCGACTTTTGCGAGATGCTCGTCGAGTCCAAATCCAGAAGTCCGACGCCGCACCCGCTGCCGCCCACTGGCGACGCGGCCAGCGGCGGTGGTGTGATTCTGCCCGCTGCGCCGGCTGCAGTCAGTTTGCTGCTGCCAGCCTTGTCCGCTGCCGCCGCTGCTGCTGCTGCTGCTGCTGCCACCGCGCCGTCGACTGCGTCGCTGCTGCTGCCGCCGGCGCCGCTGCTGCTGGTGGTGCTGCTGCTGTTGTTTGGCGTAAAGTCCGTGGAGTGGCGCAGATATTTGATAAACTCAAAGGAACCATCGAAATGTTGAGCGGTCGCGGCAGCCGCAGCCGCAGCGGCGGCTGCAGCGGCAGAGGCTGGCGCGTGTCCGTTTGGCGTTGCCACCGCTGTGGGCCAGCGATTGTTTGGCAACGCTGTGATGCTTGACGCTGCCGGCGTTTCGGCAGCTTCTCGCTGCGACTGCGACGTCGCTGCCTCATAGTCAAGAAGCTCAGCGCTGCCGACGCCATTTGTGCATGAATACTGTGTTTGTGGTTGTTGTTGTTGCTGCTGCTGTTGCTGCTGCTGCTGTTGCGTTGACTGAGCAAACACTTGAAATTCCTCGAAATTTGTGCATTTCAGCTCGCCATTGCTCAAGTACTTGGAAAACTCTGAAGGATCGTTCAAGGAGTTGAGAAAGAATGAGCTAAAATTGCTCGATATGCAGGACATTTTTATGTTCTTCTTTTTTCTTCTGTAGTTGTGTAGTTGTGGTTGGTTGTTTTTGTTGCTAATACTGTATATAATAACGCTTATAATTACGTGTGTGTATATGTATTTATTTATGTATATTTTTTTAAAGCTGCTCCTTTTGCTTAATTATAGTAGTTGTTGTTGTTCTGTTGAAAATGATGGCACATTGAATGTTGTTCACGTTTTTTTTTTTTTTTTATTTGCTGCTGTTTATTTTCTTCTTCGTTTGCTTTTGCTTTTGATTTGCGCAGCCTAACTGTTAATAATTTACACACATACGCGCACACACAGCTGCATATTTGCGCTGCCGCCGCTGCTGCTGCTGCTGATGTTTCGAAATTTACTTTTAGTTTTCCATTTCCAGCGTTTTTCTTACGTTCATATATTATTACAATTTTCCCCCCACATACACACACACACGGAAAAACATTACTTGCACATGTGTGTGTGTGTGTGTGTGTTTGTGTGTGTATATAAATTTTTCTTCTTATTATAGCAAAAGCAAAGTGTAATTTATTATTCTTATAGCTCGCTCCGCTGCCGCTGCTGCTGCTGATGCCTCTTTCTCTCTCTCTCTCTCTCTCTACCTTTCGCTCCTTGAGACGGCGATGCGGCCTTTTCACCGTATGTGGTCGCTAGTTGTTGTTGTTGTAGCACTGTCTTGGCTAGCATGTGCAGATGTGTGTGTGTGTGTGTTGGTTCAATTGCCTGCCACTGCCACTGCCCCTGCTCCACACTAAAAACTATTGCCAGCTCTTTCGCACACGTATAAACACATAGCACATGCACTGCTTCTGCCAACGGCGACGGTGGCGCATGTATTGCCCTGCAAATAGGCGGCGATTTCAAACTGGTCTCTGCTCTGCGGTCTGGGCTGTCTTTTGGCTATTTTATTATTATAATTCTTTTTTTTTTCTGTATATTTTTGCACTATTTTCACTTGACTTTGTTTCCTTTTTCGTCACATATTCGTTTCAAAACACACACACTCACATATACAATCACAAACAAAAGTTATTGTCGAGGTGCGGTCGCGACGTTGGGTTTATATTTCGTTTTCCTTTTACTTTGCTTTCAAAACAAATGCCGCCCATACGTTGTGCTGTGCCATCGCCTAGCGGAAAACGGAAAATCTTATGTTGTATTTTCACCGCTGCCTCGTACAGCAACGCGACGTAACCGTACCGCACTCGAATGAGAACTGAGCGCAAATATGAGCGCGTTTGTTAATCTGTGCATGCTTTCTCTCTTACCAGCTCACAGACCGTTCTCTCTCTCTCTCACGCTCTCACGTGTGTGTGTGTGAGTGTGAACGTGTGCTTGTGTGTAGCGCGCGCTCCTTGTAGTTGTAATCAAAATCAGTTGTTCGTTGTAGTTATTGCTGTTGTTGTTGTAGTTGTTGTATATGTGCCTTAGCGACTAGGAAACGTGTATTTCTTCCTGTGACAGGCTGCTTTTGCTCTTTTTAACCCTTCCATATAAACCTGATTTAATCTTTGATTATTATGCCAGCGTTGTTGTTGGAGCTGCCACAGCCGCTGCGGCTGCTGCTCTTGAGGATTATGGTTGCCTTTCCTTTGCTATTTTCGAAAATTCCACTAAATTATCCGTTCTGTGTTGAATACGCGTTTGTATGTGTGCAGGTAAAACAGTTCATTTGCCTAGAGTTGCCACACGGTTGTATTTTGCGGGACCACCTGGAAGGCGAAAAATCAGTTGTTATTTTTTTATTAGTTTTCCGTTTTAAGGGTTTCTCATTTACGACTTTTTCATTTCGCGCCGCAGGCCATTTCTTAAACATTAAACATAAATGGCTTGCAGCGAGCAGGTAGCAGGTAAAGAGACAGTCAAGGCCATAATAACAACATAAACGCTGACTGCAATTTGCACACGTTGACAACCCTGGCGGAGTCACTAAATAGGATAAGCACCCACACATCCCTCCGGCTCCATAGCCATAGCCACAGCCCGCAAAAATACTTAAGCCGCAACGCGACTTTTAGCACAATTTATGGCCATTTAAAATTTTGTGCAAAGAATTTTTATAGTTGTTTTATGCATATATATGTACATACATTTATATGTAGATACATTTTATATACAAGCACATACGCCATTTGTTCAATAAATATAATTGCCATTGCAGACGTTTTTAATTATAAATAGAGCGCGGCAGGGAAGTCATCAATTAGGCAAGAAAATAAAGGAAAATACAACGTGCACTTGGCTTATAATAATTACCTTTTTGGCTGGCGCTGATGTTTTTGGCACAATTTCGTATTTAAATTTTTAACGTGCATTCATTCCGAATTAATAGACACAGGCACTTAATTTTCGATATTACAACACGCGCGCGCCACTTAACATTTTCCTATGTACATGCATATGTACATACATATGTGGGTAATTTTTCAATTAATTTTAATTATAAACTTAATTAGGAAATCAATGAACGAACGCGAACGGAACAAACATACACAATTGGGGAAAAGTCACACCAACAAGTGCGAGCGAGCAGATGCACATGTAGAACGGTGCGACAACAAAAACAATGACAACAATACTCAAGTGCGCTGCGCATACAACAAAAACATCAGCGTTACGTGCCCCCAGTTAGTTTACTGTTTGAATAACATTATTTGTTGTTGTGTAAAAAGAACGGATGACAAAACAGAAATGTAGCGTAACATAACGGCGCGGCAATAACATGAACTATTATGAGCAGCGAGCGAGTGCCGTGAAGAGTCACAGTTACAGTTGGTAGCTAACAGTGTGACCATGCTAAAAATATTTTTTTAATTTTAGCCCAATACCGCGCAAAAATTACATAATGCGCTAGAATTTTATTGTATATGCCTGTTTGTTGTAAAAATCTCTATAATTTAAGAATATATAATTCTGTTTTAAATTTTACAAACAGCTGCTAATATGGTATCGATAAGTATCGATACCTTAATACCATAATAAGCGCAAAACGTGCGCAAGTGATAAAAACAAACCAACAGCATGAAATTCGTTTTAAAAAGTATTAGTAAAAACTCTGGTCGCCTTGGCCAACTGCGGATCAAGCAGAGCAAGGAGCTACAGACGCCGCTCCTGCTGCAAACAACCAAAGGCGGCAGCATTCCATACCTGAGCGCCGAGGTATTCGATTTGGTCAGCCAGGAGCATCAACAAGTGTTGCAGCTGACGTTGTCCACCATGGACCAAATGTCCGAGTCCTTGGCGCAGTGGAATCGCAGCCTGAGCGACTATGTGGGCTATCCGGGCTACAACACGCTCTTGCTACTACGTGATCCTTGTGAAACGACGCCAACAGGTGGCAACGATCGGGATGTGGTGCCGCTCTTTACGCGGCACGGCAAGGAATCACTGACAGCCGCACGTTACATGGATATGGTGGCCAACTTTGCGCCGGACGTGTATCAGGGCCTTTGTGACGCGGACACTAATCCCGAGAGCACCAAGAAGCGTGTGCAAAAATCGGTGGATCGCACCGAGCGCTTCATGGAGCTGTGCTACGAGCAGCACAGCAAGCTGGCACGACTGAAAGATTCCACGCTGCTGGCACCCATTGTGGGCGGCTACAGCACATTCGCCCGCACACAGTCCATCAAGCATGCACGTCAACAACCAGCCGGCAGCTACGGTGGTTACATACTGGAGGGTTTCCATACGAACGGCTTGGCTGCCACAGAACTCAAGGCAGCACAGCTGCTGCCGATTGTCGAGCATTGCGTGCAGCAGCTAGAGGAGGAGCAGCCGCGTCTTATGCCCGGCGCCTACACGCCTTTGCTCCTGCTGGAGCTGATACGCCTGGGCGTGGATGTCTTCGACAGCTCCTATGCGTATTGTGCGGCCACGAATTACAAGGCGTTGACATTTAGCTATGTCCGGGATAAAGCGGAGCATGCGGCATTCTTGGATGTCACGGATGAGGCCATCAAGGAGGACTTTAAGCCGCTGCTGGAGGACTGCAGCTGTCTCTCCTGCCAGAAACACACGCGTGCCTACATTCATCATCTGTACAAGACGCACGAGCTGCTGGGAACCATTCTGCTGATGATGTAAGAGAAAGTTGAAATTTGATAAGTTTCTGTATGAATAATGAATCTTTTATTGGTCCAACAGTCACAATTTGCATCATTATATGTGCTTCTTTGAGGCAATACGAGCCAGCATGGCAGCGGATCAGCTGCCGGAGCTGATCGAGCATGTGAGAATGCAGAATACGACAGCCGAGGTCAATTATCGCATTGAGCCGAATAACAAGGTTGTGGGTAAGGCGGCCATGGGCAAGGGATTTATCGCAGCGGCCGTTTAGCTCGCGTCCAATGCGGTAAAATTGGTTGAATCCGAAATAAAATCGTACTTATGACTAACAACTAATAGCATCCTTGTGTGTTGAGCTCCTATATGACAAGCGACTGAAACCAGGCGGCATCGACTCCGCCATTGATTATATGCTTCACTTGCTCATAAGCTGACTCGTACGCATTGCCCGTAATGTCCTGAATGCGTTCGACCACCGTTTGCTCCGTCATGCTCTGCAGTTTTTCCGCATCTGTAAACAGATATAAGTTTAAGTATATTAAGTGTGCCACTGGTGCCTGGCGGTCTTACCACTCAGCGGCAGAAAGCCGACCATCTCGCAGAAGCCCACATTGAATGCGGTTAGGTCCTTGGTCACGCAGTACTTGGCGCGCACAAAGACAAACACACGCAAGTCGTCGGAATGGTGGCTGTGCGTTATGAACAGATTGTGTGGCAGGTGATTGTCGCACAGCCATTCGGTGAGCCGATGCAGGCTGCCGACTTTTTCGCGCACTTCTCGTTCGGTGTCTCTGGCTGTGATCACATAGCAAATGGCCTCCGTGGGCGACTCCGGCGACAGACGGTACACATAATCGCCGGCCAGCGGCTGCAGCTCCACATTGTCTATGTACAGGTCGCGTGGTATGTGCACGATATGGAAATGCAAGTGATTCACCGAAGCCAAGGCACCCGGACTGTTGTAGCCCAAACGTACGGCCCCATCGTCAATGTTCCGCATGAAATTGACACAGAAACTGAGCGCCGACAAGGTGGCACGTTGCACTAGGTTGTTTTTGACATCGGGACAGATGAGCGAGTGGTATTTGGTCAGAGGACTCTTGTTGATAATCATCTGCACCTCGGCTTTGTCCTTCTCCTTGTCTATGGTCATCATCACCTCTAGAGCATCGACTTTATTGAAATTAAATTGTTGGGGCTTAAATGTTGGACTCAGACTCTCAATAGGCTGTGGCACGCGCCGCTTCAAGCTGCGCTCCGCATTTAACTGCGAAGAGTAGGCAATTCAATTAATCTACATTTTCCACAAGATCGGACGCACCTCTACATAGAAACCATACTTGCCGGGCAGCTTACGGCCCTGCCTGGACTCCTGCAGCTGATAGGCGAACAGGCCGGGTATCTCATGCAGCTGCATCCAGCGCACTTTCAGTGCATTCAGATAATGCTGCGCCTTCGATTCCAGGCTCATGCTGACCTTTTTGAGGCGCTTCTTTGGCTCCATGGCGCCCACCACAACGGCAAACTGCAGCAGGGTTGCCAGACTGTTGAAATGCCTGTTGCCGGCTCTTATTTTGACTGTTGACTTCTTTAAATTTTTAGAAAAACTATGCGAAGCAAAACGGTTTCGACGTAAAATTTGTCTGGCCGTGCGCAAAAGCCAAGACATGTTGGTAGCAGGTGGAGCCAAATGCTGGGTACAGAGAATTTATCCTAAATTTAATTTGCTTGGCAACGGCGACAGCTCTGCCGTTGCCAGCTGTTTTTTGTTGTGTTTTACAGTTGAACAAATTGTTGAATCCGCAAATTATGGCTAATCCAAGGCATGTGCGCGGCTCCTGCGAGAGTTTTTGTCCCGACGCAGAGGCAAAAATGTGAGCAAGCTCCGTATAATATTTATTTGTATATTTATAGATATTTTTCTTGCAGGCGCATTAAAGAGAAATTGCTGAACTACTTTGAGTACAAAGATGGGCAAAAGCATGTACCCGGCATCCTGGTCAAGGAGTTCACACGTTCCGCAGCTGATGCCAAGGTTCCCAAGGCAAAGGACATGCGCACTGAACGTTGCCTAATGAAAACTGTTGAATATCTGCTCAAAGAGTTAGTAAATATCCAATTGGAAATGGAATATCCAACTCAACATTTACCCATTGCAGCATATTGATGGATGAACGTAAACCCTACCATCTGGCATATGATTTCATATTCGATCGTCTGCGCATGGTGCGCCGGGAAATCGTCATACAACAGTTTAATGCGCGACAGACCATCCGGCTGCTGGAACCGATGATAATGTTCCTGGCTTACAGTCGCTATCGCCTGTGTACGGAACCCATTGAGAAATTTGATCCCAAAATATGCAATCAGCATTTGCAGGAGTGCCTGAATATGGTGCTCAGCTGCTATAATGAACTGGACGACGCGGTGCAAAAGGATCAGCCCACAATACGTGATGCCGAGCGTCGTTGCTTCATCGAATCGTTATATCAAATATTCAACCTGGGTACACCGGAGGCTCTGGTGCGGGGCCTAACGTTGCCCGCCCAGGTGCGGAAGGATGAGATCTTCAAGCTGGCTTTCAGCATATGCATGAACTATCACCAGGGTAATCTGTATCGTGTGATTAAAGGCCTGCCCCAGTTGCCACATATACTATGCGCGGTGGCAGCCGCAAAGCTACAGACAATACGACGGTAAGTATAATGTCATCATAATGGATTTTATGTGGATTTTATTTATATTTTGTGTTTGCAGGCGAATACTTGAAATCTTCACGCATGCCTACAACAACAAACAGCTCACTGTGCCGGCAGCTTACTTGTTGCGTTTGACTTTGGTAGAGCCTCAGGAACTGTTTGGGCTGTGTCGTCATTATAATATAGCTCTAACGCCCGATCGCCAGGCATTGCACTTTATTAAGACTGATTTTAAAAGCGACGCAGAAACAATAAAAGCGCAACGAGAACCTTTCGTTGAGCAGAAATTGTCGCGTATTTATCTGCCGGAGGTGTTGTTGCTGAGGAAGCTGTGGCTATAGATCTCTAATAGCAGTATGTAAATTTAATTACAGAAATGTATACAAATTAGCATAATATAGTTTATTATACGCATATAATGTATGTATGTATATATATACAATTTTTTTTATTTATTGGCATAGACAAATAGGGCGGGCGGCCGGCAGGCAGGCAACCCTGCAATAAGAATTATCGTTATCGATAACAACTATGCATTCTTAATAGAATAAATTTGTAATGCCCGGCAGTCTTGTCTATGCCAATTAATGAACAACTTAATGTGTGTTAACCCATTAAAAATGTATAAAATTATTTAATTGCAATTTACAGCCCCCGGCAGGACGCTTGTCGTGCACACATCTGTATACATAAAGCGCGCGCAGGGTTGCATTTGATGTCGACGGTACGCTGTCAAACACTAACACCAACAAAAGTTGTACGCAAGAGAAAGTGCTTGAGCCATTTTGGAAAATACAATTCCGCCATATTTACCGGCAAAATTCAAAATATTTACATTGCTAGTAAACATTTAACGGCACATAAACAACATTGTGCACCAAACGGGCCGTGTGGCAACGCGAGGAGACCGAAAAGCGACACATTTGACAGACAACGTCTGCCACTGCCGCTGCTGCCGTCGACGCAGCGCCCCACGCACCGATGTCAATAGGACAGCAGTAGAGGAGAGACAAACAATTCCAATCAACAACAAAAACAACATTTTGCTACGCAATTGGCCAGCGGGTATGTTTTATGATATTCTATAATGATTTGCTCTCTAATTGGCGTTTTGCAGTGGGCCCCATCCACAGACGCATATACATACGAGCGCGCGCGCCTACATATACAATAACCCGCAATCACACACATACAGACACACGCACACACACTCGCAAAGGCATACGTAAACACGCCAAACGATGACAAGTCATCATCAAGGCGGCAACTTTCAGGCCAGAGCGCCGCCAATTGTGAAAAATCTTTCACTAGCCGCAGCAGCTGTGCCTCTGCCCCTACCCTTACCTCTGTCCCTGCCCATGTCGATGTCCTCGTCATCAGTGCACAATCACAATACAAACACAACATCGCCTTTGTACTTCACACACGTTCTGCCGCCCACCACGGCAATTGTGGAGCATCAGCATCCGTACAGCTCCGAACTGGATGGCACGGAGCACATAGGAGGCGCTGGAGACAACGAGAGTTTTCTAATTGAGGAGATTATAGATGATTATGATGATGATGCCAACATTGTCGTGGATGCAGGCGAATTTCTCATATCTGGCGATGTCTACGAATACTATCCGGTGGATCGTATGGATAGGCTGGCCACCTCGGTGGGCATGGCCACAGCAGATGCGCTCCCACCCTCAATTATTATGCAGCAGCAGGAGCAGGATAGCACCGATGAGGATGATGCACAACAAATGGATGGGGAGATGCGTTTGTCATCGGGCGACGAAGACGAGGACGAGTCGCCGAGCATGCAACGTGATGCAAATGCCTTTGAGATTGCCTCCGAAATGTTAACCACAATCGAGTCAACAGCAGCGACCATCAAGGAGGAGCAGCTAGAGAACGACTACTATATGAAGTCGACGGATGATTCCAATAGCTGTCACGTCCAGGACTTTAAGCCTTTCGGCAGACCGCAACGCAGCAGCAACCTCAGCAACCAAAACAACATCAGCAATGGCAACGGCCATGGCCACGGCACGGGCAAGCGGTGGAAGCAAACCAAAGTGCCCATACGGATCACACAGGATCAGTTCAATGTAACGCTCTGGTCGTCACTCAACTCGGAGGACGAGGACGAAGAGGAACTGGACCTGGATGACCAGCACACAGATCAGCAATTAGCACCGCAGCCAGCCGGCAGTACAACAAACAGAACAAACGACATGTCAAAGCTGATCATTGATGAGCATATGATGCATCATGATGTGCTCAGCGATGGCATTGGCAACGAGTATGTCATATTGCCGGATCCGTTTAGTGCGGACGCCGTCACCGATGTCGAGGAGGTGGTGAATGCAATTATGGCCGATGGCGATGGCGCTGCCGATGAAGTTAAGGAGCACGAGGAGGAGGAGGAGGAGGATAGCCAATCGCTTAGCGAGCAATATCAGCTGGATGAGGCATATGGCAGCATTGAGTTAATTGAGAATATGCCACAACCTGTTGGACTAATGCCGGCTGCGCCCGAAAACACGCCTGCCCATGCCACAACAGCAATTGCACCAGCAGCAGCAGCAGCAAAAACGCTGCCCAAGCTGGTCCTGCAGAACAGCAGCACGAATGTGCGACTGAAAGCAAGCAACAACAATGTCAACAATAAGGCGAGCAAGCGTCAATTAACCACACAACCTCCGCCTCTGGTGCCGGCGGCCAGCAACGGCGGCGCTCAGCCACAGCCACAGCAACAACAACAAATGCATCAGCGTGGCAATCAGACGACAGCAGCCACAATGACAGCAGTGCCTGCGGCGGAGGAAGATGAGGAGCCCAAGTTTCGGTGCACGCATCGCGGCTGCAACAAGGAATTCCGAAATCACTCCGCCATGCGCAAACACATGCATACGCACGGTCCGCGCGGCCATGTGTGCAATGTCTGTGGCAAGAGTTTCGTGGAGAGCTCCAAGCTGAAGCGCCACCAGCTGGTGCACACCGGCGAGAAGCCGTTCGAGTGCACCTTCGAGGGCTGTGGCAAACGCTTCTCGCTGGATTTCAATTTGCGTACACATGTGCGCATACACACGGGAGATCGGCCATATCATTGTCCCATCGATGGCTGCTCCAAGTGCTTCGCCCAGTCCACCAATCTCAAGTCGCACATGTTGACGCACACGAAGCCGAAGCGCAAGTGGCCACGTGCTCCGCAGGTGAGCAGCAAATCGCCGCTGGTCGCGCGCTATGGACGCCTGGAGTTTGGCGAGGATCCGACGCTGGTGTACGTGGAGCCCAATGAGGAGCTGGCGTCGGTATTGCTGGACAGCACGTCGACACCGTCCTAACAAGCGTTGCCGATGGCTGTTGTGATCTGAATCTGAAACGAGCGCATTGAAGAGAAGCATCTTCTGTCTGTACAGTTAGTCGTAAGAGCCGTAGTTATCTAAGCGGGCGTTGGCGCAGAAAGTGTCCAGGGTGGAGCACATGGTGCTGGCTGCCCTGTGCTCAACTGTTGCCGCTGCTGCTCCTGGCTGCTACTGCTGCTGCTGAGCCCACAACAAATTAGCTGCTAAGTTTTAATGGTAATGCGATTTATAGGTTTGAAATTGAATTGATTGGAATGCCCGGCACGATGGTCAACAAAGTTGTAGAACTTAGTTTTTCTATACCTTAAGTATAAAGTATGTCAACGCCCACGACTCCTCCTCCTCCTTCTCCTCCTCCTCCTTCTCCTCCAGTGTCCTCCACTTCTCCCTTTTCTTTCCCTTGGCATGTACGCCTCCGCTTTTAGCGTTTTGATTCTAAAACTTAATTGATAAATGCGCGCGGCCACTCGAATAACAAAAGGCAGCACAATTTTTTCTATTAAATCTTACAAATACAATTACTATTTAATACACACACATAAGCATCTAATAACAATAGGCTATATATTTTTGTAATGAAATTGTAACAATTTAGTGCATTGAAGTGCGAAAGTAAAGTATATATAAAAACAAAAAGAAAACAACAAAAAAAACCCAAACTTAGATAAAGAAAATTAATTGCCCCGGTTCGATTAGTTTGATCGCAGTAAAAACAGAACATTGATTATAATGTTAAACACTTGATAGCTTTATTTGAACGTGCAAAACTAGATCTTAAATCTACATTAGCCTAATTACTTTGAAATGAGAACTTCAGAAACAGGATGAAAAATCTCCCAAGTGGTTCTATCAAAGGGAAAGCCTAGTCACATTTACAAACAGATAAACTTATGCGCGAGATAATAACAATCGTGAGTTTCTGAATTTAAACATTGTAAATCTAAAGCGGAATCATTAGCAAACTAATTAATATTTGCAAAAAAACAATGGAAAATAAGCTAGTGATGAGGGCGTGCCGTGGTCATTATGTGACCTTGATGCCAGATGCCTGTTGCACGCCGGGCAAAATATTTCCCATCGGCGTATAGCCAAATAGGTTTCCGGTCACCGACAGCAATACGGAATAATTGAAATACCAGAACACACAGAATAGGACCATAAAGATGACGTCTGTGGAATACACGCGATAAGGGCATATGCCATTAATTGCCTCGAATTAGGCATGACGAATGACAGAATATCCGATTACAAACTTACGTATCGCTACACGCTCCCATTTTTCAACTACATACAGTTCGGTCACCTGGAAACAGAAACGTGCAGATGATAAAAGTTAATACACAAAAAGATGTACATATATATGGATGTGTGTGTGTATGTGTGTGCATACTATAGTAGCATCATATTCGGTTTAGTTAAATATCAGTTTTTGTTACTCACCATTAGGTAGCGAAACCACCAGTAATTGGCAAAATTGATAATATTGTTCAGCATGTTGAATATCAGTTGAGAACACTTCAGAATGGCAGCAACAATAGCGAACAACTGTAATTGGCTGGTAGGGCCTATTAATTGTTTAATCTTAATACTAAATGGCTTAGTGTTAACAACGTGCAAAGCTCGGCGGCTGGCTAACCAGTGCAGAAAAACACGACTGTAAACAGCCAATACTGTCATCGTTATCGTTATCGAAAACAGCTGTTTTCTTATTTTACATATTGTCTTGCATTTTGAAATAATGTCGGAACACCTCGTTAAAGTATTACATCGCACCCAACTGAGCCACAGCCAAACGGATGCGAAGCACTTCATCTACATATACAGCAAGTGGCTGGAGGATGTAACAGAGCTGCAACTGTTGCTCACAACAAGCAACACCAGCTACCGAGCCACACTGAAGCATGAAGAAATGAAAGGCGCCGCTGACGAATTGGAGCAAAGTTACGTCGAGTTCCTGGCGGAGTGTAAAGAGGCGCTCACCACGCAAATGGGTGTACCTGGCTTTGACTATGAACTGGATGAACAGCAAGCGCGCTTTAGGCTTGTCAAATGCACCGGCTTTGAGACACTTTACGTGGACGTGCCGCTGCGCAAAGCGTCCAACTGCTACCATTTGCTGGATGCAGCCATTGAAATTGCCCAACGTCAGCCAACAGTCGATGCCGGGCAAGTCGGTGCTGGTGCTAGCCAATCCAATGAATTACTCATAGAATACGAGCAGTATATTAAGGACTCCAAGCTGGCGGAGAAAAAATTGCTCAAGAAATTTGTGATGCTCATCAATAGCAAAAAGCAGCGTATCGAAGAGCTGGAGCGAAGACTGGAGGAGCGAACTCAAAATGCTGGACAAGATACAGACACCGACATAGAGGAACAGCCGGCAGTGGTCAATCAGGAAGGAGACCAGGACGATGACAACGACTCTGATGTCTATGCTGGCGCCACACAAGTCCTGACGCAAAAAACCCGAATGCGGGAGTGATATTCAAATAAAATGCCATCCACAGAGCAAAGCGACGTTTCCATTTATATATTTAATCTTCAACATAAAACAAATTCCATCGAAATGCTCTTAAAAAAATACGAAACTAAAATGTTATAAATATGTATGTTTGTGTGTATGTATGTATGTATGTATATATGTGTGTATGTTTGTATGTATGAATGCATGTACATATGTGTGTTTGTGTGTGATGCTTTATTTTATCAAACAGAAATAAAAGCTAACTTGCTGCTGCGCCGCAACATTTGAAAATAACGACTTTTTAAATGGTGCTCTCCTCCTCGATTCTCATAAATTCAAGTAAGCCCTGCAGGCTTCCATGCATCAGTTGCAAGTGCTGTGTGTTTGTGTGAGTGTTAAAAAGTGCTGACCATCTGATAAACGGATGTGTGTGTGTGTGCGCGCGTATGTATGTACGTTTGTATGTATGTACGCATGTGTATATATGTATGTACGCTTGTGTATATATGTATGTACGCTTGTGTATATATGTATGTACGCTTGTGTATATATGTATGCAAATGCTTATCCGAATGTGTACATATATATGCGTGCACTTTTTATATGCGTACGTATGTGCGGATGCATTCTTTTATGTACGTTTATGCGTATGCATGCCTGCCCCTCCCCCCTTGCTTTCATTGCAAACACATTTAACATTTTCCATTCCAGTGATTTGTTTTTTGTTTTCTTTAATAAATTAACTTTTTAAGGTATACGTGTACATGTATAAATAAACAACAAATAGACTTTATAACATAATATACATTACAATTACAATCAATGTGTGTGTGTGTATGCGTGTGTGTGTGTTATCTGCTTAGCTTAAAATTAGAGCAAATTTTGGAATAAGTTACAATTGTCGTTGCAGTTGTTATTTTGGAATTTCTCGTGAACAGAATGATTAAGAAACGAAAGCCAATTAATAAAAAAAATAGTTAAAAGCATTTTACATAATTGTTATATATGTATGCTATATATATATGTGTATGCATATGAATATACGTTATGTATAAATATGTTAGGCGTGTGTAACATTTGAAAGTGTAAACAATTGGCGCTGCGCAGGTGCACTTCACACTCAAAGGGCAAGCAGATCCTCGTCAGCGCCGGGTTTCTTTGGTGTCTTTCGTAAGCTGTTGTCTGGTCCGGCTCCGGCTACGGATCCGGGTGCGGAGCCTGTCGTGGCACTTGCGGCGGAATTCGATGCATTGATCGTTGGAAGATTTTCAGCGGCAGCGGCCCGTTCCTCAAGGAATTTATCAAACTCGGAGCTGGTCAGTTCCTCAATGCCATCAATGTCTTTCTGCGGGGTGCAAAAGGAAAACAAATTAGTCCAAATTTCATTAGGGAAAAGCCCAAGAATGTTACAAAAAGCAAAAGCAATTCATGTTTAAATCGAACAACAAAAAAAGCTGATGTGTGTGTGTGTTTGATTTGTTAATAGCTGTTGCTGCTTTGCTACTTACTGAGCTGCCCAGCCACGCCTCCATTTCGTCGATCTCATTCTCTTTCGTCGACTTTTTGTGGGCGCGTCATCAACAAAAGACAAAAGGCAAACGACAACAAACCCAAACAAAACGAACCAAATCGAATTTTGCAGTTAAAAACATAAAAACAAAAACAGAATTGCAAATTTAGAAATCAATTAAAGATAAGAAAACCAAATATTAGAGCGCCATATTAGTCAAAATAGGTTCTCAGGCAGCCGCATTACTCACTTTACTTACCACCGGCGGATCGCCGGCTGCACGTGGCGCTGGAGAAGCTGCTGCAGGAGCTGCTCCGACTGCTGCCGGCTTCTGTTGCTTGTACGGCGAGGAGACGCTGCCAGCGGCTGCGTCCACAATGGGTATATCGCGCAGCAAGTCGCTTTTGCTAGGTTCACAGAATATCAAAGTTACAACAGATTAACATACAACATTCGTATATAGCAAGTGCTCACTGGTTGCCATCGGTGCGCGACTGCGCCAGCATATCGAACTCATCCGCAGCGCCTGCAGTGACCGCTGTTGCTCCGGCTGTGGCGCCGCCCAGTTGCAGCTGCCCAAAGCTCTGTGGCAGATGCTCCTCGCTGCTCTCAATCAGGTCGATTAGCAGCTGATCACTTTGTGGCGTATTGCTGACAGCCGTTGCGGCTGGCGGCACAGATGCTGCTGCTGCCACGCCTGCGCCTGCTGTCGTTACGCCCGGCACACCCATGGCAGCGCCCAGGACGGCAGATGGAGAGGTGACCGCTGCAGCGCCAACATTGCCCTGTGCCCGACTCTTCTCGTAGCGCTGATGGCGCAAAAACAAGTTGTTGAGTTCGTCGTTGATGCGCAGAAATTCAGCCGTCAGCTCATCGTCCTGAACGCGTCCAATTAGATCAACAATGCGCGACTGCATCTCCTTGCAGGTGGCGGTCAGCTCGTTGAGCAGGGCATAGTCATCGGGACCCTCCTGGCCCGGCTTCATAACGCTCAGCATTTCCGCGAGTATGGACATATTGTTGCTCACAATTTCCAGTTCCGAGCGCAGCTTAGCCGCCTGTTCGGGCGTTAAATGCAGCGGTCCAGTTGCTGGCGTGGCAGCGACAGCTATTGCCGCATGCTGAGGCGATATGGTGTGCTGTGCGGCCATAAGTTGTGGATGCGGCAATGGATGCACCTCCGGAACACTCTGAAAGTTCAAATTGTACTTTAGCTAAGATTGGCGACATTTTGGTCATGTGCTGTGTTTACCCGCTGTGGCGTATATATGGGCGCCATGGCATCCAGATCGGTGGGCGGGAACTCAATGCCCTTGTTCTTCAGCTCCATGTACATTTGGGTGACACCATTGAGATCCGGTTGATTCTTGAATGCATCTGCCCAGATCTGTATAAGGCTAAGCACCTTCTCCTGCATTATGGCGGGCGGATCGTTTTTGGGGCCGATCAGCTTGACCAGATCATTGATGAAGTCCTTCTGGGCAACCAGCACATGAAACGCCTTGCCGCAGTTCTTGACGCACGTCTCCAGCACAGTTAGAGTATACATAACCACCTGATTGTTCTTGCCCGCATTCTGTGATAGACGTTTGCGTATGGCGCGCATCGCATCACGTGCCGTGTCCGAGGATTCGTTGATCATGTCACAGATCTCCATGTTGGCTGCCCAATTTTCCGATGCCAAGCTCGCGTCGGTGGCGGCCTCTGCAAAAAAGACAGTGTGAATTATTATACTGGTTACTTTTTTTTTTCTAGTCGAAAAACAATTTGTTCAAATATTTGATTTGGTTTTTAGCAGTCAGCTGCATGTTTGTATTTTTTTTTTTATTGTTTATTTTTGCGTCGAGTCATCGCGTTTTGTTTACGCAAGGAAAATCAACAATTAAAATCATGCGGCAACAATAAATTTTCAAGCAAAAGCAATATTCTTTTTATTGCAAAATAAAATTTGAAAAGCATATGCATATCGTAAGCTTATTATAACTTGTAATTAGAATTTAATTTAAAAAGTGACATTTTGCCCCTGTAAACAACTCAACTTGCTTGCTTTGGCGACATGTAATGAGAGCGAGCGAGAGAGAAAGAGAGAGAGCACTTGCGAGTGCAATGCACTCGCGCCCAATTAAAACGCAAGGCAACAACAAACATGCTCACAAATCGCATTCATAAAAATCAAAACAAAACAAAACAAGAAAGAGCAGAAGCAAAGTGGAGCGAAAACGAAGGTGAAGCAGCGAATTAGTGAAGCAGTGCAAATTAGCCGTAGTGCAGACACACACACACACACACTTGCATGTTTACTAGCAAGTGACTACGAAAATTGACCAGAAAACAGAAATGAATAAATTAACACATTTATGTAACCAACAACAAAAGTAACGGCGAATTTTGATGACTAATTGCGTATCAGCTTTGCAAGGAGTAAGCCGCTGCGTGTGCCAAATTATTACTGTACAAATACTTGTTTGTTTCTATTCAGTTGCAATTGATGAGTAACAAATAATATATGTATGTTTGTACAGATACCCCTTTATTTTTTCGTATGTGTCATATTCGTCAAAAGGGCGCCTCTTATTACAGCCACAACCACACACACACAGTTACACACACACATGCAGATGAACACCTATGTGAATGTGTACTATGTGCCGCTGTAATCTTATCAGACAATTGGCAATGCCAGTGGGTATGATGAGAAATGGTGGCAGGGGGTGAACTGGCGTGATATCAGTTTTTTTTTCGCCATAGTAATCAGATGACAACAACAAATCAGGCTTTGTAGTGAGCGGTGCGGGTGGTATATGTGTTTGTGTGTGTGTCTGTGTGTCAATACAAAAAAAAAACGTCAAACGCCCAAAAGAAAGTTGGGAAAATTCAATTTTCCTTAGCAAGATTTGCTTGGCGCATCCACCTTCAACGTGATCCATTCAGGCACAATGCAAATGCGCAAAAATATGTTTATTAATACATGCATACAAACATATGCCCATTTGAAAAGTGATACAATTTAATAAATGTATATTACACCCACACACGCATACCCCGCACTCGACAGTGCGAAACACTGTGTGTCGGCTGTTTTGCCCTTTACTCACCGATGCGCTGTCCAATTGGTGTCGAGAAAACATTGCCCAGAGCGCCCACATTGAAGAATGAAGCCATTTTGGTGCACTGACTTTTGTTTTAAACGCGTTTGTTTTATTATTTTTGTATCCACAAATAACGAGCGCAAATATTTATGCGTTTACATCTGCTGCACTTGTGTTGCAGAGTGACCGCAATCAATAAAGGTAAAAATACCAAAACATTAAGGTAGGCAGCAGCTAACTTAATGCGAGTAGAAAACTGCGTGCAGCCAGCTTCAAGTAGCACATTTCGAGCAGCCAACTTCATGCGGAGCTGCTAACTGATGTAGCAAATGGGCAGTTTCGGGCAGCGAACAGAGATGTGAAAGAGAATCGACAGTCGGAAGAAACACGAGGGAAGGAATTGTCATTATTTTTCGAAAATCAAATATTCGCTCGCAAAATATGCAAACGGGAATGATAATAACGTAATGTGCAGTCTTCAAATACACGACGACCGCCGTTTTCGTGTTTCCAAGCTGGCAAAGTACTCATTATACCAAATTGCTGGGCATATAGCATAAAGCGAAAAAAGCGTGTGCAATTGCCTTAGTGTGCGTGCGTCGGTTTGGTCGGTTGGTGTGTTGGCCGAAAGCAGTGAAACGAAAACTGAAGAAAAAAAAAAAGAACAAAAACCCGTAGCAAATTGTCGCGCGGGCAACGTACGTGAAGGCGCTATTGAAGGACGAAGAGCGGTCGCTGAACGGACGGCGGAGGCGGCGGCGGCTGCGGCAATCATAAGAAAAACGCGTGTAGTCGACCGGGCGGAGGATATTGAAGATTGCGCAAATGTACAACAGTTAGCTGTGAAGCGTGTGCGCGTGTATGTGTGGTGTGTGTCTGTGCGTGTCTGCGTCCGAGTCCGCGCAACACGCCCGCCTACGCCACAAAACGGCAGCAGCAAACGAATCGAATGCTTTCATTTCCTTTTCGCGCTACCGCCTCTCTCCCCATCGCTCCCCGCTGCTGCAATTGATTTCATTTAACGCGCTATCGCCTCACCCGCAACCGCAACCTCGCCCAACTTGACGTCGCCCCATTATCAGTTTTGAGTGTATTGTCAAAGTGTGCGCTGCGTAAAATCCTTCAAAATTCCACCACAAACGCCCACCAGTGCGAGCGCCATGCCCGTCTCGTTGGCTGTGTGCGAAACAGCAAATGTCGTGAACGCAGCGCTGCGCGAATCGCTTGGCAGCGGCATCGGCGGCGGCGGCGGCTGCGTTGCGGCCGCAGCTAGCCGATCTAGTGCCGGGTCCGGTTCTGGTTCTGTTGCTGGCGTTGATGAGGCCAAAATCGGCGATGTCTCCGGCACGGACAATCTGCAGAGTCAAATTGTGGCAAATGCCAAGCGTGTCTTGCTGGCCAAAATCGAGTACGAGGAGGTAGAGAATTACCATGAGTCGGTGTTGGCCAAACTCAAATCCAAATACATTGTCATTAAGCCGGACAACAACAATGGAGCTGCCAACTGCAATTACAAAACAAATGGCAAGGCTGTGGGCTCCAATGGACATGGTGAGTGTGTTGTTATTTTCCCCCTCTTTTTTTTTTTTTTAATTGTGGCCACATTTGCCCAAGCATCTACTTTGTACGTATGTATGTGTGTGTGTGTGCGTGTGTGTATGTGTATTAAAATTACATAAAGATGTATGTGCTGCTGTTTATGTTTGTGTTTCATGTTTATTTTGCCATATTCGGTGCTAAATCACGTGTGGACCAGCCAACATATTTGTCCGCCTTCAACATTTATGAGCAGCGACGTCGACGTCTCAGCAGCTGCGTCTGTGCCTGTGTATGTGTGTGCGCTGGGCTGGTGTACGTGGTTGTCGCATATAAACAGAATGCAAAGAATAGGCATAGCAAGCAAAACAAGTATATGATCGCAAAGAGTAAGTTGGACAGGCAGCGACGTTAGCAGCGACGGCGACGGCGGCAGCGAGCTCACTACAAATTTTTACTACTGTCTACTTCTGAATCACACGGCACACAGCAGAGACAGAAAAAACGTGCCGATGTCGCGGCAAACATTTTACACGCGGTCGCACGCTCTCGCTCTCTCGCACACACATAGATAGACAACACCTCATGCTCTTCTGCTCGCACCCATCGTGTGCGCCAAAGTTGGCGCTGAAAATTGTGTTTGGTAATCGCATTGCTGCGCGGCGGTTCAATTTGTTTTCTTTTTTCAATTACTCGATTTTTAGCGAATGTTGCGCCGCAGATTGCTTCTTGTTATGAATGGGCATATAAAAAAAAAACGCTAACGAATGTGTCTGATTCATGCACACACACACACACACACACATGGTGCGAGACATTTTCCTTCGCTTGTGCACAAAGCAGGAAGTAAAACAAAGGCGCGAGACAATGCAGAGAAATGGTCAAAGACTTCTCCGGTCAGGCCATGTTGTTTTGCCAACAGCAACAACACTGTGCAGACGCCTACAACAACAGTCACTGTCAGACCGCGCCAAAGTTGTGCCATTTGCACAGCGAGCAGTCAAAAATTCAGTTGGCAACACTCAACCTCACTGTAATACTTGCAATTTGCATGCGCCAAAACGAGACGACAATAGACGGCGGCGCATTGTATGGTGGTCACACTTTTTTTCCATTTCTTTTTGTAAAGCCAACGAGTGCGGCAACGAAACGCTCGCTGTTATCAACACAATACAAACGCACAAAGGCACAGGTGACCATATATATATATATATATATACATATATTAGCATATGTATATGTGTGTGTACGCTTGTGTGAATGTGGCGCTCGCTGCCTCTGGCAGCAGTTTCTGTCCGTCATATTCGGTTTAATTTTAGTATTCAAGCCAATTCTTTTGCCACAACTGCGATTCGTCCAATGTATAATAATGCCCGTGATAATTGCGGACAGCAGATACGCACTCTGGCTGCTCTATAAATTGGTGCTGGTGCCCTGCCTGGTGCTACTGGTGCGCCTCTTTCGACATGTGCTAATGCCCAGGCGCAAATTTGCTGTTTCATTCGCAGACAATAATACTGTAAACGGCGGCACTGTGAATGGCAATCGTAAACAGACCGTGGACAGTGGACAGTCCAATCAGAATTCCAGTGCGAATCCAAATGAACTGCCCAAGCCGAAGCGGGTGCTCTATCCGCGCGAGAATATACGCATCGGCTGGAAGCAGTCGGAACGCAAATGGCAGGTGGGCGCTGGAATGCTGAATGTGGGCAACACTTGTTACCTCAACTCGACGCTGCAGGCGCTCTTTCATATACCCGCGCTGGCCAATTGGCTCGTCTCGGAGACGTCGCATGTGGAGAACTGCAACATTAGCGAGTCCTGCGGCAGCGGTGGCTGCATCATCTGTGCAATGGCCAAAACGCTGCAGACAACGCAATCCAATCAATCGGCGGTCCGGCCATTTCTTATCTACACGAAGCTCAGGCAAATCTGCAAGCACATGGTTGTTGGCCGGCAGGAGGATGCGCATGAGTTCTTGCGCTTTCTGGTCGAGGCCATGGAGAAGGCGTATCTGATGCGTTTTCGCAATTTCAAAGAGCTCGATCAGCTGGTGAAGGAGACGACGCCAATTAGTCAAATCTTTGGCGGCTATCTGCGCAGCGAGGTGCGCTGCCTCAGCTGCAATCATGTCTCGATTACGTTTCAACATTTCCAAGATTTGTTGCTGGACATACGCAAGGCGGACACCCTGGAGGAGGCCTTCGATGGTTACTTTTCACGCGAGCGGCTCGAGGACATGGGCTACAAGTGCGAGGGCTGCAAGAAAAAGGTGAGACCTTGAACCTAAAGCATGGCAGATTCCCAAAAAAAAGTACATTTGACTTTGGATTAATAAAACTTGTTTCTATAGGTATCCGCTACTAAACAGTTTAGTTTGGAGCGTGCTCCAATCACGCTCTGCATCCAGTTGAAGCGCTTCTCGATGATGGGCAACAAGCTGACCAAACAGATTAGCTTCAAGCCACGCATTGACCTGAGCCGATTCGCAGCACGCAGCCCCACGGCCGCTGCACAGCCTTTAAGCTATCGCCTCGTCTCGATGGTCACACATCTGGGCGTTTCGCAGCATTGTGGCCATTACACGGCCATTGGCCTGACGGAGGCGGGCAGCTACTACAACTTCGATGACAGCTATGTGAAGCCAATTGCCATGCAGAGCGTCTGCAATACGAATGCCTACATAATGTTCTACGAGCTGGACGTGGCCAACAGCAGCAGCAGCAGCACTATCAACAACAATAGCAGCAGCAGCAGCAACAACAGTGTTGCGCCCAAGCTGAACGGACTGCGTCTGAGCAATGGAGCGCATAGCCCTGCGGCAGCTACTGTGGCTGTGGCAGCCACTGCGACGTCCACATCCGCCTCTGCTGTGTCTCCGCGCTTCATTGGGCCACAGCTGCCGAATGGCTATGCCAACAGCAATGGACATGCACTTGGTGGTGCAAAGACAACCATCCAGTTCAAGACGACGCCACAGAAACAGCTGCAACAGCAGCAGCAACAGCAAAACGGACTCCTTATGGGAGCCAATAAATTTCAGGAGTCTTCGCAATCGAAGCATTCACTGGCTGGGACATTGCATAAGGGAGAAGCTGCTCCAAATGCAAATACAAATGCAAATGCTAACAAAAGTTCCTGCAACAACAATATAACCAGCCAGCACCAGCAACAACATATTCTGCCAATATCATCCGACGAGGATGAGGACGAGGACGACAGTGATGATGACGATGATGATGATGATGATGATGTCAAAGCCAACACAGCGCCGCAGCTGCCCAGCATGCCGAAAATGTTTGAGGATAGCGAGAGCGTTGCCCAAACTGCCAAGTTGAAGCCAAAGACGCCACTCAAGAGCCTGGTGCCGTATGAGTCCGCCTCCGAGGAGGAGCAGGAACAGCAGCAGCAACAGCAACAACAGCAGCTGCTGCAAACGCCACAGCAACTGGCAGCGAATCCGCGCAAGCGACGCAGCGGCTCCGATTCCAGTGAATCAGAGGAGGAGGCACCGCCTCCGCTGCCCTCAATACTGCGCAATGGACACGCCAAGACCAATGGCAGTGTGTCCAACACGAGCAACAGCAGCCACAGCAAAGCCAAGTCCGCCTCAAATGCCTCGTCGGCCAATGTTAACAGCAGCAAACAAAAGACTGATGCCATAGACGAGATATTCAAAAGTCTAAACAACTACAAAAACAAACATAGAATCGCAGCAGATGATGATGAGGATGGGGATGGAGATGGAGATGGGCATGGGAATGAGCAGGTGCAAACGGAACAGGGCACAAAGAAGCTAAACAGCGCATCCTCCGCATCGGCCAGCAAGAGCAACGGCTGGCAGTCACAAAACGGCAAAGCGCCGTCATCTCCAAAGACGCCGCCCTCGCCAGCGGTCATTAAATCCAAGACTGGCATTTGGCAGATTACGCGCACCAACGATGACGACGATGAGGAGGACGAGGAGGAGGATGATGTTGAAGCCGATGCTGATCAGGAAGATGATGATGATGAAGTGGTTGTTGTAGAAGAGCCACAAGTCAGTGTCACGCCCAAAAATCCCAAAAATCCATTTGCCGCCAGCAAATCGGCCGAGGCGAATGCAACAATTGCCGGAGCTAAGCGACAGAAGCTGCTCAACGGCAGCGCCAAGTCGGCGGCGACAACACGGCCCGGCAATGGCTATCAGAGTGAATCCGTGGCCAACGGCAGTGCCGTCAGTGAGCTGCTGAAGCAGAACCATCGTGGCTATGGCACCTCTGTGCTCAGCTGGAACGGCAAGCCATCGGAGCTGGACAAGGAGGTGAGTGCTTGACCATAGATTCTTCCACGCTGCCTCAAAGTATTGCACCTAGTAGTTGGTTGTTTGGCTTTTATGGACTCAAAATGAGGCGTTCTCACTGCTTTCGAGTAACAGTGACAATATTCAAGTGCAGTGGGAAAGCTGTAATTATGGAACTTTAAATGCTCGCATCTCTAAGAACTATCGGTATCGGCATTGAAGCGCAGTGAAAACATCGCATTTTTGTACAAACTTTCTGCTTTCTTTTGGTTTTCTGGCTTATTTATATCTCTAAATATTCATTGCATGGTGGTTTTTTTTTTTTGTTTGGAAAATTGTTTTGTAATTTTTGCATTTGTTTCCGCCATTTTACCCCCATTCATATAGAGTTTTGATTTGGTTTGTGCGAAACGGATAGCTGGTCACGGCGATACGGATGTGCATAGCGACGTCAACAGTAGCAGTAACAATAGCAGTAACATTAACAGTAACAGCAACAGCAACAGCAATGGCAATGGCAAACGCAAGAACTCGACGGCGCCAACTGATCTATTGTTTTAGCCGCTGTTGCAAGTATATTTGCATATCTCAATTTTCTCCCAATTTGCCTCGAACTGTGATTGCGTTGAAGTCTCCATGCGGCGTGTGGATACTTCAATGCGCCCAATACTCCCCCAACCAAAAACTCGTTTCAAGAAAGCCGTCGAAATCCTAGTGCCCAATAGGTAAAAACTGCTGTTGTAGTACTGTGTATCCCAAACAATGAAGCTTATGATTTGACTTATCATAATTTCAACCGTGCCCGTTACCGTTTTGCCAAATGAACCGTTAGAGACTAGAGCTGGAAAACTATTTTGTGTTTCAAAAGACGATCGTGTTATCGATAGTTGCATTATTATGCTTGTTCAGTGCTAGAAAATACGATATTTGATATGTGCTATCGATAGCTTGACAGTTTGGTTTTCCAGCTCTGATTATAAATCGCATGCAATTTGTGCTCGTTTTCTCATCTGCATAAGCTTCATTACCAACCACCCAGTCCAAGAGCCAAGCAGATTTATGCACCTAACTGAAGTATATTAATGTGCGAATCTTTGCCTACAGTTGCTGGCCGAGGCTCGAGAGCAGCGCAAGCGGGATGCGGAGGATGAGGAGGAGAACGAAATGGATCGTGGACGTCAGCGCAAGGTCAAATCGGCGTCGGTTAAATCTAATAACAGCACGCCCGGCTACAATCCATTCCAGGAGTTCGAGAATCAGAAGCGCTGGCACAGCAACAAGTCTGGCACCTTTCCCCGCTTCTATCATCAAAATAATCGCCCCAACTTTCAGCAGCGCAACAAATTCAAATTCAATCGATTTGGCGGCGGTGCCAAGTTCCAACAGCAGCGTGCCTTGCAGCGCCATCTGGCGGCCGGCGGTGGTTTTACGCGTCGTCAACAGCAGTCGACGGGTCAACAGCAGCAGCAGCAACAACAACAACAACAATCCTAACTGGATGTCGTTGCGGCCTGCTCCTCGATCCGGGAACTTGTTGCATATGTTGTTGTTGTCGTCGTTGTTGGCTGGCAACGGCTGGCAAACGGGTTCGCTTGGATTTTACACGAGTTTTGTAAACATTTTTTAAGTGCTGATGCATATATTAGGACTAGGACACATAAGCTATAAGCTAGAGCAACCTATACCCGACCCCCTACCCCCCACCCTCACATACACAGAAACAAACATTTTTAGTTTAAGTTATAAGCGTGTTTGGCATTTTATTTATTGTGTTTATTTTTTAATGGGAATTTTTTAATTCGCATTATTTAACCCCAAACGGATGGTAAACATTTTCAAAAAATGTTGCTACCGAAAAAAAAAAGAAAAAGAAAAAAAAGAATGTATGAAAACATGCCTAAAAACCAAACTAAACGAAAAGAAAGAAACACGTAACAAATAGATGCAAACCTTATAAGAACTACAAATAAAGTAACAGAAACAATATTTTTAAGAAACTAACAAGAAACAAAATCTGTACATATTATATATTTAACTATGAGAGTGTAGATTAAAAGTCGGTCTAAGTTAAGTTGGCGTACGAAACGGATATTTCATTTGAGCGCCAGTTTTATTTATAGCATTAGCGGCAATAACCGATTGCTAGTGTTAATATAACCCAAAAAAAAAACAAACAAATAAAACATGTTGGAATATGATACAAAAACAACAAACAAAAAATATACATAGAATATATATATATGGCATATATAAGCATTAGTTGAATATGTGCAAGAAAAAAAAGAAAGAACGGCCGGCGCCGGCGAATTAGCGAAATTATATTATACAGTTTATTTCGATCAAATTAGTGTAATAGTGAATAAACCGTAAAACCACAAAGAATAAGAATACATTAATATATATACTATATTTAGATGTATATGCTAAATTAGTAAGTCGACCTTTTGGCAAACGCTAATCGCCGCCGCCGCCTCCTCCACCGCGCTTGCGACGCATCTCCTTCTTGTTCATCAGGCGACCCTTGCGATAGCGTGTCTGGGCAGCCGGCGGCTTGCCATGCTTCAGCTGCTTGCGCTGATGCTTGGGCACGCTCCGGATGGTATTGTTGCGATCACGTTTCGCCCGCTGCAGGTTAGCTTTTTTGTCCATGCGTTCCTTCTGTTTGAACAGTTTGCTCTTTTTGATTTTCTTCAGCGTTTTCGTTTTCATCAGCCTGTCTAGATCCTTTTTGCTTTTGATTTCAGCATCACCAGCTTTAGTTCCGGCCGCCTTCCTGTTGTCTTCCTCATCGTCTGCGGGCGCTTTACGTCTACGTTTGGCATTCACATCGAAGTCCATGCCTGGTATTAGATTGGTTTCTTGCTCGTCATCCTCGCTCTCCTGCGGCGGCGCCGTTTCGTCCTCGCTGCCGTCGGCTATGTTGGCACCAAGCATATTGCGTTGCGCTGCCAAATCGTTCGTGGACAGCTCCACTATCTTGACTTGGACTTCATCATCTTCGTAGGCGGCTTGCTGGACACCTTCAATCTTATCCTCGTCGGTGAGTTCGCGCAGTGGTTCGAAGGATTTCTTCAGATGCTTGAAGCCATCCTTTACCTCCTGCCGGATGCGTTTGTGCTCCTCCTTGAGATTGCGCTCCAATTCCGTTTTGGCCCGTGTGCGGCGCTCGTTCTTTCGCTTTCGAAAGCCTGTCAAAAAGTCTCTGTTGAGATTGCACTCAGATATTAAGATTGTTTTGTCTGATCTATTTAGCTACTCACTTGCGTTTTTGGGGATCAAACACAATCTCCACTTTCTTCTTTGTACGAGTCATTTTAATTTGGAATTAGCTAAAAACCTCGTTGTTTACGTTTTGCCAAGCCACATGTTGGTTACAGAACGCAATGTTCAGCTCCTGTTAACGCTATGTTAGATGTATGTTAACGAAATTTTGACGCGTGTTCATTTTGTGTACAGACCATTATATGCCGTATATGTTAAGGCAATGTTAATGCACTGTAAGCGAATTGGGAAAGTTTAAAATATATTGTAAACAATTTTTCATTTCTGGTCTATATTCAATGTACGAACATGATAGTTCGTTCTCGTTTAATATTTATTGCAATTGGATTGGAAAATGTTATGATAGATTTCTTTAAATTTTGCGGCTTTTACAAATCGCATTTCGTATATATATCACATGCTTATATGTATTATCTTTTACAATTCGGATTACTTTATAAAAACAAAGTTCTTTTAACAACAAGTTCTTCTAAAGAAGCGTTAACATTACACAATCGTTGGGTCTAATAACTAGGGATATTCATGACTTATAACGATATATATTCTTGCCATATGTATGGGTTTCTTTTTGTAACTGATATATGTATAGGCTTCGTATCCATAAATTCATTCCGTTGCAATATCTCTGGAGTTCACTCCTCATCGCTGTCTAATGTAAATAATCTAATGCGCCGAAACGAAGACGTCTCCAATACTTTTGGCGTGGAAGCATTGGCACGCGAGCAGCTCGCGTCCTTGGCCAATAAATTACTGTTCTCCGCTTGGGATTTACGCGCCGAACTGGAACTAAAGGTATTGCGTAAGTAAGTAAGTTATCCATAAAAGATTTTAACTAGTTACCCTCTTTGACGATTGGACTTATTGTGATTATGATTCAGGGGCGTCGAATTGACCAAATTCTCTCGTCCACAGGCTGTTGGCGTGCCCTGCTGCGACAACTCCAGCGTATCCATGGCTAACAGAAAATCGGATACATAACAATCTCGATTCCCTATGGGCGTTGAGCCCACCAGCTGAAACTCTACACGAGGCACACCAGGAACGGTTGCTGATGGCGATGCCGGCGCTGCTGCTACCGCATTTCCATTGCCGTACGTAGCGGACTTCGGTGCCGTCAGCGGCTTGTACAAGTGCAAGATTTCCAATATGTAGAAGAGGCAACGGTACGCAGTAGTCTTTAGATTGCACATTTTCATCCAGAGCGCACGTCGCGAGCGGCGAAAGCACTTAGACTAGAAGAATACAATGAATAGGCGATTGGAATATTACTTTCAAGGAATAAGCTCCTACCAGCAGCTTTAATGTGACCATCGATTTCTCCTCCTTTTGCATTCTCTGAAGCCGAGGATGCGATAGCAGCTGCTCTGTTGTCGGCCGCAATCGCGGTTCGGGCGACATCATGCACTTGATGACCTGCTGCAGCTCCACTGAGATTGCTGCAAGCACAAAGAGATCGTTAAAATAGTTTTTGGACTATTTGTTGTTGACTCTGATGGCTCACTGTTTATGAACTCCTCGGGCAGTTTGCCCTGGCGCAGCTCATGCCAGAGTGGTCCATTCGAGGGCAAGTCCATGTAGCAGGCCAGCTCCAGCATTGCGATGCCCAGGCTAAATATGTCTGCGGCCTTGGAGAATTGGCCTTGCAGTATTTCGGGCGCCATGTAACGCGAATCGCCCTCTGTTGCCTGATGATTGTTCGCCTTGTCCACATCGATGACCAGCCCAAAGTCCGCCAGTTTGCAGGTGTCGTCGTCGTCGATGAGCACGTTATCTAGCTTAATGTCCAAGTGTATGAGATTGCGATCGTGCAGCGACTTTAGGCCACGCAGTAAATCCAGCAATATGTGCCAGATGCGTTCCTCTGGAATGTGTCGGCAACGGTACAAATACTGCTCTAGGCTTTCGCGGCACAGCTCCATTTGCATAAACAGCCGATCGTACTGCTCCCAAGCACGTATGAAACGAATGCAATTCTCATGACCGGAGAACTCCTCGTAGCGACGCACCTCCTCCAGTCGCTCAGCCCGATACTGTTCGCCACGAAACAGTTGTTTGGAGATTTTGACCGCATACAGCCGGCTGTCGGAACGATCTCGCACCTGGAACACCTCACCAAAGGAGCCCTCGCCCAGCTTTGCCAAACGCTCGAAACACTCCTCGAAATGGCTCTTATTGCAGGACATGGACGACTGTGAGGCTGCGGCAGCATTTGGTGAGACCGGCAATGTGCCGGCATCGGAGCACTCGGATCCGCCGCGAAACGAGATCGCGTGCGCAATTTGTGAGTTGTTGGCGCTGCAGGAACCCGACGACTGGCTGCGATTCAAATTGTTGTTCTCGACGGCAACGTAACGCGTTTTGTATTTGGGCGGTCGAAATCGGTTGCTGTCAAAATGCCCATTGAACTGAGACAACAAAGAGATTGTTAGATGAAGATGCTGGAATCGTCGTATGGCCACCACTGTGGATCTGTGGCTGTTGCTGGTTACCCACCTGTTTGTGCCGGTGCTTATCATCGCTCATCTCTGGCAGCGGCAAACGATGCTTGTCCATGTTGTTTCTCTGTTTTATTGAATTGTTTTCCTTATGTTCTAGTTGAACTATTCGGGAACTGGATTGTGAACAAGTTCGTTTGCACGAGGAGCTCAGGTTCAGTTTATACGTGTCAAAATATTTGTGTAACAAAGAAGTGCATGGCAGAAAATATTAAAAGACTTTAATTACCAACTAAAAGGCTAGTGAAAGAAACGATCCGTAGGATAAATTATTATCTATTAAGCGTGTATATACCGCCCTAAGCTGATTGTTTATTTATCAAGCATCTTATATCAGGAATGGCGAATTGAAGCAAATTGGCGTTGCCATATGACTTTATTGACATTTCGATAGTTAATGGCGGTGGGTCGATTGGCGGCAGATGTCTTTCGATTTCGCCGATGGTATATATTATCGTATCGCTTAGCCCATAAAAACAACGCGTAGTTATAGTCTTCAAAACAAATGCAGCAACATGCTCGGCAGAAGTATTGATAGGTAAATATTCGAGACCTATACGAACACAGGTAAAAGCAGCAAAGAGCGCTTCCATAATATGGTTGTAAACGCAATTAAGTTATGCAATTTGTGATGCGGTTTCGTTTTGTCGATAAGTATGTAATTGTATTGCATACATATGTATGCACATTTGCGTACGAGTGTGACCGCATGCAAGAAAAAAAAGAATACCAATTGAACACAATCGAATGCCGTTAGCATTTTACAATTTGAATATTGTTTGAACTTGAAAGAAGTGGTTAAGATATGGACAATAAATATATAAATGTTTGTTTGAATATGTGTTTGTACAGTACAGGCAAGCAGCCAACATTTCATGTGATACGTGAAGTCTACGACAGTTCAAATGCGCACGAACGCTTTGAAGCGGAGCTGGACAAAGCGCTTGAGGCCAAGGTAGACTTCATTATCATTGAGCCGCCGCGTTTGGGCGATGAAACCGGTAAGTTAACAATAGATTATCTCCCGAATCCTTAAATAATGGCAATGTCTCTTCTAGGTCGCTGGATATGGGTGGGCAATTGCCTGCACAAAACGGCAGTGGCCACCGGAGTTGCGTCCCTTATATCCAGCTTGTTGTGGTACGACCGTCCTGTGATTGCGGCTCCCGTTTGTGCCATGTCGCTATTCTGTACTGGCTTGTACACAGTGTCATGGAACTACGATCCTTGCTGCCAGTATCAGGTATGTGGTTTGATGTTCTACTGCATTGAATGGATATTACATAGCTTATATTGTGCAGGTGGAGGAAAACAACGAAGTCGCATTAAACAAGCTGCCACTAACCGATGTATCCTCGCCTGTGATCCTGGGCTATGCGCCCAATACTCAAACCAAATACTTGCATCGCGGCATCACATTCTTATCGGCAGCGCTGTGTGCCTGGCAGATTTGGCGATCCTACAAGTAGACGACGACTCGATCTGGAATCAGATAATCGGCCAGCTAGCTAGCCAATGGCTGCAGTCTGCGGCAATACGGCGCGTTATCTTGAACTTGACTCAAGTATTTGGTTAATAAGTTTAGTTAAACGCCATTGCGCGTATGCATTTCTTTTAGAATTTCGAACGTTTCGTTTTTCCTAGTTAAATTTTAAAGTGGTTCAAAGTCCGAAATGTCTATGAATGTTTCCATAGCTGTCTGTTTGTTTTTGGCAGCTATTAACTTGCGCCTGCATTATTTTGAATGAAATATTTATGTTTTAGTATTTAATGGCCAAGAAGTCTTTTTATTAGTTATTGTTCAAGAGATAGATGCACTGTACAAATAATTAAGCAAAATTACTTTGTGTGTGTGTGTATAAATAATAATAATAGTGATTGTTATTAGTATAGAAATTAAAGGCAGTGCAAAGAAGTAAATAAAGTCGAAACCAATATGTTATTTAAATACACAATACAAATAAAACAATTGTGCCGCGCTTGCTGTGAATAACGAAAGCATATATAATCTAACAAACACACACAAAGAGTGTGTGTGTGTGTGTGTGTGTGTACACACACATATATGTACATGCAAAACAGCTGTAATGAGACGTCATGCGGGCTGCGGCTGCAGTCTGTGAGCTCAGTAGGCTTGGCGAAGTCATCGCAGCGGCTTTGTGCAATCCCGAACGCGATCAACCGACAAATTCCAGTGCGAACCAGCGCAAGTAAAGGCTGCGGCGGATGCTGCCGCGGCAGTTGTAGTTGTTGTTATTGTGTGGAGTGAAGTGGAGTGCGGGATTACGCTTGATGAGATGGAGATCACTGCGAATGTGGGTAGGTGATGGTCAAATGTAAACAGCCTTAAGTGGCTGCTGTGCCGCTTTGATAAGCTAGCCCGCCAAGTAGCAAGATCCGTACAGTTGACTCTGCAGCAGCTAATTGTGCCGCTTATCGTGGCACTTTTTATCACAAGTATTTGTTGTTTGTTAAATATTTTGCAATCGTGCAGTGCATGTGCCTGTGGGCGGCAACCTTAATACCAGCTGCATATCCACATCGTCGCGTGCCAGCACCTACCTCAGGCTCGAGACTAGCGCGGAGCCCAACGAGCATACACCGCTGCTGGCCGCCCGCGGCACTTCATCCCCCGATTCAGCCCGGACAAGTGCGACGACGGCTGTTGGCACAGCGATCTACACAAAAGAATGCTTTAATTGGCGCATCATTGGACTGCTCTCGATGTTCATCAGCGCCATGGTGCTGGCCACATATTTGCTCTGGCGACAAAGTAAGTAATCCCACTGGAAGTGGGGCTGTGCAGGGTCCCATTATGTGCATAAGATCCGTTGATTCAATTTGCTTTGTGCCCGTAAATAAACATGAGTATTTATATGTTAATGCCTAGAATTGGCTGCCGTTTCCATGTAAATGGTTTTATTATGTGGTCAGCTTTCAATATTACGTCATAAAACAAAATTACTTTTAGCTTTAAAGGGTGTTTAGGGCTTGCCATTTATAGAATGCTTATATTTTATATTTTGGCTTGAGGTTTTTTATACCAGGGCTGCAAGCACAAAGTCGAGGGTTCGGTTCACGGTTTACGGTTCAAAAAACCATTCCAATTAACTTCGTTCGACTTGTCGAATATTTTTATATTAATGAAATAATTAATTTTTTAATTTAAAATTGCCCGTTCTACTGAAAATATTGCCGCACGTATATATTTTCAAAAAGAAGCTGCGGGCTACATATTAGATAAATTTAATTTGTGTAGCCCTAGTTATTTATGCTTTGGAGTTAATCCTCCCTGTTAAGTGTGTGTTCTAATTGGAATTCAATGGGAATTGCGGGCTCGAACTGGTTCGGTTCAACTCCAGCTCGCAGTCTTGGCGCTTTTTTATCGTAACAAGTGGAAATATTATTTAGTTATGCTTAACAAATGTGGTTACTGCAAGGCAAACTTGCTTTTGAATAGCTTTTAAACTCATATATATCCTGGGATCTTACCGCAACATTGGATTCTTCAAAAAGAAAGCTTAGTGCAGAGCATATCTTTTCACCTGGCTTTTTCCACCGCAAACGACACGCCAGTCGGCAGGCTCTTCGCTCTGTTGTCCTTGGCCTTAGTTTCCAGTCTAAGAATCACCCAGCAAAACTTTCATCTACCTACAGCATCAGCTCCGTCGGATAATGGCTACAAGCTGCATCTCGTCCGACATGATATTTGGAGTGGGGCCCATTTGCATGGTCAGGCGCTGCTGGATGCGGGCAAAGTTGTAAACGTTTTCATCACACACACGGCCAGCGAGGAGTGCAGCGAGAACTGTGCGAATCTGCTGCAGAGCTTGCAGGTGAGTCACACAGCCACAAAGCATCAGATATAATTATCCAATAAATTTCGCGCAGCGCAAACATTTGGGGGAGCTTCCGTTTAACTTTCTCATGGCTGGCGACTGTGAGACATACGAGGCGCGCGGCTGGCAATACGCGAGCAGCTTCGAGTCGCTGCCCCAGGCCAGCTCCTTGGTGTTGGCCTTTGTGGGCGATTATAGCCAGTGGCTGCCGAGTCTGTGCCAGCTGCAGATGGCCAAAGCGCTGCTCTGGGAGTCGCAGCGGCGCCTCAAATTGCAGCCGAGCTATCAGCTGTATGCGCTGCGCAATGTGAGTCGCAGTGAAGGGGATGCGGATGCACTGCGGCATCAGCTGCAGCTCTGGCCGCTCTATGCCGGCCAGCGGCTGGTGAAGTAAAACTGAAGCTTCCAAGTTGTTCCTCTCGTTTTTTATTGTACTCCACAAAACAAATAGTTTACAAAAGAAGCGCAGGATTAATAAAGCGGGGTGCCACCGAAAAGCGAAGCGAGTGCCCGCTCCCAGCCCAGCGGAACAGTTGCTGCCAGCCGGGTAGATGAGCCAACAAAGCGTAGCGCTGCGTGTGCCATTACAAATTAAGGATAATGCCTATTGCTAAAGCTTAAATGTCTACAATGTCTACGCTGTGCATCGGATGCATCCTAGTCGAACTCCAGTTTCCGAAAACTGCCCTCGATGGACTCGATCTGTGAGACGAAATTGGTGCCCGTGCCGTTCTTCTCGGAATTGTAGCTACTGCGTCGCTGTATGCCGCGATCTGAGAGCAGCATGCTTTGATCCAGTGCCAGGACCAGATCCCGCTTGCCGGCCAGCTCCTGTTTCCACAGCTCAATCATCTCACGCATGGGCATGATGCCGCCCATCTCTTGGGGCAGGCAGTCGGCATCGACGGCCTTCATCAGCTCCTTCTCGGTGCCGTAGATGTTAAGACGGTTTTTCATCTTGGAGCTGACGCGATTCTTCACAAAGTCAATCAGCCATTTCAGCGTGGAGGGCACATTGATCAGATGAATCTCCTTGTGACGCATGGGCAGCGATTGTTCGCCCCATTTGAAGACGCGCGCAAATTCCGTGGGATTCCAGTTGGTGACATGCGATGTGGTGACGCCCGCAAAGTCGCCCACATGACTCAGACCCGTGATTTGCGTCTCCTGATCCTCCATCAGGCACTCGTAGGTGAGAAAGTGAGCCTTCGCCTGGTCGCTGCTTGTGTGAAACTTTGGATTCAAACCTTTGGCATTGATGATCACCACCCGCCGGCCGTGCTTGTCCCGCTTCGGCACCGCGAATATGTAGCCCTGTTCGATGAGGTCGCTCAATCGCGGCTCCAGAAAGTCCAGCTTGGTGGCCATGTGCGGGAAGGTGCGTCTAATGTTCAGATACTTGAGCAGCGTCTGCTCAGCCATCGGCACGCTGAACTTTTTGGCGCGCAGAAAACGCAACAGGAACGTATCGTCGCAGCGCACATTCTGCAGATCCTCGTTCTTCAGCACCCAGTTGCGCAGCTGCTCCAGACTCTGCTCCCGCGTGCACTTGTCCTCGCGCAGCTCCCGCTTGGCTATCTTCAGCAGCGATTCGGACAGCATCGAGACGTCGCTATCCTCCAATACCTTGGTCTCCTTCATCACTTGGCACTGTTCCTTCTCAGCTGCGGCTGCTGCTGCTGTTCAATGTGGCGTATGCGTAATGTCAGCCGGCTGTTTGGAGAGAAGGCAGCAAGAAACATAAGTAAGCATATAGTTAATTTTATTATCTATTTCAATTTAGTAATACATGAAAATAGTTTTGTTTACGCGAGCGCTCGATCCACAAACGCGTAAATATTTTTTTAACTGACGATCTTTTTGATTTCGCTTTAATTTCTTTTTGAGACCAATTAATGATTAAATCACGCACTCATTTTAATTGCTCCACTTTCGATATTCTGCCAAACAACGCGCCAGCTAATGAACTCTAAACGATGTTTAATCTCAAACAATGCAAGACCACAAAATTGGTTCAAGGCCTCGCCTCAAGGTTTCATTTGCAAATATTTGCTAATTATGCCTAAAACTAACAACAAAAAGAAATCAAAAACAAAAAAAAAAATCAAATAGAAACAATCGCAGCGTCTGATTCAGCGGATGTTCAATGTATCTTTACAAATGTAAATTATTTTCTTGCTGGACAATAAATTCAAATGTGATGGGCAAAAAAGCGAAAACAAAACCGCAAATTGGTTCAAGTTCAAAAAACTTAGACTGAAAGCGGGTCAAGCTTGAGATATTTATATTTGTTTTCATAGCATCTCTATCTCGGACTCAAGTCGTTGTCCCCGCCATCAGAAAGAGTTCAACTGTTTCTCCAGCTTCAGCTTTTTTTTTAAGTATTGCATAATTTGTTTTCCGGCGGCGGCATTTAAAATTTAACATACAGTATGTCAATAAAGTGTTTTTACTAACAAAAAAAAACTAATTTTTTGGGTTTAGTTGAAAATAAATGTACCTAAAAGTGAGAATTTTTTTTCAATTATAATTTATTTCGATTCTATATTTCTCCTAGAACTTAATGGCAAAAAGAATTGTTAAATAACATTACCCAAACATTTTATAAAATTAAAAAACTAAAAACATTCAAATTTTATGCTGTCAATAAAGTGTTTTTACACGAAACTTTATTACTAAATAACAATGTTAAAAAAACAGGAATATTTTTTTTTAATACTTTGTGTGGCTGCCATTAGCGTCACATACAGCCTGCAATCGCCGTTTCATTGAAACAATAAGGTTTTGTATGTATGTTTCTGGAATCTTCTGCCATTCTTCCAGTACAGCAGCTTTTAAATCAGTTTTTGATTTTGGACTCCGCTTTGCGACTTTTTTTTTCAAATATGACCACACATTTTCTATTGGATTCATATCTGGACTTTGTGGTGGAGTGTCTAACACCTTTCCACAGTTGTACAACAGCCAAACTCTTACCATATGAGCTTTATGCTTCGGGTCATTGTCCTGGTAAAATTTAAAAATTGGCTTATTGTCCTCATAGAATCCAAATTTCTGTGCACTACTGACGAGATGTGTCTGTAAAATGCTCAGATATTGTCTAGCATCCATGGTATTCTCAATGAAGGTCAAATCTCCTACACCCTTGCTCGAAATACACCCCCACACCATCACTGATAGTTTTCCGAATTTAACGGTTGGAATAATATTGCGGTTTTCCAACGCTGTTAGTGGCTTTCTCCAGACTCTGGATGGCCCATCGTTGTAGAATAGCATCATCTTGCTTTCGTCACAGAATATGACGTTACTCCAAAAATCGTTCGAACTATTTACATGGACTTGAGCGAACGATAGCCGCTTCAAAATATTCGCCGCCGATAGTAGAGGTTTTTTCCTGGCAACTCGTGATGTGTAGTCATTGGAATTCAGTAATTTTCGGACAGTTTCATGTAACACATCAACACCACTTTCTTCCTTGAACTCCTGAGCAATATCCCTAAGCGAAATTTGTGGATTTTTCTCAATTTTTCTCAGAATTTTTCGCTTATCTCTGTCAGAAATTTTGCAGGGTCGACCACATACTGGCTTTGCCTCTAGCCTATCTTCCTTATTGGCTCTGTTTAATATGTTGTATATCGTTGCTTTTGATAAATTAAACATATCAGCCAGTTCCGAGACTTGACGTCCCATCTGATGGTTATAATACACCAGCTGAGCGACTTCAAAAGTTGTTCTTTTTCCTGGCATTTTATTTTTCATAAAATTAAAGCAAAACGTTATAAATTGCAATAGAAAATGACAAGAAAAGTCGAAGACACAAGAGAAGCCAAAACGCATGGGCCCAAATCTAACGGGATCACCCAAAAGAGAACGGCAAAACAATTTACCGTAGCTGTAAAAACACTTTATTGACAGCATAAAATGTGAATGTTTTTAGTTTTTTAATTTTATAAAATGTTTGGGTAATGTTATTTAACAATTCTTTTTGCCATTAAGTTCTAGGAGAAATATAGAATCGAAATAAATTATAATTGAAAAAAAATTCTCACTTTTAGGTACATTTATTTTCAACTAAACCCAAAAAATTAGTTTTTTTTTGTTAGTAAAAACACTTTATTGACATACTGTATGTGTCTATGGAAAGCCAAACAAACAGCTCTTCGACTCAGCCTCAGCTGCGGGTAGTCAACTCCTTCAGATGCCTGGCTTTAGTATTCTAACATTGGGTATGATGATTTTGTGACGCATTGTGTCCAATATGGGATGCACATTATATTTACACTCTTGTTCAGAATCATGTCCGTCTGTTTTGATTATATATCTTGCACAGCAAAAAAAGTGTTAGACATCTTAAGTATATATATAAAAAGGGTATTTAATTCTCGGCATGTCAAAAGTAGCTGCTTTTTTTCTTGTTTTACAGCACTGAAAATTCGAGTTGTTCGCTTGTAAGCTTTATATTTGTTTACAAATCAATTGGTACGCAAATAAGGGCATTTAAACTTCGGCGTGTCGAAAGTAGCTGCCTTTTTTTGTTGTTTTACAGCCTCAAAACATGGAGTTATTCGCTTGTAAACTTAATGTCTGTTTGTTTGCTTTTCGATTTCGGTTCGTCATGATACACATATGCAAATCAATTGGTTCGCCTCGTTTATGTCCAATGCAGACACCGTGCCATTTAATTGATTTCTGTCTGTTTGTTGTGGCTTTTTAACTTTATGTTTACAGAGGCACAAGTGCATTTTCGGATATTCAACAAAAATTTGCATTTTCTTTGGGTTTTCTTTTAGCTGAAAATTCGATTTCGAAAATGTGATTAAGCAATGGCGCCTACAAATTCACCGTTTGCTTCTCTGCCGCCATCCAAATCCCCCCCCGCTCACCGCGCGCCGTGCACATTCCCAGCTGACTGCCTGGCCACTGTTTGGGGTTTCAACATGTTTATTAGGCGCTCGGGGCTTGTCAAGTGGCTGTGCCTCTGAGTGTGGCTCTGGCTGTGGTTGCGTGGCTGTGTGTGCCTAGCTGGCCAGGCTAATAATGCAACAAAGACGCCAGACGCGACGTCAGCTGCAGTTTGCCAATTTCGAAAATATTACTTTTCAATTTGTTGCATTTGCAATTTTGCAATATTTTTCACAAAAAATTAGTTAGCTGCTTTTAGAGCTGAACATAATAAAAAACATTTTTGTTGCTTTTGTTAAGAATTTACAACACACACACACACACACACACACACTTACACAATCGAGCTGCAGGACTCTTATGCTTGCTTTTATCTATATAGTTACAAAATATGTATATCCAGGCGTCGTGTGCCGCGTCGCGTACCGAGACAACTGAGCAGCGCGAGCTCTGAACAACGAATGGCGCAAAGCAACAAAAAGTGGCTTGAAAAAATGTTAAAGAAATTAACTGGATTATATAATGACCACACAGCGACTACACACACTAAGAGCAGCAGCAGCAGCAGCAGCAGCAGCAACGGCAGCAGCAACGGCAGCAGCAGAGACGGCCCAAAACCGAATCCGAATGCAATCTGATCGGTTTCTGGCTGCTGCCGTTGTTTCTGCTGCTGCTGCTGCTGCATGGAAGCGAACAAGTTTTTCGAAAACCGAAAGTGCGCTGTGCACAGGCGAACCTTTTCGCCAGGCTGTTAGCCTGCGCCAAGTCCAAGTCGACAGCCATCAAAGGTAGCGGCATAAACAGTTGCTGCTGTTGTTGTTGCTGTTATTGCTGCTGCTGCTGTTATTGCTGCTGTTGTTGTTGCTGTTGAGTAATCCCAGTCAGTTGGTCAGTCGGTGAGCTACTCGGTCGGCTGTTAAAATCGAGCTGTTTTTTGTTGTTGTTGCTTGTGTTTATTGTTTTTAAGCGTTTTTTTTTGTTTTTTGCCTTTTCATGCCTTTTGCACTTTGTTTATTTCATCTGTGATCTCTGTCGAGCTGTGAACATTAATGATTAGGCTCATTGAAATCAAAGACGTCGAAACTCATTGCTCATGGCAAAAATTTGCATTTTCATGGCGCCCATTTCGATTTGCTGCCCCCCTCCCAAACAACAACAACAACAACAATAAACGCAACACCTTACAGTCCAGTTCGAGCCTTGAAAATGCAATCACCCTCTGCGCCCGCCTCTGCGCCCGCCTCTGCTGCTGCTGCTGATAGTTGTTGGAGCTCTAATGATCGTGTTGATGCACAAGTTGGTTGTTGTTTGAGATACGTCATCCGCTTGGAAACACGTTTGCTTGTGCTCTCCGATAGATATTTTTGGACGTTATTTAAAATTGGATTTTGTTGGCCGTCTGTGGTTAGACAATTGCATTAACTGGGCGTTGAGGTCGTTTCTATTTTGAGAAAAACACAAAAAGGGGGAAAAGCGTTGACTATTTGATTGGCGTCTAAGCTTTTGTTTCAGGGCCATTCGAAATGCGCGCCCCAGCCAGCGCGTATTACCCAATATTGTGTATTTAGCATAGGGCGTAGGCAGGCAGCTCTGTAGAAATGGGTTTTCAAGAGCCCTTCAACGTTTATAGCCAAAGTCGAAACAAATTAACATTAACATTCGCTGGACGCATGCTTGGAAAAGCGACACACATTTTGTTGCAGTGTAATATGATGTGCGTGTGTGTGTATTAATTATTAGAAATATGATCGGCGATCTTTCAATGTCAATACATGAACTTTGGTAATTATGTGTAAATATAAAAATCATGCATTTCTTGAGATCAAAAAATGCGCCCAGCAACTAAGTAGTTTGAATACAAAAGCTTTGCTTGTATTCAAATAAAGCCTTAACTTTAGTTGATTTTCAGCAACATTTTGGCATTCCGAGTCTTCAGTTTGTTTGTTGTTTCCCCATTTTACAACAGCCTTCGACCTTCAAGGCAGGTTCGGACCAGCTGATCGACCTACTCAACGATTTATAAACATTTTTTTAAACTTGTGTAATGTGCGCACTCATCATTGGCACGTTTTTTTTTTCTCTCTCTCTTGTTTTTTTTTTGTGTTGTTTAAATATGTATATTTTCGCGCTCATAACGAGTTTACAACAGAAACTCCAACCAATTGCTCCACATGGCCATAAAGATGCCGCCGTCAAATGCGAACAATAATAATTTTTAATAAACACATTACATTCAGAAACTGAAACTGAAACTGAAATTGTAAGAGGGCCAACTCTGGCATAGACAATAACAATTCGCAACGACTTCAATAAGCCGTAAACTTCGTTTGGGTTTCGCTTGCGGGTAAACCTTTTTCGAAATCCCATCACATGGTTATAAGTAGTTGTTTTTTGTTTTTTTTTTTTTTAACTGTCGTGATTTCGGTCTTAACAATAATTAACGGCAAAGAAATTCAGCTTAATTATGTGCCCAAAATGGGCTTCTTCATAGTTATTGAAGCTTCCATTTTTTTTCTTCTAATTTATTTCGGCTTCTAGCTATACACGTGCCTACAAATGGCAGTTATAAAGCCAAGTTGAAATTGCTAAAAAAAAAAAAATAAAATCCCCAAGCCCTTGAGACGACAAATTTGGTCAAAACATTTTGCATAGGTTTTTGAGCATGTTCAATCTAAGAATATAATTTATCTTTTTTTTTTGGGAAATAGATGTTGGCGTCTATCCGCATAGCAACAACAACAAATCTAACACAATATTTAATTTATCTATTTACTTAAGACGCAAAATGTTCACACAATATAGTTAGTGCAGTGTACACTGCCAAACATAACATATTTTGTTTACCTGTTGACATTAGCACTTGCCACTGCGCTGTTTGAGTGTGTTATTGTTGAAATTCAACAACGGTCGTTATAATTGCACAAGCTCTTGAGTTTGTGCTGCAGCTGGGTTAATTTATATTTTCTTTGTTAAACCTGCAAGACTGTAATTAACTTGTTCGCCAAAGTTAAAACTTACCTAATTGATTTTGATTTGGCTGCCAGCAAACGTTGGTTCGGCAAAAGAGAGAAGGCAAAAAACCGCGTAACCACTTAAAAACGTCCGCACTACACAAAGGTTCGACACAGAATCGTACAAAAGCGAACAAATTGCCGACATAAAGTATAACAAACCAGGTTTGTAAATGCTCGCGTGGTCAGCGTCAGAGTTGTCTGTTTTATTCCTATAATAGATCAGAAAAGCATAAATATAATATAGCTTAAATATAATTCATAAAAAAGCCATTGCTATGGCCTTTTGTTTTCAAAAGTGCCATTTGCGATTAATAAACCGCAATGCTTCAATTCAAAATTCCGCCACAACTAGCGATAATAATCGAAACCAAAAGTCGTGTGTCGGACTATCGAACTGACGACTATCGATGGGTGGCTCGTGCCTTTAACAGGTGCTGCAAAGCACGCAAATGCGCATTTTACAGCACTGACATTTCAAAAAAAAAATAAAGGGTAGACTAGTTTTTGTTGTCTGAGTTAATGGGATTTTTTCTGTATTTTCTTACAATATAATTTGTACAATATAAGTACGATTAGGCTGCTTTGTGTGCATTTAATTATGAACTATAGTTTTAGAATTAATTTCGCTTATAGTATAATTTATAGCATACAAAATCACAGTTGGTAAAGGAAACTCTTTACTGAGAATTATTGCTCCCCTAGAAGAGTGATGAGCTGGCCACGTTGATGTTTTCGGACAAAATCATTTGCTGTACATCGCTGAAAACATCGCGAATGCAACGAGTATCCGTGGCCACGGTGAAATGGTAATAGCACTCCCTTTCCGAGAAGCTAAAGTCGCACTGATTGCGCGAATTGCGCTTGAACTGTTCCTGGGTTATATCGATCATTTTCTGTTTGATGAACATCTTGGTCCAATCGCACTCATCGAAGCAGCTTTGCTGCTGCTGCGGCCGCTTGCTGAACTCCTCGAAGTCCGGAAAATAATCGACTATGTGCTTGCCGGCGCGTATTTTGCGCTCCATAATATCATACTTGTTGAGGAAGACAATCAGGCCGGCGGAGGCGAGGAAACGATTCTGCCAAACGGCCCGAAACAGATTAAGTGCCTCCTGCAGGCGATTCTGATTGGGATCCTCACGCAGATTCTGATCGAATTCGCTGCACGAAATGAGAAACAGCACGGCCTGAATGCCCTCAAACACTTGTATCCACTTGTTGCGCTCATCCCGCTGCCCGCCCACATCGTACATGCGGAACTCCTGCTCACCGCCGCCCAGGCTCTTGGGTATGGGCACACGGAATGTGATTTTCGAGATGCCCGTGGTTACCTTTCTGCTGTGTAGAATATCCTCAGTGCTGGGTATATAGTCGCCCTCACAAATTCTCGCAAAGTTATCAAGAAAACTAAAGAATGAGAAAATCTGTTTGTTAGTGTGAGGTTCAATTTAAGGATCAGCTTGAGGAGCTTACTATTTGGCGCTGTCCAGCAGCGGGAATTCATTCGAGCGATCATAGCAGGCGCGTATGCCAACATCATTCCAGAGGGTCATAACATGGTCGCAGTACTCCTGCAAAAAAAAAATAATAAGCAGTCAGATTATGTTCCAATTATGAGTCATTAGTTCTTAGAGTGGGAAAGGGAGAAAACCCAAAACGGGCCAGCATTTATCTTATCGTTGCGACCGGGCACAGGGCCAATATAATGATTGACCGGCTGCCCGCAAGTGACTAAGACGTGGCCGCAACAGATCTTGGCCCAGGAAGTGCACGGAAAAAAAAAACACACACACACACACTTGTCGGAAAGTTTTGTAGACAACCTATTAAGTTAATGGCAATGCAATCAATCAAATCGCGCTGACAGATAACAAATAGCGATCGCTGCATGTTCAGGAAAATAATGCTCCATAGAGATATCTTCGTTGGAGGAGCATGTCGTGAAACGTGACGCAAGTCGCTTTTTGTCGATTGTCCGGCTCAAAATGTTTAAAATGCGCGACAGCATTTGAAGTGTGTTGCGTAGGATAAGATACTGGGGCAAAGCCAGTATCTGCTGGCGGGATTATTTGACGGGCTGTCACTCACCTCCGTAAAGTACTCGGGCGCCTCGGCTGGCAGGGACAGGATGTAGTTGGCGCTGCGTTCGCTCGTGTTGCTGCCAAAGGGCAGGCCCAAGGGCTCCATTTGCAGCACCAGCTGTATAATGGAATCGTGGATGTTCTGATAGATTTCGGGTATCTTTTCGCGGCGTTCACTAAATGGATAGAAAGTAACTCTATAGAGACGACTCTCAGTTAGCTGGCCAGTGTTCAGGTGCACTTACTCGTCGGTGAATCCGTTTATGTGGAGTATGCGCATCTGTTTGATGATGGTCGTCTTGCCGGATTCGGCGGTGCCCAGCAACAGGATCTTGACGGTGGTGTCCTTGAAATTCGTCTGCATATCCTTGATCATGTGTTGCTGATGATTCAGCTCCTCGCGCTGATTCTGCCTCGCCGATTGCTTTGGATTGCGCAAACAGCGCAAAAGTCTGCAATGCAAACAAATGGAAATATTTGCTTAGACCTTTTATTATGACTTCCAAGGAAAGGCCGACGACAAGGCCCCACGTTCTATATATAGAAATGGGCAAATGTTTGCTAACTCGATACGCTTGCTAAATTAAAGAGCACACATTTATTTAGCTCTGATGTATGTTTAATTAAAAGCCCACACACACACCTACACACACACAACTCCAATAGATACCGAATACGCAATAGATAAAGCCAAACAGAGCACAGTCATAAGCCCGAAAGGTTGTCTGCTTGGCAATTCTTCTCGAGCTACACAACCTTAATTAGGAGCAACTATTTGCGCTGCTAATTGGGCACAAGATCGGGCGCGTGTCTCGTCCGATAGCTGACAGCCAGACACAATTTTTGGTAATTGAATGTGTGCCAAAGTCTGACAACAAATTGAGCTTGCACTTTGCACTCGACAAGATCCCAATGAGTTGATCGACTTGGCAAGGAATGGATGAATGGATCGGCAAAGGGGTTCCAGAGTTTATGGCACCAATTTCAATTGGCGTTTGCCAAAATAAAAAAAAAAAACGTAGTCATAAAAAGAAATCGTGTGACTTGCCAATCGCTGGCCACCGCACGCCCACTGGCCCCGCCCCAAAGAGGGCTGTTATCAGACGTCGGGCGCCCCGAGCACTCCAGATAGGCCGCACAGAAACTTATCAGGCAATTGGGATCTTTAATTGCCGGCGCTCTAAATAATGCTGATATTGGATGAAAGTTCTCTGCGCGGGGCATGTCTATCTTCTTGGCAAGTCTCTCTGTCAATATCTATGTTTATTGTTTAAGTTTAACCATAACCTATCCCCGATTCATTCAGTGGAAAAGTATTCTTGTTTATGTGCCATGCTGAATGTAATTTCGTCTGACTCAGCCCGCAAATTCGAATACATTTGGATTTTGTTTTGCTTTTGGCTATCTTTACAGCCTGGCATGCGTTTTTTGATTTTAACTGGTCTTATTAATGGTCATATGCCCAGCGTTTACGACAATATTTACAAAACGCAATCAAATTCCGTCCACTGACCTCCATCCAGTTCGATTCCAATTGGAGCTTAGCAACAGCTTTGTTATTGTCTTAGCTAAGTGGCTATCAGTGTCAGCTATATTTACAGACTTCCTCAACTGACCAATCGGCTTCTAATCTAAGAAACCATAAAACTGTACACTTTATTTAATTATATTCACGTGTTCAAAGTTCTAATTAGGATATTAAAGGCAAATAATTCAGGAAAATACCAACAGCGAGCAATTGCAGCATATTCTAATTAGACTATTAAATTATCCACAATTGGGGAAAATACTAACAGGATAGGATATTAAAATACCAACAGCAATGACTTCAAATCTAAAGACAAATGAAACCTAATTTAAGGAAATTTGGATGGGCTTTCATTATACGTAGAAACATTACAAGTCAAGGGTTTTCTTGTTATAAAGTCTAGATATTAACTTTTAGTTTGTGACGTGTAATTTGAGGATAATCAGAACCTGAACCGAAACAATGAAAATATTTTGCTAACCCTGAACCGCAAGCAATGACAGCAGTTTTATGACTTTGCAGCCCTCGCAATAAAAGAGTTTTAGGCAGTCACTTTGAAATACATACATATGTTTGAAGAGTTTCATCATCAAAATAAATGATGTAATATGACCCAGAAACAACATAATGATATAAAGAACTATGTATATATATTTAAACTGATAGGCCTTTGGCTAATTTGACTTATCATGCTGATAAATACTTGGCCAAAATACTTAAGTTCCAACGAAAATCATTGTGGGTTTTCAATGGGATTCGGAATAAAAGTAAATCAACCTGATCGCATAATCAAAATCGCACGTTTTCTCACCTCAGTTTCATGTTGATTAAGGTTGTATCAATTATTATTGCTTTTAAGTTTCCTCTGTTGATTGTAAGAATTATATGTTGTTTTTGTAGCACAGTGCACTTTGAATACTTTGAATTCCTTACAGCTTGTTTACAGTTTATGTTTATGCCAGAGCTGGCCTTTGTTTTGATAGCACTCGACGGTTGCTCTTCAAATATCTGTCCATTTGTCTTTTTCACTTTTATTTTTCACTTTCTGTCAGCGAGTCTCGACTTCCGCTCGACACGTCTAACGTTCCTTTGGAGTATCACAGCACTGAAACGCCGAGCGAACCTTCCGTTTTCTTAAATACCCAGCCGAACCTAACCGAACCGAGCCGGAGCACGAGAACGCTTCGCTCGTTCGCCCGTAATCATGGCAGCCGGAATCGTTTGTTAATTGCTTGTACGGCTGTACAAAATAAGAATGTACAATATCTACGATAAGATAGCCGGGCAATATATTGGCCACGATCTGGAGGGGTGTGTGAAGGGGGGGGGCGAGAGAAGTGCCCAGTTGAGCGGCTTTGTCGATAGTGCGAGAATAAGGGCAAGCAACAGAGAGCAGCAGAAAGAGAGCGGCAGCGGGAGAGGAAGCGATGGAGAGTTCGGCTAGTTACAATCACGCCTGCCCCTTGTGGGTCCAAATTGGCACTTCATTTACTCAATGATGCACTAGAACTTTTTAATTGGACAATTTGGATACACTATGTATATATCGTAGGGAATATATTATATTAAATATAAACAAAAATGTTAAGTCTTTCGCAATTATTATAGAAAAACTATCATTGAATTCAAAAGACATTCAAGACATTCATTTCCCTAAAATTTCTAAAACCATAGGTCGACCTTCTGCTGCCTTCTTCTAACATTCGCAACTTGTGCGCCACATTGCTGTTAGCTGCTGCCTTAGAGAATCAAAAAACCCGTTAGTCGACTTTCTAGTGCTAAAATTCGCAACTAGTGCGCTACAATTTTAGCCACATTGCTGTCAGCTGCGATGTTGACATTTTCGAGTGCTGGCGTTCAAATTTGAAGGAGCGCCCGCCCAGCCCAGTAACCACTCACAATGCCGGCCACTTGCCAGTGGAATTCTACCTTCTGGCTTACGTGTCACATATATGCAGATGTACTCGAAGCGGTGCAGTGGGATTACGCGAATTACTCACGGAACTGCGACGCGCCGGCTGACGGACTGACAAGCTGATGGACTGTTCTCTGATAGGCAGAGTCTAGTGTTTACATTTTGGCTCTACTCTGATTATATATGGCTTGTAACCAGCTTTAATAGTGGGTACACAACAACAACAACAACAACAACTCAACAACAACAGCAACAAGTGGTGCCAAAAACTAAGCACTTCAAAGTGCAAGTAATTAAAATACCAGCCCCTAAAGCTATTACCCATGCTCAGGCCCATGCCAATGCCATCACCCGATCTGTTGCCATGCATCCAAGCGCTGGCTGCTCCATAAAACGTGCTGGTTTATGGAAAGTGTTGTCAGCCAGGTGCTTGGTTCAGGGGCGGATAATGGGCGAATGTCAATGGCAATGCCATCAAAAGCAGCCAGTCTGATCATTTTGTTTATGTTCTTGAGGCAACAAATCAATGAACTCAGTTCGAGTGGATCGTATCGTTTCATTTCTTTGGATGTGTGGAGGGTTTGGGGAGGGGGGGGGGTTTCCATGTCATGGGGGCAAGGTCGCAGGCACTTCAATTATTGCCCGGCGAAATGCTGGCCGTGATTGGGTTCGCTGTCAACATACTAATTGTTATATTGCTTTATTTGTTTATTTGCCTTGCGTCTGGGATTGAAATCTGTAATGTATTTCGGTTCGGGGCTGGGCAAAGCTCGCAATTATTTTATCTATTTGCGGAAATTTTCCCTCAAATCGTAAAGCGTTATGGCGACGCACGATACCCAAACGTGCCCAGTCATGGATGCGGTTTCCATTCGAATGTCTCAGCGCACCAAAAGAAGCAGCAAAATATGTCTTCGACACGCCGCAAACTGAATACCCTTACGGACAATCGTCTATCAGCAGAGTTGAGTTGGTTTTTGGCTTGAAGCCATTTCCTTTAATTTAAGCTTTTTCTAGTCATAGATTTATTAACTTTTTATTTAACAAATCAGTTTCTAATTTACAATTGCCTGTTGTACTGAAAATATTGCAATTCGTAGATATTTTCATATGCAAGTTTCAGGCTAGATTTTGGTTATTCCCAAGAATTCGCATTTATTGAAAGTTTTTTTTTATCATTTATTATTATATATTACCTTATAAACATGCATATATACATATTTTTATTGGATGCGGAAGAGTCTTCTCCCATGCGTTGCACATTTGGTGACAAATTGAAAGTACCCTCTGTTAGGGTACACAAGCCAATAAAGCAATTTGAACTTGTACCTCCTGCTGCTTATCGTCGAATTGAAACATTTCGCAATAATTTGACTAATTGTTAACAAGACCTGGTTAGCTGTCATATTGAGTGATAATTGCTTGGAAATGCTTGGAATGCCAACTATTTGTCTGAATGCCAATTCCCCCCCAAAAAAAAAAAAATAATAATAATAAATACAAACCCGAAAAACAAGTCGCCATTCATTTCCCAGTATCAGTCGTTTGCACTCGACAATCGGTATGCCAGATCAGCTCGAGGATTCCAATTCTCTCGAAAACTCACTCAAAAACAAGACGCGACAATTGAAAAGACGACTTTGCCGTGCTCAGCTCCAAATGGCAATTGTTTAGCCCCCCCCAAATAAAGTGTCGGATCATGCGAACATGTTTTTATGTTATATAAATCAGATTTGAGGCGTGGCCATAAATTTGTCCGATTCGGATCTTGGGCGGGGGGCGGAGGGTGAGGCGGACATGGCGCTAATCGCTAATCGCTGTGATAAAGCTCTATGCATTCCGTCATGCAAAGACTCTTGAGAAGTCAATGGTTTAGTACATACATATATATATATAAAAGTCAATGGTTTAGTATGTGTACTAATATAAAAACACATACTATCCATATCTGCAATTCCTGACAAGCCAACTCTTGAGAGTGGGCTATTGAATTTTTTAATAAGCATGTATCCCGTGCATGCCAAGGCCTTATTAACTCAATGACGAATCGATCAAAGGCAATTGGTCATATACCTCATATACATATATGTTAGTTAGAGTGATATCAGTAGCAATAACATAAGCAGATTATGTTAAGATTATTCAAATTCTCTTCGACATATGCAATTTATGCCATAAGCACACACAGGCACACGCACGTAAGTAGCCTCGCTCTCTTTCGAACTCAATTACAGAGCTTAGTTCCTTTAAGAAATTATGTTAAGAATTCAGTTCTGCTTACAGAACAGAAATTACAGAGCTCGAAAGAGAGCGAGACTTTGTACGTGTGTGTGTTCGGATTGCATACGTTAGGGGAGTTAGCATAATCTTAACATAATGTGTATCATCACAGAAGTAATTTTTTTAAACTTAATAAAAACCTCATACCATTCTCAAATGATAAAAAATAGCATCTGATCCAACAAAAGCCAAAAATCGCACAAACCTAGCCTAACATAACCTTCATAAGTACCGTTAAGCAGTAATTAAATTGTGTGCTTAAGATAGTGGAGGGAGGGAGATATTCTTTTTAGCTGGAAGTGCAATTGGCGAGCCCCTCGGCTCACAGCTAAGAAAAGTCATGTAATCAGCAGGTTACGCGGCTCCTAAATTGGTATATGACCATGGGAAACGTGATCTAAACGATCCATAAAATGTGACAGCTGCCCAAATGGAACGTCTCACTGCATATCCATATCAGCCGGCAGCCGCATGTACCTGATAAGGCTCCAATCAGTCTCTCTCTCTAATTCGACAAACAGGGCGCAAACAACTCGTTGATTATCTATCATCCAGCAGTGGGAACTCCGCTCGTGGAGTGGGGGGTAAATCGGAATTTTTGCAATGTTGACAAGCATTTGATTAAAGAGTTGCTAACACGAATGTAGTTCATGTGTGGTTCCCGATTATGATGATGATGATGATGTATCGAGCTGGTGTCGCATGATAACAATATCCAACGATATGAACAACAATTGAATCATCCGCACCGCGGGCTTGTCTTCCTCTAGATGTTTCCTAAGACACCAAATACACTTCTGCGCAGTACAGTGGAGAGCTTTGGCTGGTTTGATAAGTCTAAAGTGCCTGTCGACATCATAAACAGCAAGTTTTGTGCCATAACGAAATCCCCTAAGCCATGAGAATCAATAAACGGATTGGCAGTCGAAAACCTTGGATTAGCTGACCATATCTACAATCCATTTATTTGATTTTGTTGGCCATCTTACCAGGGTGCAATTGGTAAGGCGCCATTTAAAAGACAAGACCTTGCCAAAGCCAAACCTCTTCTACTGCGTCTAAAATGAGTGGAGTCGACTTTATAAGCCCCCTCTATAAAGATGTTGAGATTATAGCCACTAATCGCATTATAATGAACTGCTCGTAAGGCATTTGTTTCGATCAAGTGCTTCAGCTTTTGGTACAGACTTTACTGCCAATACTCAAAGTGTTTAATGGCTGTTTACTTCAAATCGATCGCTCATATACATCTATATATAGTCGCTATATGTACTTCTACTATTACTACACATAGAAAACTTTATTGTAAATTACCATTTTACAGCTTATTTGTAGTCTTTTAAAGAGCTTGAATATTGTACATTGGCATACAGCAAACTTTCTATGAAACAAACAGCATTGTCTCTATAGTTAAATATATATGTATATTATGTATATTACACTCTAAGCGAATTTAATAGAACAAATCGAATGCATTGCGACAGGTGTTACTGATTCTGGCTTCCTTTGCGGCCCCGACCTCATTTCAGTATGGACCACTTGAGCTGCTCGCGCGCCGATTGCAGTACCTGAAATCAGAAACATGATCAGAGAACAATTAACTAATGCATTGGTAAATGATAAAGAAAAAGAAAAGAAAATGCATATTGCCAATGTGCAAATAATAATACGCCGGACAATCTTTATTTGATCGTTCAAAGTGCAACCGATTAGCGTTGAGTTAGTTTCAAATCAAATTCATAACATAATAATAATATGTGCTACATAGATAAATACATATTGTACTATATACAAAAAATGAATTCTTGCTTGATCGTGCGTTTGATATGTCTACATTCGTTCATGGTCGGGTTAAGAAATAGTTTGTGATAGAACTACCAAAATAGACCATTTAGTGTGTTAGTTACCTGAGCAACGGTCTGTTCGGCAATGGGTATATCCTCGTTGCGCAGGTCGACACGTTTCACCACAGATGACGGATCCGCGTCCAGAATGATGCTGCAAAACGTGCAATTCGCAATTAGTTAAATTTGCTTAAGTTTTTCGTAAGCATCCCGGACACTTACCCGCCGTCGCAAATCTCATCAAAGGCCAGCATAATGATCTCCAGATTCTCCAGCACCAGGCGCTTCTCCACGTTCTTCTTGAGGATGAGGCTTATGGAGTCGTACAGACAGTTGAGCACCGACAGCAGTATCAGCTCGTTCTCGTACGCATTGCCCATCACGTAGAAAAACAAGTCCACGTTGCTTTTGTAAACACACGTCAGACCGTCGAGCATGATGATTTCAGTGTTGGAACGGTGCGTCTTGTTGAATAAATTTTTCTCGAACGCCTTCTGCTCCTTCAACGTGGACAGAATGTTTTTGTCGTAGTATTTGGCCAGTATCCGGTTGCCGTCATTGTCCATGATACACATGCCCTTAATAATGTCCTGCAAAGTGCGGGCATGTTATTTACCGATGCAATTCATAATAAACATTCAAGTTAATAAATACCATCATAAATCCGTCCATTTTGTTGCCAGCAAAACACAATTATTCACGGTTGCCCCAAATTACCCAACACTGGTTTCTTAAGCGGCAGCCGTGGTGGCATTCGATAAGCATAGCACCGGCACAGCTGATATGCCGAGTTATCGATAATGATGGTTGTTAAACTGTTAAGCTGCTGTTAGCTTGAATTTGTTATCGGTTTTGACAGCTCAAACAGCTTTTCAAATGACAGTAACGCTTGTTTGCTTTTCCTAAAACGTTAAATGCTATAATAGAAGTATAAAAAAATTATAGAACATATTCATAACGTACTAAATTGTGAAATTAAAACACGCACACACCAACACTTTTGCGCGCTTGCAAACGAAATTTATCACCTTTACTGAATTATATATTTTGTTGATAACTTGATGTAATGGATATTTTGCCAGAAGACGGCTCAGATCAAGACATCAAAGAGGTTAAAGAAGGAAAAGAGGTCAAGGTTAAAGAAATCAAGGAAGTTAAAGAAGACAATGAGGTCGGCGAAGCTCGAAAACCGGCTCGACGCAAGCACGAACACGACAAATCGGAAATGCATGTGGTTGTCGGAACGACAGCCGTGAGGCCCAAACCAGTTAAAGTCGAGGGTAAGAAGCTGCGCAAGAAACTGCTCGAATTTGAGCAGGAGAATCAAACGCTGGCCAAGACCATAACGGACAAAAACCAGGAAATTTCCGCACTCAAGCGCTCCGTGGACTCGCTAAACGAAGTGCTCAATTCGGTGCCAATCGACGAGCTGCGCTGCAATTCCTCCATAGCCGGCTCCAAGATACTGGAGCTGAGCAAAAAAAATCGCCAGATGCGCGCCGAGCTGGAGCAGCTGAAGAATCGCGTCAGCAAGAAGGATTTGCAGATCGAGAAGCTGGAAAAGGAACTAAAGACCAACGAGGAGAAGCTATCGGTGAACGGCGAATTGCTCAAAAAGGGCAGCGCCTCCGACGAGCTGCACGCCAAGATCAACAGCATGCAGCAGAAGCTCTTCGAGACGCGCAACAAGAACACCGAGCTGCAAAACCAGCTCAAGCTGGCGCACAAGTGTCTGCAGCACGAGGTCGGCGAGACCGTGAATATCAATATCTTGGCCAACAATCTGAACCAGGCCAATTGGCGGGGACGCGCCCAGCAAATCCTGTCGCTGCAGCAGAAGCTGCAGGAGCTCAAGGCCCGCCTGGACACCTACGAGAATGGCTACTCCGATCGAGCTGACTATATGCCCATACCGCTCGGCTCCGAACTGGACCTGGGCAGCACCAGCAATAGCATCAAATTGACGCCGCGCAGTGTCAAGCTAATGAATTCACCGGGCAGACACAGTTCGTCCGTCAGCCTGGGTGCCGGGGATGGTGGCGGCGCCACCTTTGACCGCTTTACGCCGGGTGTGCGCAAGAGCGAGATCTTGCACAGGGCCAAGGTTGAGACGCTGGAGAAGGAAATCACAGCACTGCAGGCACAGCTTGACGAGCAGCGCAATCGCACCCTGGCGCTCAAGGTGCGCAACAAGACCCTCAACGATGAGATGCTCAAATACAAGATGCGCTCCACCGAACTGGAGGAGCAGTCCGACTGCAGCGGCCTGAATGTATCCACCATGAACGAGAAGCTGAACCGTCAGCGGAACCAATACGAGAGCCGATTGGAGGATCTGCGCAATGATGTTATACGTATTACCGAGGACCGCGACATTGCCAAGCGCCAGATGGAGGAGCTGAGCGGCATGAATCTGGAGCTGGAGACCGAGCTGAAGCAGAAAGATTGCTGCCTGCAGGGCCTGCAGGATGTGATCAAGAAGCTAGAGACGGATTTGCGTGCGTTAACTGGCGGATTTCTATTCTCCTGTCGCGAGTTCCGTAAGGAAGAATTTGTGGGCATACTGGATGCCTTGGAGGTGGAGAAGAATCAGATGATGCTATTGAACAAAACCCTGGACGAGCGACTAGAGGCCGAGCGTGTCAAGAACGACGCATCCGCCGATCAAATTGCCAAGCAGAAGACTCGCATTTCTCGCATGGAGGCCAAGATACGTGAGCTGGAGAAGGAGCTGGACGTGCAGGCTGATCGCAAGAAGCGCAGCCAGCGCATAACCGAGTACGCCAATGCACTGGGACGCACTCCACTGACCGGGTCCATCAGTTCGTTTAGCTTTGACAATCAGTCGCAGTGCCCATCGGTCACCTCGCTCAACTCCTTGGTCGGCGCCGAGCCAAAGATCGAGGACATGAAGAACCAGTAAGTGGCAACAGTTTGCCCCCCAAGTAACCGCTAATATCCCACCTCCCACACAGATTGGAGCTGGCCAATGAGAAGATCGCCATGCTCACCGAGAAGCTGGAGTACATAAGCGCCGAGAAGCGCGCCGACGCCAAGTTCTTTGAGGAGACCATGCTCAACTCCAAGAACATCATACTGGACACCATACTCGGTTCGCGCGATGCCGGCCGCACCCAAGCAGATCCCAAATCGGAGCCAGTCCGCGAGTTGCCCAACAATGACAGTGCCTGATTACAACGAACAATGTTTTATGTCTGTTTTGTTACCCAGTTTTGTTATATATCCATGTGACGGAAAAATCAAATCAAATGATTTGTTGCCCATGGAATTAAATTTGAACAAAAAGGAAAATGTAAGCCACTCTTCTTTTTCATAGAACTCGGCCGGGCAAAGAGGCCTACAGTTCACTAGGAATCAGGATGGCGCCGCAATCTCTTGACGGAGGATTCTTCATTCTAGACAGGAGCTGAGAAGGTAAGAGTGTGCCCCATGGCTTCTGCCTGTGCCCAAATAAAAACAAATTCTAGTTTTATGTAATTTTGCATTTTATTTGTAACACATTGAAAACGAAGCCTTTGGCGCTGCTTCACTCGATTTTTATTTAGTTAATATAATTGTTTAATATTTAGGCATATTTCATAGTACAATTGCATGTGGCTGTGTGAATATTCATAATATATATTTTATGATTATTAATTATTGCAAGCTTGCATGTGTACGTGTGTAAGTGTGTGTGTGTGTGTGTGTGTAATACCATATCTTGGCTATAAACTATGCGTTTGTAAATTATGACAACAATTACAACGTCTCGTCCAGCTGCTGCTCCATAAACACCCATCACATATATTTATTATTCATATCGTATATAGCATATATTGTGTGTATATATATATATAATATAATGAACAAATTGTGTATCAATCGGTTTTATAGGCTTGCTTGAAATTCGTTTCGATTTCTTGTTAGTCATAGTTTATTAATTATCTCTCTATATGTAGTCTATGCATTTATGTAATATATTATGCGATAAGCCTAGTAAATGGTTTATCTAAAAAACACGTTTAGCAAATTAAAGGCACTTCAAGGATTTTGTTAAACGAAACAATTTCGAATACCCTAGAGTTATAGAAACAAAAACAATTGCAAGTGCTTATATTATTATTATTAATATACTTCAATTATAGGCAAAGGAGCACAAAAAAAAAAAAAGAAAATAATAAACAAGTTGATCAAAAATGTTGCAATTAATTAGTTAATCGCAACTATTTGGCAACTTATGTGTTTTAGGCAACGAGAATAATTCTTGTTCCTGGGTTTTAGATTTCTATATAAATTGACAAAATTGTAGGGATGCATCCAACTTTGATCTAAACGCGGCAAGCTTTTAAAAAGCACAAGTTTAGCTTAGGCTGGCTGCCCTATATAATATATATATATATATATATTTCTATAGCTGCCGATCTGAACATTATACTAACTAGGCTGCACTAATAATTCACTGTTATCGTGTATCAAGTATATTTGTTAGTAATATATTTCGTTATGCCTTACAAATACTAGACTCTAATTCCATTAGAAGCTATTGCTAGTTCTGTGACAATTGAATTTGTGGGAACCGGAATCGGTTAGCTGTCATATTTTTAATTGATTAACATGTTTTGTATATAGTTCAATAAATATTTTGTTAATTTTTCCACTTGTAGATAAATGCAGAATTTTGGCTGGGTTAGCTTTTGGTCGCTTAATTGGAAAATCTATTTGCTTTTCATTCAGAGTTCATGTAAAATTACAAAATCTTGTTGCTATCAATTTGTTGTTCTTGTTTTTGTTTCTGTTGTTGTCGTGGCTTGTTTATTTATATGATTATTATTATTATTATTATTGTTGTATTATTGTATATTGGGAATATTCTTATAAATGGCTTATGGTTTCTTATTTCATGTTTCGATTTCACATTATTCTCTATGCTATTAATTTTACATTTGTTTTCTTCACTTTCTTCTTTCGTTTCGTTTTCATTCTGTTTGTTTTTTTTTTTTACATATTGGCCTGTGTGTTGATTATATATATACTCTATATATATTATATATCAGTGTGTGTGTGTGTGTGTGTGTGTTTGTGTGTGTATGTGTGTGTGGGGGGGAATATATTTTAGCGCCGCCTAAAAACGTGGTTGAAATAATAGTAAATGTCCTGTTCCGCCTGCTGCTGTTGGGGAGTTTTTCGTGTCGCCTGCTGCTGCTGCTTGGGGTCCACTTGCGGATGATAATTGTTGTAATGATGATAGCCATGCATATCGTACGGATTATGGTGTCCCGGATGCATGCCAGGATGTATGCCCGCACCAACACCACCGACGCCGCCGACATGGCCGCCGCCACCGACCATTGGATTGCCCGAGCGCATTAGATTTGTGTGCATATTGCGATCCGCTAGGAACACATTGATGAAGAAGATGAGCACGAGCAGTATGTACAGCAGGCAGACCAGTATGACCACAAACTGCTGGCGGCAGCAGCAGTAGTAGCACATTCCCTATTATATAACCGCCTGCTCCACGTAGTTGGCGGGCAGCATGCCGGTCTTGCCGGTGCGCTCCACGCGCCCGGTCATCCAGCCAGAGTCAATTGATTCCACCTCAAAGATGACATCGCCCTCACGAAAGCTAACCTCGTCCACGTCCTGCGCCTCATAGTCGTAAATGGCGCGATAGACGCGCTGCAACAAGGAGGAAAACGATTTAATATACTCCATGTGAGGAACTGGGGTTAGCTATGTACTTACCAGGTTGCTCTGGCGCGACTGTTTCTCCTGCAGTGAAGCCGGCGGTTGGCGCGCCTGTTGCTCCTGCTGCTGCATCATTTGGACCTGCTGATAGTATTGCTGCTGCTTCTGGGCCTGCGCCTGCTCGGCGCTGCTCAGCGAGCCGTAAATGCCGTTGGCGGGATCTATGTCCGAGATGGAGCCAATGCGCTTCGGATACACGCTGTTACCTGGTCACAGAGCAAAGCATTTGTTAGGTTTAGGGCGCAATACACACTACTAAATTTAATGCACACGGTGGGGAGGACAAGCACAAGATGACATGCTGACATGTTGATGCACATCGAGCTGAGCTGAGCTGAGCGCTACCGAACTACCAGCTAGCCTGTAAGCCCTTCTCTTCTGCTACTTACCCACGCCTGCGGCTGCGCCGCGCTGATCCGAGCTGTACACCAGCGTTGTGCTGGAGCGTCCGGTGCTGGGCATCGGCCTGGGTCCATCAGTCAGCGGATCGTAGTCGGCGATTTTGCCAATGTTGTTGCTGCTGTTCTGCTGCGTTGTGGCGCTCACCACGACGGGCAAATGCCCATTGCTGGCCTGCAGCTTGGCGCCCAAAGCGTTCTCCGAGGGCGTAACCGGACTGTAGTTGGGCGCCACATACAGTTGTTGCACATTTGTGTTGCTCTGATGTTGCTGCTGCTGTTGCTGTTTTTGTTGCTGCTGCAGCTGTTGCTGTAACTGCAGCTGATGCTTGCTGTTGTTGCTGTGCAGGCTCGCCTGCGAGCGTGTCTGTTGCTGCTGCTGTTGTTGCTGCTGCTGCTGCTGCTGTTGTGTATAGCTGAGGCTGGCCGGATGCGGATGTGCCAGTCCGCCATTATTGTTGTTGTTGTTGTTGTTGCTGCTATTGCTGTGAATGCTGCCGTTGCTTGCATTGTTGTTCAACAGGCTGCTGTGCGAATGTTGCTGCTGCAGCTGATGCTGACTGGCCTGCTGCTGCTGTTGCAGCTGCTGCTGTGAGTGATGTTGCTGCAACTGCTGCTGCAGTTGCTGCTGATGCAGTGCTGTTGCCGAGTTCTGACTATGATCAAACTGATCCGCAGCATTGCCACTGGGATGATGCGAATTATGCAAAATAGCTGAGCGCAGCTGATTGTAGCTATTAACCGCCTGCGGCTGCTGTTGCGACTGCTGCGATTGCTGCGGTGTGGCTTGCTGCTGTGGTGGCGGCTGCTGCTGCTGTTGCTGTTGTTGTTGTGCTTGCGATGTTGCTGTGGGATACAGATGTGAGGCTTGTTTAATGGCATGTTGCTGCTGTTGCTGCAGCAACTGTTGCTGGCGCAACGCCTGCGGCTGTTGGTAGTGTGCGTATGGATCGTGCAGCGGCTGCTGCTGCTGCTGCTGTTGCTGCTGCAACAGCTGCTGCTGTTGCTGCTGGTTCAGCTGCTGATGTTGGTGTTGATATGTGGGCGTTATGGCCGCCGTGTTGTATTGCTGGTGTTGTATTGGTGGCGGTGGCAGCGTTTGTTGTTGCACATAGTGTTGGTGTTGATGTTGTTGCTGTTGTTGATGTTGTTGCTGTTGTTGATGTTGTTGGTACTGTTGATGTTGCTGGTGGTGCTGCTGCTGCAGTGTTGCTGGCGGTATGGGCGAGGCTGTGGGTGCATATTGCGAGAATTGTTCAGCTGCCAATTGCTCAGAGAAATATTCCGATTCGTCTGCGCAAAGCGATTTGTTCAATGCCCCAGTTAGTGTTAGGTTGTGTTTGTTTGTGTGTGTGTGTGTGTGTTGGCGTTGTACAAGTGTTGTGTAACGTTAGGTTAACGGTAGTTCAGAAAGCACACACACAAATTATGAGCGCAGTTGTCGTTGTTGTTGTTGTAATTGATGAATGAGCAACAAATGATAAACAAATCCATAAGCAAAAACGATACGAAAAAAAAAATAGAGGGAATTATAATCAATATTAGTTACACAGTGTGGAAAGAAGAGGTGGGCATATAAGAGGCGACATATGGCGCTGCACAGTGTTGCACAGTTGATTTGTTTTAGTAATGAAAAGTGAATGAGGCGCAACAGTGTTGCATAGTTGCATGCGTATTGTCAAAAGAAGTGTGAATCAGTGTTGGGTAATTGAGTTGCATGATCAATGTTTTGTGTGTGTAAATAATGTAATTTAGCAAGTTTTCGACACTTTTCAAGCCAAACAAATAAGCCTGGCAGCACTGTGCGCACATTATGCGCTCTAATGAGCACAATAAATGATGATTTAATCAGTTTAGTCACATTTAATGCATGTGAATTGACGACAATTCCATTGATAAACGCGATTCAAACAAATTAATTAGCCAAACAAAAAGCAACATTAACTCAACTTAAGCTAATTGTAGCCAAAAGCTTTAAATTGCCAGCAATTGCCGTGAATAATGAGACAGATATATATACAGAGAGGAAGGTAGAGAGAGAGAGAGAGCGAGATGGAGACGGAAAAGCGCTGGAAAATTGGCTACTCACTGCTGCTGTCGGAGACCTCCGCAGAGCCGCGCTGCTTC